ATATAAACCAAAATATATTATGTAAATAAGAAAATGCTAAAATAATAGGATTGCTCCAAGTCGTAAATACGTGCCTGGAAAATTTCATTCAGTATTCGGCGGAGTCATTGAAGCGTAACCGAGTAACGAAATTAAATGAGACCAGATTTAGTATTGCTCCCATTGGATTTAACGTTTTTATTGTTTTTATTTAAACAATCGTATCAAATTAAAATGCAACGATTTAATCATATGATTTAACATGTCAGAATAAACCACACATAATACATGAGATGCTATGAGTTTTATGCTATCTGTGTTTAATTAAAATGCATTTATTTCAAATATAATAGTGCAGTTGACCGGGGGGCAGTTAGTAGGGTGACAGCTCAGCCGCGGATACCGGGTGCCATATTCGGTCAGTGCACACTGTTTACCGACGCGGTATCGCGAGGCCGTGTGACGTAGCGTCTAGACGGCCGCCGCCCCCGCTGCCCCCCGCCCGCACCCCGCTGCACTCCAACACCGGTTTATCTTTTCAAACGGTAATGCTGCAATATAAAGCCTCGGATGCATCGGCCTAGACACCGATTAGGTAAACCGAACCAAAGGTCGCGTTGACTTGTCACGAGACACTCCACACGGCGTCTCGGTTGTATCGTTTGAATAATTAAAACCATGCGAACATCACAATGTGCGGATCGATTACGTAACACGATTAAAGGTAGCCTGTACCCAATAACATATAAAAATTGATAAAAATAGACTATATGTTTATATGAATCGATTGGTCATATCGAGCCAACATAGGCACGTCTGTGTCCAAGCTGATAATGAATGAATTTACGAAATTATAATTCAAACGATATAAAACGCGTATTATATTTGACAGCCGGCCAGAGCTAATTACAGCGTAAGCGCTGATAACAACGATTCTTGGTACAAAACATATCATTCACAAATGCGAATCACCGTTTAAAACGTACATTTAAGATAAATATATTTAAACGGACGGGAAGTGACTTGTTTTATTTAAAAGAGTTTTTTAAAAAGAATCTGTTGTTTGTTTTTCAATATAATTATATATATTAACTATAGGTATTTCTATAATATATACCTATAACATCTGAATTATTAATTTCACGTTTTTATTTCCTTACAAATTTATTAATTTACCTTTTCTTACCCGACTGAGACGAATTACGAGAAAAAACATTCCTATTTTTAAAATATATTTGTCGTTAATTACATTAAAATATAAAGTAACAGCAATTTATTATAGGTATTAGTAATAATTAAACTAAATGATTCATACATAAATTCCGATAATTACATTTTATCAAACATAAAAGTGATTTGAAACTTGTCAACGAGTAGTGATATTATTCCATGGTCAAGTTCGTGTATTAATCACGATTTTTTTAATACATATAATAATTTCTAGAATTAATTCTTTGTTTATCTTTAATGTTCTCAATTATTAAAATAAATAAGTATATAACGTCTTATATTTAATAAAAACAATGCCATATAATGCTACGATCTCTTGCCAACTAAATGATTCAGCCAATGAAGACTAATTAATGAAACGCATTTAATGTTATTTGGGAAACAAATACCGACTAGTTATCAGGGACGTCGGCTCGGCATCCGGCATCGACGCCAGAAGGGAGGCATTGTAACTGTAATTACCCACAACGAACCAAGAAAATACATACATACATTACTATGTACTAACATATACAAAAACAAATTTACTTGGAAATCGATAAATATTGAGCAGGTTCAAGAGAACATGTTCTAAACTCTTACTATTTTTCGTCGTTTCAGGTTATCTGACATTAAAAAAGGCATATCTATATTTCATAAATATTCATAACTCCTGTATTATTGTTGTAGTACTTAGATATTGATCAGGGGCACCCTATGAGACTAGAGAAACCCTTCCCTAGATCTACGGCACCCTATTTCCTATCGTCTCCTAGAAAATATACCCCCGTATAATAAATACTTACGCTGATTTGAAATACGACTCATGGCTGACGAGTCTAGAACAGTGCTAGGCTATAGAAATGATGAATAGGTTTCGAACTCGATTTACAGGGGCCAAAAAACTGTGTAGGAATAATATCCGCGGATGATGCAACAGATGCCGTAGCAACAACGCTCATTTTATCTCCGTACAGAAGAACAGAATTAACCATCCGAATATACCTAACAGTGTAATAAATATGTTTAATATTAATCAACAGTTGAATGACGTTCAAAACACTCCATGATATGCATATTTGGGTTGCGTCTGAATGTTTAAATAAAAAATAAAAAAGAGGATTTTTTTAATAGCTCCATTTGAAGGCAGACGTCTAGACCACAATGGTTATTTATGAACAGCTCAGACCACAATGATATCTGCGTATTGTTTATCAAAGGAACGTTATATGATATTTCACTTAAAGATTTTTATTATAATGATATTTCATCATAATATTATTATTCAACCTGGTCATCTTCGACCTCTGATTGTTTTTGAATATGTTCTATAACAATAAACTCATTTTCATTATAATAACGGCCACACGAATCGATTAAATCTACCATTTAATAAAATTTTCACGCTTCTTTAATGGATAAGCACTGTAAAGAATTCTTTTATGGTTATTTGAACATTGTATTAGATTTTTATGAATTTGGAGTACCGTTTATAAAACAGACACTTTTTATATGTGTAAAGTTCGTAAGTTTTACACTTTTAGTTATTCTAAAATTTATTAGCTACAAATATTATACTTCCGATTTATTTGCTTAAAGTAATAATTTTATAACATCGATTTTGTAAAACTAAATCATATCGAAGTACGTTTCATTGTTTTCGTTAAATAATCTTTAACATTTGGTTAGTATTTCCAATGAACCTTTAAAATAACCCAATTGAAAGAGAAATAGAGGTCTAAATATATTACTTTTTAAAAATTTTATTAGTTTTCATGTAACAAATTCGATAGAACGGTTATTAAAAACATTAACAGTATATAGTTTGATTTAATAAGTATTCTGTAAAGCGTTTCGTTTCGGTCGGCTGAGCGGCAGCTTTAACTAGCCAAGGCGACGACAAACATCACGGCCTGAAAATGAATTGATACTACTAAAAAAAAGTTCTATCACGATTATAAAAACTTGTCTATACAGAACGGTAACATTCATCTGTTATGATTCGCAGAAATATATACTAAGTAATGTTTCTTAGAATATTCAGACGTGATATAATTCAATTAACGTAATATGAGATGCAGTCTACATATCGATGACCCATGTATAAAGGCTATTGTGCAAAATGATAATTTTTCTGTTGATTCGTTTTAAGTTAGATTTCAATGTATCTTTTAAATACGATAACGCTGATGATGAAAAAGTAATTTGCTATATTGGCCCTTATACATAGGGCCCATTGATATAAAGCAATAATACTTGTGGATATATTAATAATTTGCTTCAATAAAATAGTTATTGAATTTATAAGAATAAAACTATATTTATGTTAAGAAAGAAAAGGTAATTCAGTAATCTATACAGTGTATATGTATTTAGCTACCAGATATAAAATTGTTGAAATGAATATGAACAGAGCATTCATTACACGAAACAAATGACCTAGACAGTTAGTTATCACGGATGTCTGGGGGCATAATTGTGTTCTACACAATTGACTAACCGCTTTCGACTAGCGACTTTATCTAACTAATATCATTCACAAATATCAAATAGACACGTCTGGATATTATAAAACAGTTTTATTACGATCACATCTTATAATGATCTACTATTAGTATCAAATTATTAATGGAATGTTCAGACATTTAACATGGTAAAATCTAACGAAAAAAGTGCATTATTAGGCATTTTTAGAGAGTATTTATTTCTGATTTCACCTCGTTCCACTACGAATATTGAGCTGCTGTTTATTGAGTAATATTTAAAAACTTGAAAATATAAATATCCATTACAAATTGCATTTTTGATTTATTGATCTGATAATGGAAAGTTGAATTCTGTCAACCGCATTTATATTAATATTTTCTGATTTGAGCTCGTGATTGTCAACTTGAAATTGGATACGTCACATTCGGAGTAATCCGTCTGGTCAAAACTATATTTTTTTAAATATTTATTCCAGTAAAATCATTTTATCTATCTACTAATTCATACTAAGCTGAAAAAAATTCAAAGTATTTTATGTAATGTCAGCTAGTATGACTGCAAAAAAATATATTTGACAAAATCTAAACAATACATTGACTCAAACATATTTAAAAAAATAATACAGTTGTACATAGTTTTATAAATTATAATTCATATTTTTTTATGTTTAATATCTTTAAAACATAAACAAAGATTATAACGTGTTAACATTCGTGGATAGTCTGATAAATGCAGAGGCGAAGGCCACTGTGAACGAATTACGAATGTCTTGAATGTAGACTGTCTAGCCGCTAAATGTTGCCTACGTCTAGACTCCAGCCGAACTAACATAATGGACAATCCTAAATTATAGCTAGACTCCATAGGTTCAACATAACTACAGTTCAATTCAAGTTCAAGGTTTTATATGATGGCCGTCCTATTTTAAAATAACTCCGTACACGACGACTGTGTGTAATAAACCAGCAATCGAAATATCAGTCTCGTAATGTCAAGGATAGTTGAAAATTTTAAATGTTAACAACATCAGACATATTTATTTTATATTCAGCAAAACGTTGCATTTTTAATGTATACATTTTTTTCTGCAAAACATTAATATATGTCACATCATTTTTACTATACGATAAGTATTATAAAACATGTCTCGCCTTTTTATCAGATAGTGGATTAGTAATATAAGTATTTTATTCTGGTCAATATTAACTGTAATGGTATAATAATTTCGATTGATAGAAGTTTTTTTTTCGTTTTATCGACAAATCAAATGCCGACACAGTCGCATCATTAGCGGTATTAAATCCGCACACGTGCTGATTACATACAAACGTATGAACGACACCGGGTCGGGAGAGTGGCAGACGGCTTCCGAAATTTGGGTTAGGCAGTTTTTTCTGCGCGGGCGCCGCTGCGAGGTCGATGAGCCCCAAGCGCAGCCCGGACTGACCAGTTTCCCCACAAGGTGCAGAGCCCGCACTAGCTCTACATACATACCACCTGCCAGACACTTTGTAACTATATCATATAAAACCTCCGACTCTCATGTACAGGAAACCGTCTGAATAACGAATTGAACGGCCATTGTTATGTTTGTTTCAATGCTGTTGCTAGTACACTATTCAATATTTTGTTATGGAATTCCATTACAATACACTTTTAATTTAGGTTTTGTTATAAATGTGCTAATTGAATAAGTTCGTATGCACATGGCAACACTGTTATCGTTAAATGATTCATTCTGTTCTAGAGATATAAAATTCAATTACATCCATAAAATTTTCATGTTTAATGTATAATTTAAAATAATATTCAATTATAATGATATAAAAACCAAAAGTGTTTACTATTTAATTATTCTTATGACTGTTTATGAGTACAGGTGATGACGTGTACAAACTTAATAAATTAACTTTTTTGTTTTGGCTCACAAATATAATAAACATATATTTGCATTTAATAAGAACAGTAAGTTAAATATTAACATTATTTTTTCTCTAAAAATTCACTACAAGTAACTTTAAAACGAGGAAGTTCTGGTTTTTCAAATCTCATTACATTTATTATGTGTTTATATTGAGGATCACATGCCTTTATTCTATTCAAAACACACATTTTAATTCTTGAATAAAATTATTTAAAAATAATAAATAACATGGAAACGTCTACATGTTTTCAAACAATAAAATTTTATTACGTATCAACAAGGTTTCCGATCTTTGGCGCTACATCATAGCTTGTGACATACAAAAAATAAAATCACAAGAAATTTGTCTAGAAAAACTTATATAGATGCTACCTTAGTAGTAGATATACGGATCACTTGTCTCGAAAGCAGACTTCAGTATGAGATTAGTGTTATCAGTCTTTCCAGCAATTGATTTCGTCATTTGACGAACACCTGGAACACAATAATTTGTTGACAATAGATAATAATTTGTTAATATTTAAGTAGACTAATAGTTGTTATACAATAGAAACCCTCATATATTTTCATACTAAGTACGAAAATATGAACCTATGATAAATATTTTCAACTAAAACTACATTAATTTTAATATAACTATCGTATGAAAAGTAAAAATCATCCAACTTCTTAAATAATTATATCGCTGTTCAGTTTTCTATTTTTATTATACAAAGCCTAAAAAAGCGTGGACTTAGACGTGTAATTTGCATTTATTATTTACGACATGTAAAATGAGCTTTTAGTATCATACTACATTATTATGTTTTTACTTTAAGTCTCGTTTTTTTTTTCTATTTTTATTATTTGTACAACTCCACTGATCTATGATAACATAAATATATAGTAGTCTTAAACCTTTTGAAATGTCTCAGTTTTATACTTACTGTGAACGTGTTCTTTTTAATTTAATAAATAGCTGAAACCTGTGTCTTTTCTGGGGTTAATTGAATTTATTGTATATCTTCTATTAAATACAGAAAATTAACTTAGTATCTTTCAGAGTCACAGTCCCACCCCGGTAGATGCCATATGAATACATTTCACAATTCACTTTAAAAAAAATAAGTCAACAAAATAAATGCAATGAAAAAAACAGATTTTAAAAGCAAGGTTCCCATACTTCTCCTAATATAATAATTATTATTATTCTAACATTTTAGTTGCCCTCTTAAACTCCGTATTAGCCAATTTTGTAATCATGACAAATGACTTCAAGAGCCTACAAACCTACAAACAACGCAATGCACTAAATTTACCGAAGCGACAAGTTGTGCCCAAAGTATGGGACAGCTTAATGTTCATCAATAGGAATAACCTGTGTAATTGTCTGTCTTTTCCAAGTCATGTATCAAACTATATAATTTCAATTTTCCTCTGTGTTACCAGCGTATGGTTTGTGCAAGCACAAAGTTATTGCTTAATTCATGGGGAACTTCCTTTACAGAGAGATCTTCTACATCTCACAGTAGCCTTCAAGCAATAAAAATTGAAAAGGCTAATTGAAATGTTAACAGCTACGATAAATACTTAAGTTTATGAGGAGTGAATCGGGCGTAGTAATTAAAATTCGGGTGTAATTCCTTTGCACAAACTAAACATTTTACTGGCCAAATAAGTTACGTAAGTGATATAGTAGAATTGAATTAATCGCTACATGACGTGAGAGGTGTATAAATTGTTATTACAGAACGAAACGCCCAATAAGCCGCCATGGTCATATTGAGGTAAATGCATGACTTGCTAGAGAAAAACATTGTTCTATTGTCCGAACCAAAACATGGTCTGGGCCAATTTATACTGACCCCTTATTAGTTTTGGTCTGGTAGTATTATATAGTCCCACAAATTACATTCATGATATTATGTAAAATTAGCATATTGTACACGGAACCATAATTTCCTCTTGCACTCAATACGTCTAGTATTACAGATAATGCGAACTATTCATAACATCGTGGCTTGTGCCCTGTAAACATCAGCTTATTATAGACGAGTAGAACAGCAGGTACTTTATTTGTACTACCTAAAATAAAATTAAATACAGATGTAACCGAAGAAAATAATGAATTACAAAAAGCGAGCACAGTGTATGGATATATATGTTATATAAAATAGCACCAGAATCTGTATGCAGTCATTTTATATTCACTTCTATCAATTAATTATTAGAATAGAAGATAGTATCTAAACCACCTCAAAAATTCAGTGTTATTAATTAAGTGAATTGTAAAATAAGAACAAAACATCAGCCAAAGGACTCCAATTTATAGCTAGCACATAGAAGTCTTTTATCGAAGTTTAAAAGAAATCCATTAATATAACTGAAATTCATTGCTTGTTTTTCTGTAATAGACCTTTGACTACAGATAACAATATAAAAATATGTAAGGAGCTAATACTAATTACCAAAAAGAGAAAATTTCTCATGTAATAGCTGAAACCAAATCACATATCACCTAAATCATATTTATTTAACTGTAACAGAAAGTAGAGTGCTATCAGATACGTTAGCGACAGTTAGAGCCATTGCTCGATCAGTCTCATTTTCAATAAAATATGGTCCAATAATGCTTCCAGCCCAAAATCAAGACTCAACGCTGTGGGTTCATAAATGTTTCAAGAAAAAATTTGGGTTCTTGAAGCTCAATTGCGACAATTTTTGCCAAAGTAAAAAGTTTGCTTCATTGGTTAGGATAACTTTGTTTAGAAAATGGGTATAGATTTGTTGATGCTTGTTTATCCTTTATATGGGCTATCTTAACTGTGCATCATTATATTATAATATGTCTCAATGTTTTTGGTTAATGACTTTGTAAGCATGAAGACACAAATCTCTAGTGAGCGTGCGTTGGGGAGAGTATATCAAAATTTCGCATTTTTGTCCATGAAACTAAATTAATATTCCATGACATTTTTTTTCAGCAACACTCTTAGGAACTGATCTTATATAGACACCTGAAAGGATTGATTTTGGGTGACAAGGTGAATTATTATTTCTTCTATACAGTTTGATTAAATTAGATAAATCGATATTGTGCACATAAATTCTAACGCCCATTTTCTGGATTTTTGCTTTTGTCGAAAGGGAAATATCTTTTATAATAAATTTCCTGATTGTAGAATGGGGGCGAGATCCAATCTAATTCATGACATAGAAAAAAGATCGAACCCAGTTAACGCAAATGAGATTAGAATTCTTTGAATGCTTTTGTTTCATTATGATTCCTGTAAGACCACATACTTAAATATAATAGAATAACAATTAATTCGTCTATTCTAATTCATCATAAATTTACATAAACGCTTGCTTATTGAGACTCCCGAATTAAGACTGAACGAAGGTGTCTGTATATATATAGTTATTACTACTAGGTCTTACTGTCACCAAGGAAAATGGTTTTAATATTGGACCTACCCTTAAAGTTCACCTTTAAAGACCTTCTCGACTTTCGGCTCGCCTTATGAAGTCTTTATGAAGCCAGTCTTTTGTGCAGTACAATAAGTTGCGTAATAAGCACAGCAACTTATCACTTCTCGTTTATAATATTTTTTATATAACATATTTAGGAAAAGTAACAACTTTTTTAAAAGATTTCATCATTTGCACATCATTAACGTTACCCTGAAAACATCTACGATAAATAAGGGGAAGAAAATGTTGATAAAATAATATTTATTTTTGTCTAAAAACTTTTTTTGGTATATCTAATTAAAAAAATCATTTTTAAAAAATAAATATTTCAACAGTTTGGATCATTGAAGAAGAAACAAACAGACATGCAAAAACGTTAAACCTCTTATTTCAGGTTCCTTACATTTTTCTGCACCAACTAATGTCTTGTTAAAGTTCTAGTTATTCAATTTCATATTCAAACATTTCTTGAAGTTTAATTATGTGTATAGAAACCGTTACGACTAATTTAACAAAATAGCTCTAAATCTTAATAATTTACTTTTCCACTGGAGTAACATTAACCGAAAATCTTAATAATCATTCTTATGTACTTCTTTACTAAGGAGTAAGACATTAAAAACAATTAATCCGCTGGTACAAAATATAATTCTTAAATTTTGACAGTGTTGTTTTTTTTACTAAGTATTTAAAATATGTTAGTAAAAAAAAAAACACAAAAGGAATCCACTCGGACGGAACAAGGTTTATTATTCTAAGTGCTATTATAAAATAATAAACTTAATATATGCAGACATGCAAAAACTTTAAATTCAAACGTGTGAATTGAGCAAAACATGAAAATGAACTGTTTAAACATGTGCATTGACACAGGGAACGTTAACCTCTGAGAGGAGATATTTAAATAATTATTCGACACAATATAATTTTGAACTAAAATTAAACACGAATAAATATTAATTAAACTATATTTTTGGGTTTAAATTTTATTGTATTATTACATTTTCCAAAAATACCAACGCAATATCATAGCATGATCGTAAAAATTACATTGAAGCTCTACAAACGCCTTTTATTTCAATGAAAATAGTACTTAAATCCGTTAAACCTCAGAAGGTTAACCTGAATAGTTAATCTATTATATAAACTTCATACGGAAAATCCATAGCTAATGAAAATTTATTTCATATTTCCGTTATGAGAAGTTAAGTTTTTAATCTTTACGTATTATTAATATAACAAAAAATGATACAAAAAAGCTACAGTTTAATTTATGTCCATTTCTATATTCAAATTGTATGATAACGTAATGTGTTAAGAAATGCAACAGCGATAGTTTCTAAATCTAATCGAAGCTTCCAACGGCGCGGGCGTCCGAGACGAGAAAGCGACGACTGCAGGCGCCTTTAGAGAGTCTAAATTGCCTGCCACATCTAGTAACGGCGCGTCGACAAGAAAATTTTATTAAAACTACATTCAACAAACACTTTAAACACGACGTCTCACAAAATTGTACTAACAGAGTGCATGATTAGAAACCTAATATAAATTAATGCTACCTACAAAAAAGGTTTTATATATTTAGAGCCAGATTCATTTTAAATACCAATTACATATAAAATGAAACAAAATTTTACTTTGTTCTTGTTAACATCTTTATACAATTACGGGAATTTATCATAATCTTTTAATGTAAAAGAAATCGTCTAATGTATTAAAAATAAATTGATAACTCATTGTTAATATTTTATATAACAGCTACTGTATTAAAAAACAATCGCAATAAAACAATTGGATATGAATAAGTGATGTTATATCGAGAATTAATTTAGTATGTCAACAATTATACACGATACATACTAAGTTGTTTGTTGGCTTACCAACGTCACAAACCAAACGTCTAGACGGAGTGCAGACGAATTTTTATAAGGTCCCGCCAGCGACCAAACCGCGTAATACTTGCATGTGTTAGACCATAAAAACGGTGTTTTTGCATCGAGAACATTAAACAGAACACAACATGTTTTAAACACATTATAAAATCATCGTTTTAGAATTGATGTCAGCTCGTTTGGTGATGGAATATAGAGCTCTAAATTATTTCGTTATTATTCCGCGTTGGTGTATTACGTTTGTTTAAAAACATATACTTAAAAAGATATGGATCTTGTGCTAAAAAAACAGCACTTTTTAGCAATATAGACTTTAAATATCAAGATCACCTATACTTTAATCAGTTTTGAAAAAAGTTACTCATGACTACTCGTAGGAGCATGGCTTTGATGCTATTTAAGTTTTTATTATAAATTAAATGACTCGAATATCACACTTGGATATCGTGATAACGTAATATAACACGTTATGAATCAGCATGAAACACAAAAGCACGTTCAATTGACGTGCACAGTGAACATCAGACCAAGTGCACATTAGATATATATCTAATACTGCACAATAACGACTAATGTCAATAATTATATTTGTGTCAGATGCAGACTGATTTATAATAATCATTATATATAGTATAAAATCGATATGAACATCGATTGATTCATTGCTCTCGAAATAATCGATACGTCTGGCACTTTATACAACAGTATTGCATTGACGTCTACGCCGTAACAATCGGTTGTTAAAACAACAATGACGTCCGATGACTGTGACTACAATGATCGGTCTCAGTCGGGGAAAGCCCGTCTGTTCGGCGGAATATCTAGACTATGACTATGTGTCTACAGACCAGACTATTACTGGAGGTCATAAAACAACGCTTTCACATACTCATTTAGACGGCACGTACACGTAGGAATTACGCCTCGATTTAATATTACATGACTTACAATGTGCGAGACGATACTTTAAATACAAATTATAAGTTTGTATGATATTAAAACATGATATGTGATGATAGTGATTTAAAGAAACATAATTCAAGATTAATTCTTTGTGAGAATGGCGTCGTATAACGATTCTCTGTAATAGGTCTTTCATATTGTAATGTTTGTCAATATTTCGTACGTTACACACAATATTGATGTAGACAATGTGTGCGTCATAATACATGATGAAATCATTCAGTGGAATCCAATGTTTGTAATCATTCCGACATATTTATAGCTATAGTTATCGCTACCCGTTTATTCCTTGGAAAAAAACTATCTGTATACTTTTTACATATACCTAAATAAACTTTAGTCTTATTATTTGTTAGTTTTAAGATACAAGTATAAGTAATACAGTCGTTGTACATCAATATCATCGGCAGGTGTTTGTCTCGTGATATCCGTTTTATTCGTATTCTGTACACGGGCTTGTTTAATTTATTACGCTGCTGTGGAAGTGGGATCGTAACTCTACTAGAACCTTTAAGTCAGCCTGGTGTACATTGAATGCGGGCACATGAATACTATTTGGAATTCATAAAACAAATTCCTTTTTTAGTTTTTTCTTCAAACATATCTATGTATATAAATTTAAATAAGCTCGGTGGATTTTGAAATAAATCTTGTTATATTAGTAAGTCTTATGACATTTTTGTGTCGGTTTTATTCTTTGTTTAGTTTAAATATAAAAACTGTATCCATTTTCTATTCAGTAAAATGTAGTAGTTATTCAAAAACCATTATATTCTGATATATAAATTAATCATCCCAGATCAGAAATTACATACGAATCTTGGCATTTAATTTTTAAACGACATATATCTACAATGTGTAGCTAGTCTTTTACTGATAAAAAAAAACAGTCTGAAAACATTAGCCCGACTTGAAATGAACGTACATTTTGCTCATCTGCAACTGAAGGTGGCAAGCAGGGCAAACAGCAGGTGGGCCGGTGCAGTGAAAGGAGCTCCGGGGAGTGCAAGCGGCTCTGGTGGGGCGGAGGGCGAGGGGCGAGGGCCGAGGGGCGGCGGGGACCGTCTAGACAGGCCGCAGACGAGCGGAGGCTGCGCCGGGCCGCACCGACACACACACACGCACACACACACACCGACACCCTGACCTCTAGCACTCAAGGTACACTCGATTAAAAAATACCAAAGGATTCAATAACATTAACAAGTAGCCGGGACTTATTTTGTATCATAATAATAACCTTTATGATGCATTACAAAAAATGTTACCAGGTATACATGGAGTAATGAAATAAAGGTATACATGGAGTAATGAAAATGATATAAATACTACGGGCATGTAAAAAATAACAAAACAACATCGCTATAGTCGCTTTATGATTATAAAATTTTGATATCTCATTCAAAAAGGACGAAATAAAATGAAAGTTGCTTTAACAAGAATAGAAAATTTTAATATAGGGAGCGAAATAATATCATATCTCCTGACAAAGATCAAACATAATATAATGTATTATATATTCTTTTGCTATTTATTCCACGATATCTCACAGAGGAATGTTTATAACTGACGATTATTACCCTAATAAATTTATCTTATCGTATTCTTTGAACAATTTACCGGAAAATTGAAATATTTTTGCGGTTTCTTGTATAGTATACTAAATTTAATATACATTTTTTCATTTTAATTTATCTCTTACTTAAGCTTAGTTGTCCTACTCTGTTGTTTAAGTATAAATTAATAATTTATACATTATAAATTACAAATTAAATAGCCTTAGCTTATTGCGGTAGCTTGAAAATTAAATTCCTCTTATTACTTAACTTGCAAATTAATTTTACTTTGTATAGGAATTATAATAAGTAATATTATGGTAATGGACATTAATTTTTCTGAAACAATAGAGAACAAAGAGTATAGTAAACAGTAGCGATAAGGCAAGAGTTCATTGAACTCTGATAACCACATTGATTAATAGAATCACATATTAATAGCACAACAATACCTTTGTTAAGCTATACACACTAATTCTTAGGCATAGACATAGATCATTGTCTTATTTTTTTTATTACCATAGACTATAAAATATTATGATTTGTTATCTATAAGCAATTTTTTTTTCTTTATTCATATTTTAATCTGTATTAGAACACTTATCATATGTCATACGGATTTAGGTTGAGAAAGGAAAGTACACGTTCAGTGTGGCTTATATTAAATGTATTGTTGAATGCATTCTGTATGCGGTATATCCGCTGAGTTCGGCGAGGTCACTGGCATGTACCGTAAAATATTAACTGTTTTATAAACAATATATATAGTATGTGTATGTATATGTATTGGATTTGTAATATTTAGCATTATACTCTTCAAGATGTAGAAAAACCATTTGATAATAATGCTACTACACTTGATTGTTCCAAAAAAAAAGGCTTTGTATTAATTCTTTAATATATTAACATAATATTAAAGCTATTTATCTTGATTTTCAAAAATATAATTTAATATAAAACCTTTTTAAAGTCCCAATACAACAAAGCTAAACAAAGACGAATGATATGAAGTCTTGACCTGACATATCATACAATGGTTTTAAAAATAAAAAATATATAAAACCTATTTAATATTCACGACATTCAGCCAGTGATTGTCATGATTATCATTTCATTTAATTACAAAGAATGAATGTAATCTTATCATTGCGGCGTCGACCCACGGCAATGTTTATGCGCTCTCTTTATAATTCACAATCGTCTGGCCACTGCTGCTCTGAGATAAGGATACTCACAAATTATATATTATTCGTGAAGAAAATTTTTAAACAGCCTCACAGATCATTCCTAAATAGCATTTAGTACAAAAGACATCAACGAGTCGGCATTATTTAAACGATAATTATTAAAATAACCTATAGAGTTTTCAGTTGTCATAATTAAATATTATTCACTATGAATTAAAATACGTTATACTATGTTCTGAATAAAACTAACATATTCACTTCCATATATAACACAACGAAATACAAATAAAACGAATTGTAGACCACAAATTGTGGTATGCAATTAAAATTAATGCAATTTTTATATCAATTAAGGGGAACATGCTGTCACATTAAATTGTAGGTCGTAAAATACTGGAACTGTCGACGGAAATGCGAATATCAGTAAAAGCGTCGTAAATAAAAAGACAATTCATAAATTGCGAAATGTAATTGCCGGCAGTGGCGAGCGAATGAACGGCCGTGCTAATGAAAATTTAAAGTAACCGGTGCGGGCACACCATGTGGCCCAAGTCAGAGGAAAATAACTCACTTTAATACTATACTGATATCGGTACTAGTGCTAGGAAAAAAACTTGTCATTGTAATCGATTCACAAAAAAACAATTACGATTCAGAGATCATTTAAAAATATATATATCTTATAAGATATTTGCAAAGAAACAAAACCTATCATAACTTTTATTACATATTATATCTACATAAATTTATTATAATAAAAATGTTCACTTAAAAACTTGACTTATCATAAAATAAATTAAATTTCATTCAAAATTCCAACCCATAATTTGTTACAAAACATTGGTTGATAAATCTGTAAATGCCATTACTATTTAGCAAAATAACTGTCATAATTACTTCGCTTATTTAAAAAAAACATAATTATTTTTCTAATCATGAATGCCATCACGATTTGTCAAATCTATAAATGCCATCACTGTTTGTATCATCATGAATGCCATCATTATTTGAACGTTCAAATCGCCGGGCGCTGTCTCGTTCCGTCCAGCTGGGAGGGTGTAGCGGCCGCGGTGTACTGACAACATATGCTCTGTGCATCACAGGGAGTGCACTGACCCACCAGCCTGTCACAACCCGCATTCTTTTACACAGACTTAAGCTAGCCTTACCTCCTATATCTACCAAGTTTTCAAAGGTTGCCTTATTTATTTACTACATTAAATATGATTACGTTTAACATATTTTATTCTATTTATTGTGTATTATTTATAATGAAATATATTATATGATGACACAATAACTACGAACTTGTACCTAACAAAAACTATACTTGAAGTTAATTATTTTCATTAGAGGTACGAAAGGTTATTTGAAACTAGACAACTCATTTATATATGGAAAGCTTAACCCTAAATAAACAGAATCTATTTGAAACAGATAAGTATATATTTATTTATTATATATCAGTTCAGAAACACAGAACTGTCAAACGATTGAATTTATTTTTATGAAATCATCAGTTGACGCGACGTCCTAAGTCATAAGACACATTTGTATGTACACTCTTCAGTCTATAGTTGTAAATATACTCGGAACTAGATAAATGTATAGAGATATGACACAACTTCTACATTTGTACAGGATTCCAATTTACCATAAAATTCTATTTATTATGGGTGTTACATTACATACGTTTATATAAAACTATTTACTGATACAATATTAAAATGTATTAATCTGTGCCATAATATTTAAAAAATATTATCACAATTAAAATTTCGGTTATGACTTATATATAGGAAAGCCCTTTTTATTATTAATTTATTCTATATTTACAATCACAACATAATAATTTTAATTATTTTGACAGATAAAAGATTATATGAACTCAAAAATATATAAAAAACGTATTTTTTTCATTATGGAACTGAATTCTAATAATTTAACCGGGATTTAAATATGACTATTTCTCGTCCAAGATCATATAAGAAATTACAGTCAAGAGACGTCTACATAGATAATTAATATTTAATATATTAATGCACAGACAATACTTGCATAGACTGAACAAATTATAATGAATAATTAATTATCTGCAGCGTAATTGATATGCTTATCATGGATTTTATTAATAGGTCAGAGAAAATTAAAAATCATTTAACGTTAATTTTATCGTCACATCTCATGCCCACTTAAGAATTCACCGGATACTTTAAATGGCGCCTTCATTGCAAAAATATATGCAACCAATAATAATTCATTATTTATTTGACTAAAACAGAAACTTTTTAAGACCGGGATCGATTACTATCTCACTGTAATATTTACTTTTTTTATATGAATATATAATACTAGCTGCGCCCCGCGATGTCCGGGATTTCCGGGATGTAAAGTAGCCTATGTGTTATTCCTGGACGTCAGCTTCGTGTACACAAAAATTTATCAAAATCGGTTCTGCCGTTTGAGCGTGAAGAAGTAACAAACATACACACACACTCACAAACTTTCGCAATTATAATATTAGTAGGATTAAATAAATACTCGCGAAAATCTTAGATCATCATTTTCTTTCTTGTCAATTTTGTATTTTTTTTATAAATAATAATATAACCTACAATTCAAAGTACAATGCATATAGCTGAGTATTGAGCAGGTTTTTGATAAATAAGTAAAACATGAATCTCTAGAAGTTTTAATATTATCGTTAATCAACTTTTCTGTATCAATAAAGACTTCTAATCGAAAACACCTTTACGTTTGTCCTCCTTGCAGCTTGTTTCAAATACGAAACAAATACACTATGTCAGAAATACAAATCATACATTTGTATGAAACAAAACTGTTAAAAAAAAACGAATCCTGGGCTCGTATTTATACTTAAATGTATTGATTCTTTAACGAGACTACGTCGATAGATTTTCTGTTTAGAGAGAACTTGTATGATGTCACGGGTAATATAAAGTTATACATGGTTAATAACTATGAGCATGGAAGTTATAATTTTATCTTGAAACCAGTTCATAAATTGTCAGCAATTGTTTAGGCACTGTTGAAACTCTTCTCCCTGCAACGCGATTGACCCGGCACCCGCACGGTGAATTCATCGAATGCTAAGAGGTTTCGCCTCATTGAAAAATAACGTTATTTATATTATTTTCTCTCAAGATGGTTGCAGCCAAATTTTGTGTACTATATACCTAAAACTTCTTAGCTTTCAGAAAAACTGTCACTAAACCAACTGGCACATCACTGACCCAATCTAAATATCCAATTGTGACAAAAGCTTACCAGAGTTGAAATAATTTTTAATAAAACATTTTTTTTCCTATTGGAACTTGATATTATCAGCTTAACGAGACAAACAAAGTCGGGACAGCACCATTGTATAGACAAGGTATTATATAACATGTGAGGTTGCTGACTCCGCGCCATCGTCACCACGACGTGGGAACCAAGAGGATTCCTGGTATCGTAAAGGAAATACAATGCTATTGCTAACCTACCACGTGGGCTTATATCGAGGTCCCTATAACTACATCAATTTATAATTCAGTTTTTAATAATGTAATTATGCAGATAATGTACTTTTAAGTTCCTGAACTTCGTAATAATATCTAAGATTTGATTTTTTTTCGCATACTATACTTCTTTTATTACTTTATATATGTTTGTTCCCGATTTTAAGATTACTTTCCAGCAACCGTGATCACGAGCTAACAAGATGAAAGTATCTGTCAGTTAGTTTTGTTATTTACAAACTACCGTCAACGGTATTTTAAGTTTCTAGTTTACTACTCAAGAAGAATATAATGTGGCCACACACATTGGTTTTTATATTATTGATGATTATAATTGCCATGTGTTTCATAATTGCCAGCTGCCCTTCTGTATTGAAATGAGGGTGTTCTTTTAATTTCAATAGCCTCGCGTATTAATCTCGGCATATATCTGTCTTCTCGAGCAAGGATCTGTGGTTTGTTAAAGCGGATGTATTGGCTTGGTTTGTCTATTGTGTGTTCACACACTGCTGACTTCGACGCACGCCTTTTTTTAATATCCGATATATGGTTTTAACCCTTCTACCTATACTCCTCTTTGTCTGTCCAATGTATGACAAGCCACAGTCACAATCGATTTTATAAACACCTTGTTGTAAAAGTATGGTATTTTTAATCGGTTTTAAAAATTGGCTTACTTTTTGTGTGATATATTTATTGCCTAGATAAAAAAACCTTCTTCAAGATATTGTCTATTCTAAAAGTTACACCTTTTACATGTTTAACATGGCAGGTTGTTGCTCAACTGTGGCTTGCAATGGTTCTTGAAACGAAACAAGTAGATGTAAATAATAAAAAAAAGCGTACTATCTGAAACTAAATCTGAAACTTAATTTCATTCCCAAACTTCGCCTGACCCATACTTATAACTTATTTAAAAAAAAATCAAATTGATTACGATCAGCGACAAACATAAAAATTTTAATTGGTAAAATGTTAAAATATTGATTGATAAAGTTTATATACTTGCAATCGCTTAAAAAATTACCATTTAAATGGAATTGTCATAAAATTTTGTCTACTTTTAAAACCTGAAAAAAGAGAGAGAGTTGTAGAAAGTAATGTACGTTTTTTTACTTCATTATTAAAACCATACATTTATTATCAACTATCAAAAATGTTACAACAAGAAATAATATAAAAGTGCGTATATATTATATGACACCTTGATGTGAATGATTCAAATGTCTTGAGCGAATTCAAGGTACAACTTTGACTTAAAAGAAAAATAATGTATTTGCTTTTATATGAGGTAGTTTTTTCTATTACAATTATCTTAATTGTGTAAAATTATTTCGTAATCCTGACTACATTTCAAACAGCCTTAATTGAGTATTCTTTGGCTCGAAGAAAATAAGACTACAATAAAAATGAATAGCGTCGATGAAAAAGAATGAAACTGAATATTTATACAGGTGGAAGTTCCCGACGTATGAGAGTTCAACGTAATGTCAAACACCTATCTATATCAGAAATAATTTTACATCTAAATATAAACCGTGCATAAGAATTCACAACACAGTGCGCGAGACAGTGAGATAGTGCGAGTCTCTGTTTCCTTGCCAATTGCTGCGACATTGTGTCTATTGACACGAGCCGCGCGGCGCACCTCGTCCGCCGAGGACTATTTTAAGTGGAGGAGAGGCGCAAGTGGCGCGCGGGAGAGACGGCTCAGGGCGCGGGTCCTAGGCTGCCCGGGCTCCTCGGCGGCCCTATCAATGAAAAAAGGTTCGTAGCTCAGGAGCACGCTCACGTCCAGGGTCCGAGCACCTATGCAGGCGACCGCGGTACATATCGCATCACCGCCCGCCCGCAATTTCGCGTAAAATTGGCAGCGCGCTGCGGGCGGGCGGCGAGGAGCGTCGCTCCCGAAATAGTGTTCGGGCGCGGTCGTGCGGTGTCGGAGGCGGCGCCGCAGTCGCCGTGTGGCAGCGCGCGCGCTCCCGCGTCGCATCCCGACCGTCACCCGAGCGGCTGAAGCGAGGCCCCGAGCGCACTGCACGGCCCCACGGTGCGCGTATTTCGGTCGAGAGGAGGCCCCGGGCCGCGCTGGCCGCCGTGCTCTGGTGGTGGTGCGTGGCGCTGCTGCGGCTGGTCGTGCTCTGCGCGCCTCCCCCCGGCCCGTCCTCCGCGCGCGCCCCCGACGATGCTCCCTCGCCGCTGGCCTGCGCGGCTTGCGCGCGTGCGCCCTCCAACGTTACCGACCCGACGACCACTCCGCCGACCCCGACGACGCCTCCGACCGCGACCGACGCGACCTCTCACACCGGTCAGTACAGCTTCCGTTCAAACTGACCACTGCCTTCGCGAATGACCCACTTGACACGACATGCGACCCGATTCATTCGGTTTGAAGTCACAAACGTTTGTTTCAATTATGTAACTAAACATGTCGAAGCATATCGCAAAATAATTATTATGATACAAAAAATATGATAGAGATTTATTTGATTGCTATATATACAAAGTCAACATCTGCTGTACAAATCTATTGTGAATTAAAGCCATGTGTTTGCTCGATTTCATACGAAGCACATGTCGTGGACTCTAGATGATCTTCGAGTGTAACCAAATCTTAATAATACAGATGTAATGTCAAACTAACACAAATAATGTAATACAACACATCTGACAACTAGCCCTGGACCTCAATATTCGTATTAGATACAATATCAAAGCTATATCTATTTAAAAAGAACAAATATTCTTTATATTTAACCGTACCCCAGATTCCAGATATTTTTATTACACTATTTATAAAACTAAATATAAGTTATTCGGTTTTATTAATAAACAAAACATATCGTTACTATAGTAAAATCCAATCGACTTTTACAATATATGTATTTTCTTTTTATATTTTACCGTTTTGTAACATTCTAAATACATACTTCGAATTCTTGTCAAAGCGTAATTTCGGAGATAAAAATTTTTCATCCGTAATTTATGGTCCCCTGAATTCGACAGAATTATCTTATTCAGACCATTCTTAGTGTTGTTACACAAGAAAATTATCATAATGCTAGATTTTAATATTTTACTTTATTCTCTTATACTGTGTGGTATATAGATTACTAAATATGTAGAAGTGAATTTAAAGAATTATATTTAAAGGGAAAAAATATTTACCATGAACAAAAAAAACTTAAATAAATCAAAAGCACGTACTTACATAATATGTATATATACTATGGTATTATAAGTCTTATTATATTAAAATTTCATATCTAGACTTCGTTATGACTTAGTAAATGTTTCCATAAAGAAAAATATAAGTTGTTTTTGAAACAACAGATATACACACATAAAACAAAGCAACAGATAACGCTTAACGACTAGCCGTAGACAAAACAAATTAAAATGCTTCAACACTACGAATGCATAAAAAAAGATATCGAAAGATAAAAAATTGTTTGAGATAGAAAAATAATGGCGAGAGCACTTCGTCTGAGGGCGACGGATGTGGGTTATCAGAGCGAAGGTTTCACAGACAGCCCTCACTCTCAAAACCCTCCAAGACCAGAGAGGGATGAGGCAGGGACCTCCGCCTCCCCGAAATTTGCGTCACGATAACAAGTCTGGAGTAAAGGGCCCAGCTTGTTTTATACCTAAATGAATGTCTGCGTAATGGTACTTGGAATTCCGATACGTCCATTATCAAGCCAAGCAGACGGGTCACAGTTACAATTAATAATAACCATTCAACTGTTTTGATAAGCGCGAACAATGTATAGCTCGCATGTTTTCATCGGATTGCTCTCGAAGTTGTTCTATTGTTCTGTAGAATGTAATACTAAAATAATATTTATAAGAAATGTCTGCAAGTTAGTCGTTCGATTTCATTATGTTTAAAACTGTACAAGGCGAAGGAACAAACTAAAAACATCATAACTTCAGAATGAACCACTTAACATACCTCGAAGTCTTGCATCATCATGATTTATGATCACAAAAGCTTACAATGTTACCTATACTTATCATTCGTCTACCATCTGACCTTCAAACTTTTAATTGCTCGAATTTAGCCTTCTTATGGAGTATTTTGAAGACAAAAATTTATTATAATATCAAACGACTTTCTTCAAGAACCACGACCACATAGAACAGGTCGGCGTAGGTACCCTTCATTTTATATCGATTATCCGGCAAAAACCGGATTTATTTCATTTCTACTTTACATTAAAATTACAAATTAATTCCGGATACTGAATTCCTTTTTATCATGCCATGACATGATCTGAGTTAAAAGTTAAATTACTTTTACTTTTCTTTTCGTTTTTTTTTTCTAATTAGACGTCTAAAACGAATTCTGCCCATGAACGAACGTAAAGCACAATTAATGTTCGCAGTACACAAAATTACTTTGAAACAAATTCTGTATATAAAAACAGATTTTTAATGTATTAAATAAAAGCAGAAAACAAAAGAAATTACTGAAGTAAATATGAGGCGTATATATGTTATCAATAACAGCTGACAGATAGTGTATTATAAATATCATTATATGGTGATAAGCGTTATCAGTTCAAGCCAGTCAGTCAGACGTCCTCTACACCTTATCAAGTTTCACTAACTTTATTTTGTCTACAAAAAGTTGTTTGTAAATTCCACAGATAAATATTTTTTTAATAGTAAAGTATGATAGTCTCTATTGATCATTATTTTTTGATAGATCCATGTTATTTTAAATAGGATACTTTAGCTTTCTTTCGCCTTACATTATGTCTATACAATACTTTTTTGTTATGTACTAATATACATATTTAAATATATATAAAACAATCAATAATAGAATATTTATTTAATGCTGTAAATCGCGTAAATGCTGATAGTATTAAAACACTAATTATTGTCATTGAATGACACTTCTACACCTATAACACCAATTCCGCCTGTATTTTATTTACTTATAAATTCTAAAAACTAATTCCTCGAAGACTTATCTGTTTCTGGAAATCATATTAAAATATTTGATATCATAATAAAGAAATGATACGAAAAATGTTTCAGAAAATATTACGTATACAGTTTCAAAATTTGCTTCGGCTTTTGAATTTAAAAACAAACAAGACCTATTAATTAACTATAGTATTCTTTATATATTTCACCTTAAATATTATGTCACAAGTGATAGTCAATTTACCAGGGAAGACATGTCTTAATCTTCAATCTTCGCCCATATCACACACGATGTCCAACACCCTCATCATTTTCATTCAAAATATCACCGATCTTTAATAACCTCGCCTTAGAAATCTACCACACCTCGTCTTTTAAAAATAAACCTTTCTCCGCCGAAGCCGTCTGAGTAAGAAATTCACTACCTGTCTCTATTAAACTAGACATATATAAAGTTTTAGTCAAAACTCTTTTCACATATATTTTCATGTTCAAACATTGACACATTAGCAGTCATAAAGTACTTTATACACATTTGAATGCTCGAGAAACCTATCACAAATAAATCACTTCAATAACATTGTTACTTTCGGAAGAATTTTTTTTGCCTCATTCCTATTCCTCCAACGAACATAATTTCTTCCTTTAATATTTTATGTAATAAAATTCTAGAGGGGTGTAGATTTTATGGCGAGGTACATTTGATAGTCTTATTATAAGACTGAAAGATGCTCGAATTTAGCAAGTTACTGAGAGTTTTGCGAGTCAGTTTATACTAAAATATAAATTACCTAATTAACAATAACTTTTATTTATAAAGAAACTAACTGACGTTAAACTCGAAGAAATCTTTTCGCGCTATAAAGTGTTATACAGGGTGACTGGTGAATTACTATCAATATTTAAGGAGCATACTCGGTACATGATTCTCATTCGAATTATGTAAAAAAAATAGGTACTTAATTTTTGACCAAATTTCCGTATAAATAAATAAAGTGTGTACACGTTCCAAGTGTTCCGAGTGTGGGCGCGTGCGGCGGCGTGCTGATACAACACTACGCCGCCGCCGCGTCTGTGTGAGTGTGTGTGTATACCTAATCTGTAGGGTGTTCATACGATGCGTAATTAATTACATAACTTTTGGTTAACTTTACTTAGAAGTTTATTAATATTTATGTTATATTAATTTTTATTTTGTCATATATGATCGTCAAATATCACGTCCTCATATATCGATAGTAATTCACCAGTCACCCTGTATAAAAGACAAGTGAAATGTCTTAAAACTTTTAAAAATGTTTATTAAATTATGGAAATTATTTTACGCTTTTTATTAGTATTTTTCATTAAAAAAAATTAAGACACCAAAATTTAAAGTCATTAAAGTGACAACTGTATCTTCAATTTATTGATATATATAAATATACATCGTACTGGGAAATGGTTTTTTCTAAAATTAATATTAATATCACTATGCTAATTTTTTGGCATCTCATATACTGTAAGCGAAATCTTGTTTAGGGTTCCAAGATCAAAATGGGATCTATTTATAAAAGAAATTTGTGTTCATCCTTTCATACCAAGAGCTGTGAAGAACGTTTAAGGGGTTTATAAAATGTACGCTAATATAATGTCCAACTGATGTTCAGTATTTTGAAGTTTAGTCTATAGCCCTTTTATCTAGATTGTGTTTAAAATCGAATAATTGAAAATTTAAATTTCCTTTCTACTATCTCTTTATGTTATGTAGTCCTAGACACCCAAAACAGCCATTATTAGAATTTCAAACTCAATTTTAAACTTGACAAACTCTTTGTGATTTCTCCTCATGATAATCAAAATAACATTGTAATGCATATATTAGCTTTAGAAAAATATTTAACACATACAGTCTGATAGAAATCTAATTTAATATAGTTCTATGATATCTTTTACATTCTAAGTGTATAGCATAATTCATCGTGAAAGATGCTGTAAAAATCTTACAAGATTGTTCTTTCATTATCTCTCATTAGATTAATCTTAATCTGTACGCACGTTGAGTTAAGCTGTTACTTATTAGTAACAGATACTTATTAGTGCAAAAAATGTATGATAAGTGATGTCCACCTTGGACTTCGGTTTATGACAAACTAATCCTTCAATAATTTTATATTTTTCGGTCATAACTCGGGATTTTGATATAACATATCATACGACGTTTTGGTGAGTCAGTTACTTTATCAATAACATAATAAAATGTAAAAAACCACCTACATTCGAATTGCCATTTAACTATGATACTGGTTCAAATCAAGCACTTAATTGGGTAATCCTTACATTACTATGGAAAAGAGCTGAATTCGTAAACTCCTGGACCAATATTAACCAAAGATAACTTAGATTCATCGCAAGGAAACTGGCTTCAAAATGAAAAACCCGCATCGGAAGCGGTCGATCCGTTTAATATCTTCGACACAAAAGACAGACAGACACACACAGGCATTGACATCAAACTTATGACACCCCTATACTTGTAACGGGAATAAAGCGCTTTTTGAGAAGTATGAGTTTTCCGATGGTATTAACTATATTTTTTTTTTCTTACAATAAATCTAGATTCTCTTGTAGGTTAAAGCATTTTTTTAACATGTTTACAGTAAGATAATTAAAACAAACTTCGTACAAGTATATAAGAAATGCAATTTGTAATATCATTGTAGAACTAAAGTAATATTCATATGTTTTTTTTATTTAACGAGCCTCTACGACCACGGAACTCTGGATACCAAAATGATTTACACTTGTCCGGTTTTTTATTATGGTTATATCTTGTTTGAATTATCAAAAAACATTAGCATAATCGTAATTATTTGATAAACGGCCTAGTACTGGTATTTTCAAAAGTAAGTTTTGAATAATAAGGAATCTTTGGTGACAAGCTTCATTTTTTTTTGTGCTCTGTGATTGAGATAAATACTGTCCAATAATTTTTAGAGACACAAGTGGTTATAAGTATAGAATTATGGGCTAAGTATACATATTTACACCACCAATCACGATACTCTTCATGTAATTTTATCAAAAATCTATAGGAGTATGTGATTTGGTTCAAAATATACAAAATGAATATTAGCAAGCGAAGTCGCACGAAACAGCGAGTATTGAATAGTTATAAGATTATCGAGAATCTCTTTGTTAAAGCTGAATAATGAAAGTAAAACTGTTATTTTAGAAATATTCAATAGGCCACCATTATGAATTTAGTATATTATAATAGTGAATTGTTTATTTATTTAGAAATATAACATCACGATTCAGAAGCTTAATATACAATGTGACTTGACTTCGATCGATCATATTCAATTAATTCAATAGAATATATACACAGAAACAGGTACCAAAGAATTTAAGAAAAAAAACGAAACGATATCTCATTTAATCCCGTCTATCGCATGTAAATCAAACTCGACGAATCCTTGTATAGCGATACCTAGAATCGGGAATTAGGAACATTTTAGTGTCCCGGGTTGGGGGAGGTCGAGGTGGAGGGGGGAGGGAGAGGTTTGTTATGGCGGCGGCAGGAAGCAGCCGGTGGCACGTGTAAAGGCGGCCTTGAGACGGCAGGTCGTCGAACGCGCGCTGCCGTCAGACTCAGCTACCAGCGCCTGCCGCCTGCCGCCCGCCGCGCGCCGCCGAGGGTCTGTGGGTCCCTCGCCGTAACCATTGTCCCTTCTCCCATCGCTTATTACTCACCACGCGTTAGTAATCTCCCAAACAATTTCTATACGACGCGATCCCCTTATTCGTGTCGCTTTGTCAGTTCAGACTTTAGACAGACCTGTTTTTTTTTAGGTAATTTGCACTTTGTCAAAGGTCAAACCAGCCATTCGTTATTTTTATATCTTTTATTATAATTTTAAAATATTAGTTTGAATATATTTTTATATTTATATGTATAATAGAGAAGGCTCTACACGAGTCAAGTAAACAAAACATCGGGGTCATCGCGACAATGCACTGTTCGCGGTGACGTCATCACGGGAGAATTCTTTCCGAATTTTCGATCGACGTTGTGTATTCTTAATGATATCCACCAAAACACCATTATTAAGATATTTATTAAATGCAACCAAAATATCGTATTTAAATACGTAACACATACATACATACATATATACGTAAGTAGAGTATCGACCGTACATTCTTGATATTATCGGTCTGATAAAGGATGAGGGCAGACTTGGCAGGGGGAGGGGGGAAATAGGTCGCGAGGCCATCGGCCGGGAACGGCCTCAACTCCTCAAACGAGTGTCGGCTGAACCGTCTCGCTACCCCTGCGCCAATTCCGCTCCACACTGGAAAACATCAAAGGGTCTTATTCTTATACCGGATAAACATATCACATCTCCTTAATATTATTCTGTAAATAATAATATCTATCTAATTATGTCGCGTACGACATAAATTCGTTTATATTTCTTGTATAATTTTGTTATTCTACATGTAATACTTTTTGGTATCAAATATAATTAAAGTTTTAATGTGACTTTACAGTTTATTTGAACATTGGTTAGTATTAAAAAATTAGTGAAAAGCCATACATATATATTAGTTGTTTTCCGTATATCTTTTTTTCAATCTCATACATCCGTTGTAGTTTTTTTCTAACCAAAGAGTTTTTAATGTCTATGAATCCGGTATCATCTACTCTACCCACAAACGTTTTCTCGAGACATGGTTCGTAGATTTTAATTTAAAAATAACAATAGCTGAATGAAATCATTTCATCGAAATATCTCCTACGTACAGACCTTCCAAGGCGTGTGAACAGAACAAAAATTTCATCACGAGATTCTTAAGAAAGAATCCTTTTATATATCGGATTTTAATACAATTTTCCAAATATGTCTTAACTAGGTAAACGCGTTTGTGACAACGCTTAGTGTGGGCTAGAAATGGCATAATGCGAGTGGGTCATCTCGACTTTCTAATAGTTTCTAAGTATATAAATAAAAATATGAAAGGGCCATTCTTTTACCTAAGAACAATGGTACATACGTGACTCCATTTCCTAAGTAATGGACATTAAACAGTCTTTAAATCGCGCACGGAATAATAACATATCATACAAACGAACGCATCGGATTATATGAGGGGTACCGTCTCAATGTGATGAATTGAGAAGCTCAATAAAAAGAATTAAGTTAAATTGGCTCGTGTCATGTCATGGAAAAGGGCGGGCATATTCATTTATCACTTTAGATCTGTTCATAAAAACATGATTATTATAAAACTGATATTAATATAATCCTATTTACTTTTATCATTAGATGTTACAAGCAAAAACCAGTAGGAGGAAAATGTATATCATATATTATGACAACAATCTTCTATCTGCATGATGTTTAACCTTGTACAGAATATTGCTTCTCCAGTACTTAATAAAAGGACGCTAACAAGCGCTGTGGGGGATATTAAAATGTTCCCATTTAACTTGGAAAGTATTTTACATACTATATCACAGTACTACCGATTCATACTGTGCCTATTACAACCTACAAACCTATTTATATGATTAAAACAATTAATAGTAATTTAAATATAAGTCGCCTTGTCTCTCTTGGGTGAGTTCCATAAAAGTTTAACCTGTGTTATTATGAATAATATATTCGATTAGACAATAGTAAAACCGATTTTTTAAAATCCATGAAATTCTAGAACAAATATTAAAATCACAATAAATCCTCCAACAAATGGCCTCTACCGTTACGACATTATAACAAATACTTCAAATGTCTTTTAGAGAGTAGACGTTATTTATTAATAATAGTGAAGATGATCGAATATCAAGGTGTTGTAGTGGTATCAGGGAACAGTAGGGACACGAGTGGCTTGCACAGAGACGTCGCACGCCCAAAATAAACAGCGAAACACGAAGAAAACAATTGACACCGCGCGTGCGCCCTCACGCACTCGCAAAAATTAAAGGGATATATAGAAAAATGATGGGACTCATAACGAAAGTGAAATCGTGTTGTCACGCTTTGATTCATATCTAGTCGAACGTGGTCCACAAAGCGTGACACTTATAGGCTGACTTCTGTTCACTATTATATGGAGTCTTGAAAGTGTTTGTTTACAACTTAAAACATATTTATATTTCCACACATGTGAGGCCTATTAATGTATCTCACAAATTGTTTGCGCGCTGGGTATTTTAGTATTACTGGTACTCGTCGCTGTTCAGTCCTTAGAAGATAGTGTATTATAGATATATGTATAATGTTATATAGCTATAATAAGTTATACGTGTATTATCACAAGCAGTAGTAATAAAAGGTACCTATTTTATATATTTTTTCTTTTTATTAAACAAAAACACGCACTGGCAACACCTTAAGATGGAATCCCAAATAGACTGTGTATTAATTGTAAAAAAAAAGTAAACGAAAACGAAATCTCATTCATAGTTTCTATATTTTTTTAAATTAAAAACTGTTGCTTAAATAACCGTATGAATTTCTATACATTATATAAGCTACAAATCCATAGTTTTTTTAATTTAAATTTGTATTTCATGATAGTGATGTTATTATCAAGAGAACCTCCATCGTAAACGTAAACAGTCCGTAAACATCGTTCAATGAATGCTCGGTATGCAAGCTCAGCGGCAGGCTAAGTAAAGCTCTCATTAAAATAGATCTCACGCATAAATACTTTCAATGTACTCAGGTGATATAGAACATGCGTTTGTTTTTTTATTTTTATTATTAAATTATAATATAGTTTATATATTTATTTAATGTAGCGTTAATGAACTGTATATTACGCGTCCAGAGTAATGGCAACAAAATACCAAGGCCGTGACATATTCTAACAATGCGTATTAAGATATGTGAAGTATTGCTTGGTGTGAATATATTAGTAATTAGTTATCTTGAAAATTTTGAGACTGCTAATGCCGACATTCCTGTAACCGAAAAAAACACTATAATTGCGGAATTGGCTAAGTCCTTTTACGAATTTTTTCTTTGTAAAAATAGGTAAAAACTCCTTGTGTTTACTTGTATTGGGTCACAAATTTCATGACAATTAATTCGAAGAGATGTTCAATTTATTAAAATGTAAACAGGACGAGTGGATTGCGGTACTATAAAGTAATAAACTATAGGGCGAGAATTGTTTTAAACTATTTGATTAAATAATATAACTTACTATGGAAACTAACCAAGATAACTGCTGACTTGGGATAAAACAATAACTCAACACAATCATGATTCACTAACAATATTTGTATATAATATCTACCCTTAAATGTTTAGTACATTACAGTACATGATGGAGTCATTATTTTCATTTTATATTTATTACAAATACTGACGAGATGTGATTAAAAATTATTTTTATTATTTATCTTAATGTCTTCTCAAAGTATGAGAATACAATAAGCAATTAGCAGGTCTGTGTTCGTGAAGTAACGTATTAAATACTATAGACGTTGAGAGCGCAACAAAACACACAGACATTATAATTTTATCCGTAATTTATCACCGCGGCGAGTATCGTACAACAATGTTGTCGTACGAGGAGGGTATTTTGTTGGACGCTCGTCTCTGATGGAAATAACCTCGGGTTATTCTTACAGGCTCGACTTCTACGCTCCGTTTATAGCAAAACAAATTGTATTTTCATAGGAACGGACGGTGTCATACGAATAATATAACTGTTATTATAAAAAAGATTCGACGCTCTTGGAAATATATTTGCCAAACGAGATAATGTTTGATCTTATTTGTAAACTACTCAAGGCTCATAGATATCGTGAAATATTCCGATATACGTCAATCAATAAGCGCGGTGACATCATTGTAGCCGGAGATTTGGTGCATTGATCGTAAACAATTGTTCGCGAATCTGGTGCGGTAAGTGCATTTCGTTTGGTACATCGGGCTGACGGAGCGCATGGGACGCTGTGCCCTGTCACGGTATTTATAGCGGCCAAGTAACGACGTACATCAGCAACACACGACGTTGACAAACAAGCCTAATATTAACACAAACTTCCACAGCCGCTTACGCTTACCTCAAGACACGCCCATCATTGACGGATTACTCACTAATTAGATGCAAAACAAACAACCTCGTTAATATACATTGAAGTCTTATTTATAAACGGGATAATGATAATCTCCGATATCCTTTTTTTTAAGTAAACATTAAACACTTTTAAATTGAAACCTAAGACATCATGTACGTAGAAATAAACCTCTTGGAGGAAACGATATATTTATTATTTAAAGTATGAATATAATTCTCGTATCGTATTTAGGTACATCAATGAAAATACATTCCATCAGTCTTCACAAATGTTAAGAATCATTTTTTTTACTCATGAATTATTTAACATGCACATTTTTTTTGATAAACCCAAAACATGTGTCAGACAGAATCCTCCACCGTGGATATGTTGAACGACTAACAATGAGCGTTTGAGTGGGCTTATGTCACCGACTTCCTTCTTCTAAATACTCGTGAGGATAAAAAAGGAACAATTTACCTGTTACACTATTAATTAGAATATGACGCAAGTGCCCGTCGCTGCCTACGCTCACCTTCCTAATTACGTTCTGTCTAGACAGACGTCGCAGCGTCCCAGCCGGCTCCACCTACCCCTCTGACCGCCCCATATCACTTCACTAACTTATTGCTACGTACACGATATTCCTGAAATCTATATCCTTTTCTGACGCCCCGCTCCCGAACTATACCATGCCGACTATAGGGGGCCGAAAACTTTATCAAGACGATTGCGCGGATCGAAAACCGATGTCCTAAGATGTGAATATTTAATTCATCTATTGTTATCCAAACAAAGTTCTATTCTCAATTTACAGTTATAATTAGAAAAGTTATTTAATCGACATTTATAAATGTGTTACAATCTTGCCGAGGCAAAAATTTTGAGGTCATATTTATATTTTTATGAGGCTACCGTCTACCTCACAATTCCCTCAATTAAGATTCCTCAATTTAATTTATGCAACATTATAAACAAATATAGCTATAAAACTGTAACTGGATTATATTTTTATGAATTATTATAACTTATTTAAAATTAATTACCTTCCTTTTATAAAGAATTCAAAAACAATGACTTTGAAATATCATAAGTTCGAAGAGTGTGAACAAATAATTTGTTAAAAATAATAATAATAATAATGTCCATAAATATTAAAAGTTGATAAAAAATCATTACGGAGCTCTTAACCGTAGACCGAAATCACTTAAAAATTTTCGTTTTCTATTATTACTTTTGACTGTTGTTTATCGTTTCAAAACTATCTTGGGATATCGCCATGAAGCCGCAGGGCGTCGCAACTCGCTGTCTAAGAGCTCCAGCCACAGTCAGATGTGAACTTTACTTGTCCTTTATTTACTATTAACTTTTATTAATAAACTATTTTATTTGACCTATTCTAAGACTCCAACTTATAAATATATTTTTAATCTCTACTTGCCTTAATAGAGACGTAATGGTTGAATCAATCAATATCTAATACAACGTAACATGTTCCTAATATTAAACTAATTTTATGAACAAAAATTAAAAATATATATTTATATCTTTTAAAAGTTATAACCGTCTGTACAGACTTAGAAGCTTTCGATTTTATAATATTAATACATAGTATTTATTTGTAGAATATATTATACGACATATTTTTTAACCAAAGTCTTTCATAATTAATAAGAATGGCATACAGTTGTATAGAAAACAGAAACTCTTTAAAAAAATTATGCAAGAGCTGTATTATAGTTATATATATAGAACGTAAGACGTTTATCATTACTTATAGACCGTATGTGAGGAGATAGGTAGCGAGGGCCTGCCACGTGGCCAGGTATCGCCAGCTGGAGGAGCTATTTCAGTGATCGGGTGGCAGGCCCCGCAGACCGCCACCAGACGTAGCCGCCGCCCCCGCTCTCCTCGATACTCTAAAAATAACCGCACCGTGCATTCTTGGGCGAACGATGTCGAATTTTTGTCAAGTACGTACGTCCACATGCCGTTTGTTTTGGCCAAGAACGACCGCAACCTTCGACCGTTCCACTCTAGCCGGTGATCTCATTTAACAACCAGCTCACGTGGAACCAGCTTTCACCGATGCATCCGCCCGATGCGTTATATACCACGTCCATACTGGATTTATTATGAACGAAATCTTAATATCTCTTTTACGACACTTAGTCTGATAGTATATCAATTTCTATTTGAAAATATTTTAAAAATTATTCAAAATATATATAGAAAACATAATCACGCCAAATATATTGTTAAAATACTTCTTTCTTTACAAAGTTAAAAAGGATTTTATGACATTTTATATAGAACAACGTTTTACCAGCAGACACGCCCCCGAATCTGCAGGATTTAGACATTCCGTTGGGACAAAAAGTAGCCTAGAAGCTATCCCAACACTATAGATTCATAAAAAATACCAATCAAATCACACGGGTCCACATTTCTTTCTTGATTGAGTAAGAAACACTCACACAAATTCACTTTATCATGGTTTAACACATTTTTTTTGTAAATATTTTTACGGCTCTGGATACGAGTCCTTTTGAGACAGTAATACATAATTTGCTCAGTGTGGGTCTGTGTAAAAGTAATTCAAAAAATATCTTTCTACAATGGTACACATCTTAATTATTTTTCTAATGTCATGGCTTATATTAATTAAATTACGAAAATATTGTATAACACCTCTGTAACTTATTATTCGTGATAAACGTCTTTTTTACCTAATTTAAGTTCCGAAAACAAAACCTAATGTCATAGACACGTGTATTGTTTTTTTTTTTCATCGAGACTATTTTCCATGAAGTATGCATCTAATCTAAATAAAAATACAATTGTAGGTGAATACACTAGCGTCGGAGGAATACGTTATACGTGTTCAGAGTTCAGGTGTTTTACAAATTATTTTACAAGCTTTCGTTTGTCTTCACCTGTCTGAGTCTGATCTCATGACAGAGCAGGAAGCCATAGACTTTTCCATTTTAGAAGTCCTATTGTCTCTAATTGAGGCTTACTAGTTTCTAATTGAGCAGTAATTTAGACTTGTTATGATGCAGAATTATGATGACAGAGCTAATCGAAAGAATACTAGGGGATAGCCATAAAAATTTTGTAACAACACAGCTCCATCAAATTTGAGCTCTTTTGATTTAACGAGCATTTTCATCATTAATGAACCATGGTGTGTCTCAGGGTCACATGCTAGTTGTGGGAATTGGCCATAGGAAATCCGGATTAAAACCACATAACTCAATAAGTGTGTGTTCATTTCCTTATACAGTACTTTGGTCATTGATAATATATGTATAAAATCCTGTTAAATTTGAGGACCAGAAGTTTAAGAGAAAAAATAATACGATTTTTTCCGATTGATTCCGATAATTACTCCATTTTTTACATTATAATACCAAATTATTATTAATCCTGCTAATAAATTTATATATTTAAATTATGAAACATATTTTATAACGTATGCCCCAAATCACGTTGCAATAAATATTAAAAACTAAGAAGAAGGAAGCTTTTATTGTGCTTTCTAATAAACGTAACTGGAAAATTAAAAATAATTTTATTCTGGAACATTACATTTCCCGTTTCTTATTCAATTGCCTGCTTTAATACAACAATGTGTGAATATTTATGAATATGTATGTATTGTTACAATGCGAAGTTTTGCATATTCTAGAGCTCCAGCGTTATCATAATCCCTGCTCATATATCGACAGAGTTTTAGATTTACAATTATAAAATAATTAGATGAAACGTAACGCATTACTTTAATAAAAAAAATATACCGGAAATATCTTTTAAGTGATAAAATTCTTAATAGATTACATTATCCGCTCGTTTTGTTAATAAGGACTAAAATATTTTTTAAGTACACGTAAAATTATGCTATTCCTGATATTTTTATTTTTTTGTATAATATTAATTTTACATAATTAGTATTAAGTATTTCGAAGAAAATGCATTGATATTAGCTGTATGTTTAATATTTCCAATTTAGTTGTTAAATTAACACAATAACACTTTCTTTTGTAATACATATTTAATAATTGTCTTAGGCAAAATGTATTCTGCCAATGTCATAGATATACATAAAAAAATCATGAAGAGAGTGTTAAAGATGGTTTTTATTGCACTATAAAAATTAAAATAATATAAAAATAAAAACTAATAAAGATGACACACTGTATGTTAGAATTTATTTCATAAGGCAACACAAACACCATTTATATTTTTGTAAGTTGCAGGGTGGTGGTGGGCAGGCGCATGCGTGGCCGCCGTGTTGTTCTGCGCTGCGGGGGCGGTCGCGCGACCGCACCTGCGCCGGCGTACCGTCTCCGACGACCCCGTAAGTTACTGTTTAATATAGGTTACAATAATATACATATATATTATATGTATACACCTCACGGAGAAAGCAGACTTACACCAATGTGTCACCTTATGCCGTAAACATATTAAACATGATAAACAATCATTTCATTCTTAGAAGTCTTCTAACATATCAGCGCGGAAATTTCTATTCGTTCAGTTTATCTGGATTTTTGTCATGATATCGTCCAAAAGGTTTTCATGTGATATCGATATTATTTATATAAAAAAGAAGTAATAAATATCATTACTCGTATTCTTCATGTATAAGTTCAGTTTAGATCACACGGCTGTTCAATACCCTAACACTCTTGATAATATAATAAATAAAAACATATCCTATCTACGGCAGTTGTAGTAGTTTTTTCTCAATTAAGTGTATAACCAAAACGTATTACACTCGAGACCTTCCAAAACTATATTTTGTAATATATAAAGATAATCATGTTATTCTATCTTTCTTATTATTACTTATTTAAACTCTTATCAATAAAAATAAATACATTCGACTTGAGTACAAGTGTACTTACTGATATTTTAACTATATTTGTATCGAAGTGGATAACATATTCCGATGAATTAGATGTAGAGTTTATAATATCTGACTAATATATAACTAGTAACGAATATATATTATAGAATGATGAATATATATAACACTAATTTAATATCTTAAATAGTTGAGATATATAAAAATCGATTTTCATAAAATATGAACGAGATCTTGCAAAATCAAAACCTCATAAGAACGAACTTGTATTTTCTATGTTACAAAACAAACATATTATCGATTTTCTAACATAATACGATTTAATCTTAACGTTTAAGGTAGCTTCACACAATAAATTGTCTTTCTTTTCTTTTAAAGTATTAATAGCAATAATTATGGATTAAACAAATACAATAATATAATATTTGTAAGTTTGTTAGCACAAAATTATATCAGGACGTAAAGAATTATCATGACCCAGTTGTATCAGCATATTTGATTAAGTAACCTTAATCCAAGGTGACCGTCATTGGAAAATATTAGAAATATTGCCATTGACATCGGTTTTAACTTTATCTTAAAATTTGTTTGATGGAGAAAATAAATTTAATTATATAAACTAATCACAACTTCTATTAGTAATTTTATAATGTCCATACCGTTTTATACACTTAATGAATATTTCTTATCAATTTTAGGACAATGTTTTTTTGTCATGTTAGTTGTTACGTACAACTTGAGTATAGCTCAATCATTGAGCAATGCCAACCGTCTCGTCTCAGGAGCCGACAAAACGCGTCACCGCTTACTATTACAATTATAGGTGCGCATACATAAACGAGGCGGTGGCAGCAACCGAGCGATATCTATGTGTGCTCTCTAAATGTACACATGTCTACGCCCACTATCACTAGTAAAACTCACACACTTTATATCATCATAATAATATCATCGCGCTTTCGATGAGGCACACAAGTACAACTAGACAGACTGTTTGCTAGTGTGCGTGATCAACATTACACAATGTTACTTTGTGTGCGGCGACATCGGGGCAGCCGGTGCACCGTCACCCGCCCGTTCTCCCCGCTACGCCACTGCGAACACCGCGACGCGTCCGCGTCATTGAACAACAAGACTCGTTCGATGGCAGGCGTCTTCCTGCCAATATGAAAAAAAGAGTGCTAAGTAAATCTGTTGCAAAATTCGCTATAGTGGAATTTATATGTTATATTTGTTTAATAAATTATTTATTTTTATAGTGTTATTGCATATAAACCATATTTTTAATTATTAGTGAATGATAGTTAATTATTGTAAAAGCGCTTTACGAGTGTTGTAGTCTCCGTGTTTTGCCCTGTGATTGTTTTGTTTAAATATTTAAAGCTTTTATGATCAAATTGAAAATATGAGTGGCAGTGTTGTAAAAAGCAAGCTCGTTAAAACCGTGATAGTGTAATCGATTTGTCTACAAGTGAATCCAACGGCGTGTCGAGGGAGTTGAAATAAACAGTTCTGTACCCTGCAGAAACATACACCATTGCGGCCAACACTGATTCAAATAGTAAGTCGAAAAATATCCAACTCTGTAAACATCGTTACTGCGATTGCGATAACTTTTATAAACAATTCGACTCAGATATAACTTTACAGTAGTATAATGTAACTTTAAAACTAGAGAGCGTATTCGTTATTTAAATTACATTATGAGATTGAGAGTAGAGAATATTGTTTTGCACTAAAGACTAGAAGTAGAAACGAGAGCCGAGTTTCGGACGATCGCGAGACGGCGGGAGCGTGCCAAGTGATAAGAGCCGCGCCGATAGCGACGTCACTGCCAGACGTTGTTTGTGTGAATTTAAATAAATTCTCATGACAGACAGTTCCGTAATCATCTCTCGCTATGGTCGTGACATGCCAACTCGATTATATCTGTACGACTCTTGAATGTTTTATATTGAATAGGATACTAGCTAAAACCCTTAAATAATATGAAAACTTATCAATATTATCATTGGCATACATGAAAAGCATGTTTGAAGAACTATCATGATTAAAATGATAAATATAAAACGAAAGATATTAAAGTAAAATCAAATATAATACTAAATTAATATATTTAATGTTAGTGAAGAAATGTTTAAGACAATTTTGTCAAAATATATTTTTTCTTTAGTAAAACATTATGGACTTATTTATCTAATCTTAATAAATCAGCTATGAAAAATACTGAAAATGTGATAAAAAAAGCTTCTAGTAATTATAACTTTACTTTTTTTTTATAGACACATTGCTTTATTAAAAAAAAAACTCTAAATATGTTTAAGAAGAAATATTTATCAACTTTAATATAACCTTACTCAAAAGAATGTCAGTTTCTGATGTTTCAATTTATTATGAAACAATTGTATGCAGTGGATCTATCATCCACAAAAATGTATATCCTGAAATAAATCCTATTAAATAAAGATTTTTAACGTATACAAAATAGTTTTTGAATTTATTTAGATGACATATGGAATGTAAAAAAAGTGAATGCACTTGAAGTTTTACAGAATAAAATTTAAATAAATTTTCTTCTTAGACAGATAGTATGTAATATAAATAGAGATTATTATTTTATATGTAGCATAATGCTCCAATTGATTAAAGTCTTATATATAATCTAGTACAAGCAACACATTTGTTCAAATACACCCATTCTTGTAAAACACTTATCACAACTAAACATCATTTAGCTATAAACAATATAAATTTAATAAATATAGAATTATTTAAATGATATTAAAATCTTTTTCCTCCTTATAAATAAACATATACATAGGAAAAAATCTTCTGTATCTAGTCGATTGTAATAAAAAATTTAGACTTTTATACACTCACAATATTTGTTGTCTTCTCACTTGGACCATGACGACATTCATTCATTGTAAAAATAGCATTTCCAACATCTCACTATTATAATAATGTCATGTTTATATTTATCAATTTGACTGATAAAAATTATGCTATTGATGAAAGAAGATACCTACATAGATAATAAAATATTCAGATAATACAGGAATATATAAATGAAGAATATTCTCTCTTATTATTCTAGAAATTTCAATTGTTAAGGAGCAAAGCTCATTGTAATGAAATGTATAAAAAAACAAGTGCTTTTAAAAGTTATGCGAATAATAACAATATAGTTATGAAAGTATATTTTCTGAATGAATATAAATGTAACTATGAGCCCGTTTTATAACTATCCTTTACATAACAGCGGCAAGATGCAGATTTAGATAATTTTTAGTACATCTATTCTAACCAAAGATATTTCCATATTACCAAGAATCTCAGTGAAAATGTTGAGTGAATCTTATAACATACCCGGATAATATCAAAACTATGTACATCATCAATTAGCCGTTTTGCTATACATTTACATGTTTATTGTCTTGAGTATTTTGTTTTGAATAACCAATAGTCTTAAACCATCATAGGATTTGTGGCTAATGCTGATGGCTGACATTCAAATGATTGTTTAATTTATAACCAAGTCTTGGAAAATTGTTATATCAGTGTATGTCTGATTGCTAATGTTGATGAGAGCCACATAAGTGAGAGCAGTGTGTTGTGATTTACAGATGCTCTCGGTTCAAGTGCCGGGGTGCGCGGGCATGGAACGGCTGGGCGCGCCGGGGGGAGCGCGTCTGCGTCACGACCACAGGCACCACCATACAACACTGTGAGTCCCATCGCTACCTACTACTAATAGTAGTAGCACTACTAATAGTTATAGCACCATCACACAACTATTTGCTTCAACATTGTTACACAACAAGTTCCATTAATTCAATTTGTATTAACTAATTCCGTTTAATGAAATTACTTCTATTGTTTTTATACAGACCTTAATCTGTTAATGGTTACAATCATCTATTGTCTTCAGGAAATTTGTTAATTATGTGAGATTTATCATTTTATGTATTTCTGGCTCAATTCTGTCCCTCCTTTAAGTATACAAATTATATAGAAATAAATAATTATTATTTTTAATAACTATTCCCAAAGATTAGATAGTGGTTTTTAAAATACCTAAAACATAAGTAAATTGTTTTGTTTCATCAATGGTTATTTCCAGAATTAATTTGAAAATTTTCTAGTTAATAATTTTTATCTAATGTGTGCTATTGTTAATATGTCAAAATATTCTTCATTAAAATAAACACATTTTTGATTATTTTTCCATGTATATTTTTATAATCACTTTTTACTATTAATGTAAAAAATTGTTTATTGATTTTCTAAAAACATTTAAGTGTTTTCTTTAAATAAAATCTTATATTTTTAACTGCCAAGAGTTTGTATAATAGGCTTATATTGTTAAAAACAGTGTTATTTTTAGCCTATATCTATACTTAGAAGTCAATTTAATGAAATACTAAACAATTTAATTATTTTGATAAGGAAATTTATGCCCATTAAATTGAAAGAAGTCTCTATTTCATTTATTCTAGAAGTGGTTTCCTTTTAAGAAAGTATTTGACAAAAATAACACTGATAGCCATATTTAAACAATAAGTTTTCTTCATTTGTTTCCTTTTTCAGAACTCAAATTTAAAATTGGACACATGAGATTAAAGATTAGTTAGAAAAATATTTTTATAGTGAAATATTATTTTAAACAAAAAGTGTTTGAATTACCAAATTTCTTAGAATTGATACTTCTGCCGAAAAAAATGTATTTTCTATTTAAACTAATTGAGTTCTAACTAACTTCCAAATTAAAATGCGTTACCCTATATGGATCCATCGACATATACTAATGGATATGCCGTACGCGTATAATCTGCAGTAATTTTTTAGCTTGAAAAGAGTGAGAGAGAGATGGCCTATGCTTTCGGTCTATCTCTTTCCTCATACACGGATTTAAGTACGGTACTATTTTGAGAGAGATAAAGATAGACCGAAACTTCGTTTCCTCTCTTTCTTTCGGAGTGCCACAATTCTCATCTCTAAGGCATGTCCATTAATATATGTCGATGTATGGATCAATTGATACAATATTAACAGTATATCATTCTAATTTCTTGTCGATGTTTAACGTTTGTGTGTGTATGTTTTGTAGGGAATGGGAGAAGCAGCAGAGACTGCAGGCCATGGTGGGTCGCCTGCAGGAGATGGTGGAGCAGGAGACGAGAGCTCGCTCCGCCGCCGCTGCGGAGAGGCTCGGCCTGCCGCCCAGCATACAGCTGCCCGACGGAGAATACGGCCGGGACGCACACCTCCAGATACGAGTCCCTTATCAGGTCCGTAAGTATTATGTTTTAATCGCACCCTTCAGCAACGATAGCAAATAAACTCTATTATAGATGTACAGTCCATAGAATTTAAAAAACCTCTACGTTATTGATACGCGTGAGGCATCTGATCGAGTAATGATTTGCCGAAATAGCTTTCCATCGTTTCGGAAAAAGCAGATACTCTTACTTTTGCTGGACCGTTATCAATCAAACATTGATGAGGACCACCAAAACGATTGGCTTTCACATGAAAACCTCATCAAAAACGGTCAATCCGTTTGAAAGATATGATGCCACAAATATATACACGCACACATTGACATATATATATACACACACACACACACACATTGACCCCCGTCAATTTTCCGTCGCTGGTCAAAACATATAGTATGTTCGAAGTCTATGTCAATTTGTTTGTAAACCCATGTAAACTTTAATAAAATAGAAATTATAAGCCCTGTCTATGTCATATATAGTTTCTGACACTTGATTTAGTCGTTCGTTTCAGGTTCGAGTACCATCTGGATAACCAACCATAATGGCATAACGTTTTAAACAGCTACATTAAGCATATAATTTTGATTTACAGCAAGACGAGCTGACGAGAAGCAGTTTCCAACCTCCACCGAACAAGTGCGTGAGCGACGTGCCGGAGTGGGCGGGCGTGACGGACGCGCCGCCGGGCCGGCGGGCGGCTGGCGGCGGGCCGGGCAAGAAGGACGGGCTGCTGCAGAAGGCGACCCGCTGGTGGGTCCGCATGGGCGCGCGGCCGCCGCCCGCCTTCCTGCCAGCCAGCGCGCCGCCGCCCTGCGTCATGGTGCCGCGCCGCACCGCGCCCTCGCCGCCGCCCGACGCGTGACGCGCGACCCGCCGCCCCTCCCTCATATCACGCTTACATTCCATGATCGGGACGATCAGACTCGCCGGAGTGCACTCCCGGAGTATTATAGACTTGCTAATTTATTTATTTGGGACGGGCCACCCGACCGCGTGCTTTGTGATATGTGTCGTGACAGGGTCGTGTTGTGACAGTGCGGACCGGTCGAGCGACGCCGCCGAGCGTGACTAGTCTTGATACTTTAATCGGTTTAGACGTAGAGCTAATTGTTTCTATTGATATTTTATTGAACTAGACGAGGTTTCACTGCCCGCTATTTCTGTTATAGGCGTTGCATAGAGTGTGCGTCCGTGTTCCTCGCACTGTCTTTGAGTTTTTGAAAACTAAGACTGAAATAAATAAAAAAGATGACACTATGAAGTTTACATTGAATATGTTGTCTTAGGTAAAATTAATTCAAATAGAAACAATTAAATTATATATAATATTTAAAAAAAGTCTTTCGGTTTTAACCTTGGATGATATTGATTGTATATTGTGAATGAGGTCAGTCAACAGTATGCTATAAGGTCTTGCAGTGTACAGTTCACGTTTAAGTAACCTATGTTAAAGTTTACTTTCTATCCAGCTGCTAAATATCTGTGTTTAAACAACTTTTATATTTATTTAAATATATAATATATAATAATGCATATCAGTACAGTAATTGCAAGGAATATTAATTTACAAAGCATAGTTACTATTTTATTGTAAATATTGTCTCTAATTTAATATTAGATTACGTGATGACCGAATGCCAAAATATGATGGTCATTATGATTTGAGTGTTTGCTACATTCCATATTTATGTTGAAATATTTTAATACTTACTGTATTTGCCTTCATCTATCCGCTGTCTATCAAATACAATCACAATACACTGATTTAGCTGTTCAATACATTAGTTCTGTCAAAATGACAATAATTAAATAGTTAATAATGTAAACAATACACATAAATCTCAATAGAGAATAGTCAATGTATAAGAATTGGTTGAATTAGTTATAATTGTATTTATTACTTGTAAACTAAGAATGAGCGTGCTTCACCTGCTTTACTTGTTTAACATAACTAAATATTTAAAAAAAAATATGTAGACTAATTTCTGTTGCAATCCAACAATATCAACTTTAAATAATTCAGTTAAAAGAGTCATTAGAGAATTCATTTCTGTGCAATTGCAATTTTTTGTAAATATGTAATTTTCAAAAGTCATTAAGTAGTACAATAAATATCTAAATAAAGACTTGATTGTAATTTTCTGTAATCAGACAGTTAAGTGCTCTTTCAAATTAACATTTCTGATGTTTATTTCTATTAATTGTTTTTGCTACCACACAATCAATCTAATTGCTTCTATAAACAGTAAATATAAATGCCTTCCATTAATTTAAGTTTAAAATGCCTATCCTAAAAAGAGGTCAATCTGAAAGAGTACTAAGATCTATACATTTCTTTATTTTCAATGTAACTACATCATCTCACAAGATTCACCTGTGTAAGTTTGTCGATGTTGTATTTATCAGTGTGAAAAGCTTATGTAAGGCTTTGATTGTTTCCACATTAGTTCTATGGTGTTCAAAATAATGACCAATGATCACCACAATTTGTAATGTTTATGAATTAAAAAGTATCATATAGATTGTATACCAAATTCTGAATGGGGTGAAAATTATATATTTAGACTTTGTTGTAACATTTCAAGTAGTTCTATAGCATATTCAAAATCTTTTTGAACATTTTTCACCCAAGAATTAGTTAATTCTTCCGCTCATTTTGCATTTTAGTTTATTGTGTATGATGTCACACAAACTGAACATAAAGAAAACATGTGAACATCAGGCCTATAGAAGCTTTGTTATGCTGTGTAAAAAAAACAGTATTGTATTATTATTCATCATGAAAATTCAGTTTCATGATACTAGTATGCTATTATTTAAATTCATGAAGTCCTATAAAATGTAGGTATGTGTTTAGTATATCCTACAAATATAGTTAGTTGAATATTACCAGTAATATATTAAATAAATTGGAAGTTAAATGCTACATTAATTAATAATATGACATAAGTAAAATTTGTTATTTCTTTGATTAGATTAGCAAATGAGAACAATTGTTTATGTAAATTTTGTTGTCTATTTTTATGATTGACGCAATGCGATAGAAAATATTGCATTGCATACAACAACAATAATGTATTTTTGAGAATTGATATTATTATGAAATTGATAATTACATTTATAATAAATACCTATGATCGGGAATGTGATCTTTAGGTAAAACAATGCTCTAATGTGTTCATCTGTAGGAGAAATGTGTTTAATATGACATAATAGTTTTTTTCATCAAATTGGCAAATTTTATTTTCAACTTGCTAATAATCGGATTCTTAGGCCATAAACATTGTATGTAAGCTGAAATGAGCAAGTTATTTTTTAATGTGTGTCTCCAATTTATTGTACCTTACTATTGTAATAGTTTTAAATTTTAAGAGATGGTAGTGGAGCTGTCCTTGTACAAAATGCTGGTAAAATATAAAAGTTGTTTAAAATAGTTTCACAGAATAGATATTTAATGTAGATATCAAACAATATTCCATTTGTCATATAAATAAGTAAAAGCAGAAGCAAATTTTAATAAAAAAAAAACATTAAATTATGACCTACCAATAATGAATACAGGATTTTTATTTCTACAAAATATATCTGCCTATGTGACTTGTCCTTTGAACAGTTGATACAATTAATTATTGTATTGAATATAAAAAAATATTTACCATTAATGCTATTATGGCTGCATGTACAGTCTCAAAACTTATTCACATAAAAATATATATAAATTCTATAGTTTCTTTGGTTTTGTCTTGTACTATATATTTAAGCAGTTCATGTTTTACTAGAACAACTATCTTTGAATCTGAAGATCAATGTGGAGCCCTTAAAAAGTTTAATTTTTGATATCTATAGAAGTATTTGGTAAGCTCTATTCTGATACAAAAACAATAGTAATATGTAAATACTTTTTTAGAAATCGTAAAAGATAATCTACATTTGTTATTGGTGAGAAAAGGGTTTCATTGTTATAATAAACATGTATACAAAAATTTAAATTCATTCGATTGAAAGTAGGTAGGTACTTCTTTAAAATTTTAGCTGTACCATTCCATCTGACAACAAATAGTAAAAATATGAAATATCAGAAATTTGTGAAACTTCGCTATATAAATAAATTTAACAATAAACCAAAATATGATAGCAATATTTAAAAAAAATCATTTAATTTCTACATTCACACAATGATTCCTTGTACATCTGCATGCTAGGTTAGAAAAGTATCTAAGTTAAGGTATATTATTTTATTATGATAATAATGACGATTTTAACGAATGTTTCTAAAGTCAATTTACCCACAAAACCATAAAATTGTTAAATGGCAATGTCTTGATTTTGAGAATAAAATTCATGACAACGTTTTCGCAAATCTTCATAAAATTATTAATTTTTAATAAACTACATTTAACATACATGAAACCAATATAAATGTTCTAAACCAAAATTGACTTTTTACGAGTATTCTTTTTACGAATATTTAAGCACAAATCAATTTTATATCATGATAGAAGAGGATAAATATTTTTTTTAACTGAATGTCAACTGCGGTTTGCGTATAATGGAACACACCGATAATAATAAAACATTCTGTTGTCACCTATAGTTAACCTAAAAATAAATTACGAATTACTTTTAAAGCAACAAAGAAAGCAAGCAAGAAACTTTTGAAATCAAATTGTTAACATTTGTTGAAAGTGTAAATATCTGACCAGAAAAAGGAAGATCATGCAGATTTACATAAAAAGGTAAACCTTTTAACCTCAAGTCTCAACTTTAAATTGTTACAAATATTAAATGAACGTTACTTAGTCCAAATAATTTAAATATCACTTTAAAAATGCAAATCAATAATAAACGATTTATAATTACCGCCTCTATAATATTTCTACCTTTCTTATTAGTTTAAGATAAGATTCTTACCGGTTTATTTATTGGCATTTTGGCGCCAAATAAATATTCATATGACAGCTGCCGTCACTTTAAATATAGGCTTTTTACTCTATAGTATTCACAATTTATTTTTTAGTTTTTTCTAGTGTGTACTCGTTCTGCACAAGTGTTATTTCAAAAGTGGCAGAATCATATAATTTTTATAAAATAACATCTATAGAATTAAAATTATATTTATAAAACATTTTTTTCTGTTTAGTCGAAATAAAACATGATATATGTTATTTTTTTGAAATAGATGTAGATAATGAAATTTTGTATTCGCGCATATTGTTTGTATTTTTGATAAAATATCGTTTAAAATTTCGGCCCTTTTTAATTTTATATACTGTACGAAATATATTGACTTTTAAGTACGTCAAAAGTCAAAGAAAAGAGGAGAAGTGATTAGGTACTGAGTAGTGAGTACCTGTTTGTTATTTGACAAGAGTGTGAAGTCTGGTGGATACAATAACGAAAACATAACAAGCATTTTAATATTATTTTGAAAGTACGTGTCGTTTTAACTTTTATTTTGATGATCATATAGTTACCGCATTTTGAAAAGCGACCGTAAACAGTAGTGAAAAAGTTTTTCTATAATTTATACCAAAGATTAAGGTAAGCCCATACATATTTATAAAAGTAATAGTATTTTAACGAGCCCATTCGTTTTAATAGGTATAAAAATTAACTCAAATTGTTTTTTGTAGCAAATTATAAAATGGGACCCCCTAAAAAGTTCAGGAAATATGACTCCAAAGGTGGAAGCGACAGATCTGGTGAGCACCTAAATTCATTTCAACAGCTAGTCGGTGTATTAGATGTTTATTTTAATAATTATTTTATATTTAATTCATACTTCACATAAATCAACTTTACTTTGATAACAGTCACCATGAAAAAAGTGTTGTGCAATAAATAATTCTTAATATCAGGTAAAAAGAAGAAAATAGATGAAGAAGTGACAATAGATTTAGTGGATGATGACAACCCTGAAAGTTCTGGCGTGCCGGGAGCAGCTCTGCAGGATGCTGAGAAAAACGACCAGGTCCCAGAAGATGAGTTTGGAGCTAAAGACTACAGGTACATAATATTGAATATTTTTATACTTAGGACCCTAAAGTGGTAATATATTGCAATACAATAATAAACATACTCGAACAGAATGAATTTTGAGTCAGATTACCCAGTTCAATAATTTATAATATTACATATAAAGGTTAAACAATGAGTTTTACATTCTTGATACTCAAAAACCGTGGTTGAAATTTATACCTAACTGCCTCAATATTCATTTATTTGAATCACTCTAACTTACATTTTCATAGACAATATAAGATTTAAAAATTATTTGAAGTGTTTAATAGTATTATATGTTATAGAAATGCTTTTGTCTTATTGCCTATATTCAATTTACAGAAATCAAATGGAACTCAAACCTGATAATGCCAGTCGTCCACTATGGGTGGCTCCAAATGGTCATATATTTCTCGAGTCATTTTCGCCAGTGTATAAACATGCTCATGATTTTTTAATTGCTATTGCTGAGCCGGTGTCAAGGTATGATATGACAAATCTTATAATTTGGTTATTAAAATGGAATACCCAATACTGTAAATGTATATGTTTCTCCTTAGGGAGCGTTCAAGTATTACATAACGCAATTTTCAAAGATTTTTGACCACCCCCCCTACCCCCTTCTCAAAACGTTACGTAACAGTCAAGTGATCAATTTCATCCAAAGTCGTAAAACAATATGTTATAGTTTGGTATAGTTTTAATCTATTAAATGAAAAAAGATCATTGACACAATTTTTTTTTATTATACTTTATTGCACAAAAAGAAATGTACAAAGGGCGGACTTAACGCTATTACAGCATTTTCTACCAGCCAACCCTTCTGAAGAAATTACAGTATGAACACTATGAACTCACGGATAAACACTAACGAATACTGACCACGGAAGCAACATTAAAAGACTTACAGTGCAATCTAGGTATTCCCAGTAAAATATCAATTAAGAGGTTTGCAAACTTTGAATAACAAATACAAAAAAATCTACCAGACTAATACAATCTGGTCAACATAATGTAACATATATGAAAAGAGTTGCCAGTTTGGGGGTTTTTATTTATATATTTTTTTAGAAACAATGCTACGTAACGTTTTGTAAGAGATGCCCCCTCCCGCCCCTGTAACGCATCGTAACGTTGTACGGGACCCCCCTCCCCCAAAATTGCGTTACGTAATACTTGAACGCTCCCTTATAGAACATTGAAATGAACTTTAACCATTTCCTTTTATAATTCTTTTTATTCTTTACAGGCCTCAACACATACATGAATATAAATTAACAGCGTACAGTTTATATGCAGCCGTTTCTGTGGGTTTACAAACAAATGACATCATTGAATATTTGCAACGTCTCAGTAAATGTAATGTTCCCGCCGGTATTATAGAATTCATCACACTTTGTACTTTGTCTTATGGCAAAGTTAAGCTTGTATTGAAACATAACAGGTAAATAAGGTCAACATATCGTCGATGAACTACCAATACCTCCTAAGTGTTGAGAATCTAATTTTACACCAGAAGAAAAAAACTGTAAAATATATACGAATGAATGAATTCTGCCCCTTAGTAGATATTTTCACATAGCTCAAGAAACTGTTTGGTAAAGAAATGTTGGATAGGAGTGAAATCAATCTATGTGAATATGAGTTTTATGTCTATTGCAATAAAAAAGTACTTTTGGACTAAATTGTCAGTTAGAAGGTATTGGAACTTCATCGATGATATAATTTTATTAATAATATTAGAACTCCTGCTCTCATTGCCCCAATATATTATTTATTTATTTATAAGTTATTTAATATAAGGATAACTATTGACTTTTTAAAATTATTTAATACATAAACAACTCATACTTTAAATAAATAAAATCTTTATAAAAGTCTAACACTTTAAATAATTATTCCAGATATCTAGTAGAGAGTAAGCATGTGGATGTTCTTCAGAAGCTCCTCAAGGATCCTGTGATCCAGCAGTGTAGACTGAGACGAGACGGTGATGAGGAACTGGTGACCTCCGCTCTACCTACAGCAGCACCCGCGCCGCCCGGGACCGCTGTTAAGACTGGTCGGGTACTTGAAATATACTAACATTATGAACTATAGCTGTGCCCTCATATAAACTCTTTCTAATGTTCTTGTTATATTGGTTAAATATTTATGTCTTGATGAAATTAATATACAATTTGCATCAAATCTTGAACATTTATATATTTCTACATTCTTAAATACAGGCAGTATAGCTATGTATAGCTTAAAGCTTTTGTATGAAGGTCAAATACTTGAAGATCTATTATCCATATTATAGGTGAGGAAAAACCTGCAGCTAATGGTGCAGTTCCTGAAGACATCAGCCAGTTCTACCAACAACTGGATAAAGATGATGAGGACGAGGAGACAACTGACATCACCGCTAAGAACACCGCTGTTGCCTTTGAAGTTGATCCAGACAAGATTGAGGTTATTGACCCATTAATTTACTACATAGTATAAAACTAAGTCACTTTCTCTGTTCCTATATCCATATGTGTGTTTAAAACTCTAAAACTCCACAATGGACTTTCATGCGATTTTTTTAATAGATAGAGTGATTGAGGAAGATTTATAAAATAACATCCATCAACCAAACCAAGTTGTGGAGATATTATGTTATTTTTAAGGTTTATTATGTGATGTAAATAATGAAAGTTTTTCCGCTTACATTGAAGAACGCAGTCTGAACCTTACGAGATTAATCAAAATAATGTATTAAGTATATATTGTAAACTGTCAAAAGTCTACAAAAAACCTCGCGATGGTATATCCCTTATGGCTATCCCACAAAAACTTTTTTGTCATTTACTTTTTACTACAAATACGGGCTAATTTTCGAAACAATTTTACCAACATAGGATTAAATAAAATTTCAATTACATATATACCTTTAATCCATTGTTGGTTTGATAAAGATCTATATGACTCTTTACATTAAGGATTTTTACCCTTACGAATCCGGAGCGGGCCGCTATGTTTTTATACATAACGTTCACAGTTTTCTGCACCTTATGAATATGCACCGTATTACAGAACATGGTGGGTCATTAATACCTAATAATTATTAAAGAACAAATGAATGAATGTATTGTAGGTACATAAAGCTTGAAACTGAGTACTAACATGTGGAAAGCCACGTTATACTGTATTTCAACTAGAATGGGTTACAGATGTAGCAAAGTAATTATTTATGTAATCTCAGCAGCTGACACAAAATTATTAAAACATGAACTTTTTTGAGATCAATAACGAAAATTACTACCAACATTATTATTATTTATATAAATATGGCAATTATTAGAAATTTACATATGAACGATGGAATAAAATGTTCATTTTTTTATTTCAGGTGATACAAAAACGTTGCATCGAGTTAGAGTATCCGTTGCTGGCGGAGTACGACTTCCGCAACGACGCCGTCAACCCTGACATTAACATTGACCTGAAACCTACGGCGGTGCTGCGACCCTACCAGGAGAAGAGTCTCAGGAAGATGTTCGGCAACGGACGAGCCAGGTGACGTCACATCCGTTAATTCAGTACACTCAATAGAAACCAACTATTATTGTATTAGTCTCAACATTCAGGCTTGTACCACTCATATTTCCTTAAAAAGCTGTTATAGTCCGTTAGACTTAAGCTGAGCTTTGCATTTGTGTGAGTGAAAGTAAAAGTAGAGTTAGACAAAAAAAAATTAGGATTCAATTCTATTATATTTAAAATAGATACCTGATATAAATGCTGGAGCTATTCTAGATTTTAAATAAAATAAGCAAAACTTGTAAAAGATCCAATGGAAATATTGTGGAAAAAAAAATTAATAAGTACCTAATAAAAATTTTGGAAAAACAATATAAATTTTGCTTCACTTGACATTGCGTTTTCAACATTTGATGTTGCTTCCAGTACAAGGGGTGAAGTGCGGAAGGTGCGGGGCGAAGTAAAAGCAGAATAGACCGGTTCAAAACTAGAAAAGAATGTTGCATTCAAAAATTTGACATCACACCTACACTATCCGTGTACACTCACACATATGCAGAGCTCAGCTTAAATCAAACGCATTATGCTAATATTTAACACACAAAACTTCATAGGGCGATACAAAGTTCATATTAACTAAAACTTAATCCAACAGTCTTTATAATTTGGTGAATTTTCCTTTCCAGGTCAGGTGTGATAGTGTTGCCGTGCGGCGCGGGCAAGTCCTTGGTGGGTGTGACGGCGGTGTGCACGGTCCGCAAGAGGGCGCTGGTGTTGTGTAACTCAGGAGTGTCCGTGGAGCAATGGAAACAACAGTTTAAATGTTGGTCCACCGCCGACGACAGTATGATATGCAGGTATAAATGTATTGTTAACAGCGCCATCTAGTGAGGGACACAGTAGGTTACTTATAAATATGCATAAGCATGAATGAAATGCTATTCAAAGTAAATGTACATAATTTTAAGATTAGAGTTTAGTTATACAATTTTTCAAAACTGTTTTTTGAAAATTTATCTTACTAGGCTTCCTCCCGCAGCTTCACCCGCGTGGAGTTCGGTTATATCGCGTTTCCAAGAGAACTTTTCAAAAGTCTGGGATAAAAACTATCCTATGTTCTTTCTCAAGCTTAACTCTATCTCTGTACCAAATTTCATTAAAATCAGTTCAGTGGTTTAGGCGTGAAAGCGTAACAGACAGACAGACAGAGTTACTTTCGCATTTGTAATATTAGTAGGAATAAGGATTTGATATGAAGAAATAATTAATAAAAATTGTGTTTTAGCTTTTCTATTATTTTTAAAAAATATCCAACACGGTTGGTGGTCAACAAATGAAGCCTTTATGCGTTTTGAAGGATCCTTTTAAACTTTGATTCTGATTTTCATAAAATATGTAAATTTGTAAATAACTTAAATAAATCGCAGTTTTTTTGTACATTTCACTGTAATATAAATAACAATTTGTAAAATTTTTCATAAATGTATACTATACTACATTCTGAGTCTATTAAATCAGACGAATCATCGCTCTTAGTATATTAATATGTATGGTGTAGGTTCACGTCGGAGGCGAAGGACAAGCCGATGGGCGCGGGCATCCTGATCACGACGTACTCCATGATCACGCACGGCCAGCGGCGCTCGTGGGAGGCGGAGCAGACCATGAAGTGGCTGCAGGCGCAGGAGTGGGGGCTCGTGGTGCTCGACGAGGTGCACACCATCCCCGCCAAGATGTTCAGGAGGGTGCTCACCATCGTGCACTCGCACGCCAAGCTAGGTGCTCCATACATGTTACACACATATGATTAAATAGAATGTATATTGAAAAATATATCTGAAGCAACTGAAGAATTAGGAGGCTGCAAAAACTGCTCATATTGATCAATGTTTCTTTGTATAGTTTATATATAAATTATAATACTAAGTCAATCTGTAACCATACTAAAAATAATAAGAAAAATAATACATACTAAACAAATAAAAAGAGAGAGATATAAAAAAAATCTTTATAAACAAAGATTTCTTTCATGTAATATAGTAATGTAGTATAAGCGGATCTCGTCACAAGACGGGATTAACGCTAAGAAGAAGAATATGGTAATGTAGTAATTAAATTTTAAAATCAATGGTTATTTAAAATAGAGAGACATTTACAACAAACTCAAACTGGTTCCTTTCTTTGATAAGAAAACGTCGATACATTAAAGAGAGTGTTTCTGCGGTATGAGCCAGTATATGTGTAAGGATAGATATAACCATGTATAGTGTATATATAACTTAGCAATGTCTAACCCCCAGGATTAACGGCGACCCTCCTCCGCGAGGACGACAAGATAGCCGACCTGAACTTCCTCATCGGACCCAAGCTGTATGAAGCCAACTGGCTGGAGCTGCAGGCCAACGGGTACATCGCGAGGGTGCAGTGCGCGGAGGTGTGGTGTCCCATGACGCCCGAGTTCTACCGGGAGTACCTCGTGCAGAAGTATGACGCTCGATTACACACAAGTGACATTAAAATTTACTTCCTATTATGAAGATTTCAACCTGCTACCTTTAGGCGTTCTATAGACACTTCATCAATTCAATATTTTGTTATAAGCATTATTTTTGGGCTGTTTTATTTAGTGTGTCTGTAATCTGTATTGTTTATTTGAGCTAAATCAAATATTTAACTGTTGAAAACAATTATATGTTATGATATATTCACAAAAAATACAGTTTCATCGCAACATAATTATTAAATTTGTTCCAGGATCAATAAGAAAATGTTGCTGTACGTAATGAACCCTTCCAAGTTCCGCGCGTGTCAGTTCCTGGTGCGTTACCACGAGCGGCGCGGCGACAAGACCATAGTGTTCTCGGACAACGTGTTCGCGCTCCGACACTACGCCGTCAAGATGAACAAGCCCTACATCTACGGGCCCACGTCACAGAACGAGAGGATACAGATACTACAGAACTTCAAGTTCAATCCTAAAGTCAACACGATATTCGTCAGTAAAGTCGCCGACACGAGCTTCGATCTGCCCGAAGCGAATGTTCTCATACAAATATCCTCGCATGGCGGCTCTAGGAGACAGGAAGCGCAACGACTGGGTAAGCATTAAGTACAATTGCATTTCTAAATACATATACACTTTTTAGCTGTAAATAAAATAAAGATAAATGTCATTTAGAGTTATAACAGTATTAAATGTAAAATTTATCTTTAATGTATTTTATTTATAATTATGTTAACAATTTAATAACTATCACATTATTTTTAACTTTTTTAAATAAATGAATGATTAACATTATATTAATACTTTAATTGATATTCATTTTTATTTCCGTTTCAATTATACAAAATAAATGAATGAACTTAAATGAGATTAACAAAATCATTCCAGGTCGTATATTAAGAGCTAAGAAGGGTGCCTTAGCGGAGGAGTACAACGCATTCTTCTACACTTTAGTGTCACAGGACACGTTAGAGATGGCGTACAGTCGAAAAAGACAGCGGTTCCTTGTGAACCAAGGTTACAGTTATAAGGTGCATTGGGTTACACTAAACAAAATAAACGACACTTATATAAAGAAATTTTGTGTTAATATACCTGAGAGTATAAAACAGGCTTTGATAACCTTAGGGGCCATCCATAAAATACGTCACACTAATTTCATGAGTTTTTGAGCCCTCCCCCGTCCTTGTCACAAGTGGTCACATTTCTGAGACCCCCCCCCCCCTCCCTAGTGTGACGTCACATGTTTTGCAATTTAACATCGAAAAATTATTAAATTAAAGCAGCAGTTCCGAAATTAGTATTATTTCCATTTAAATTGAGTATTTTTTTATGATAACAACAAAATATCAATTATTTGAAACAATAATAAAAAAATAAACTAATGAATATAAAGAAAAAGAAACTCAATCATCTTCAGTCCATGGACTTTGAAACCAGTCTTTTAAATTATTTATAACTGGCATGGCAGTCACAACTCACAGTCATACTCAGTACTGTGCCTGCACTCTCAAAGTTTCGTTTTCAAAGTCCAGGTCAGTAGTTTTATTACTGGAATCGAGATGTGAAACGAAATTATCGTGTTTAAATACAACACCAGTAAGTTTACGACTAAGAGGTGCCATTCGTCGTTCTACTCTGTTAAAGCACTTCTTCCTGGGGCATTTGTGGCAATGTAAACAGCATCCAAATGAAAATCTTTAAAATGTTGTGTAGCTGAAATTAATAGTAGATTTTGAAATGTGATGTCACGAAACTTAGGACCCCTCCCACCCCTTGTCACACCATGTCACACTTTGTCGACCCCCTCCCACCCCCTTTACGTGTGACGTACTTTATGGATGGCCCCTTATTCACATATAAAGAAGTCATTGTAGAAGATGCAATATTAATTTCATGATTATATCACTACATTAAATAATATTTATCTTGATTTAACATAATATGTCTAATGATTCTCTGAACTATACAACAATTAGAGTTGCATGCACCTCATATTTATATTTCATTGATATTCTAGTAAAGAGAAATAATTCTAAATATATTGAATTGGTGCAACTGAAACCTGTATTAAATAAACTCCTATATATAATATTAATTAAAATTAAATATTATCATATTAGCCTATCAACTTGCCCAATAAGTGTTGTTTAATTGCAGGTCATTACAGAATTAAAGGGTATGGACCAAGAGCCTGATCTGTTGTACGGAACGCGGGAGGAACAAGGGATGCTGCTACAACAAGTAAGGAATATACACCACACATAATATATATTATAAAACAGCACTATTTACTTTTGATTAAAACAACTATTTTTCATTCTTATAGCAGTTAATGTTGTTTGTTAATGTTGACATATTTTCAGATGAATTACATCTGAAAATATGTCTTATTAATATATGTATTGGTCTGATTTTGTGGATGTAAGTACAAATTATTAAATATCAAAGCATGTCAACAAATAAAAGTGTTGTGTTACAGGTTATAGTTATTACTCTATCATGGTATAAAAAAGATGTCCTTAAATAAAAGTATCAAGTGTAAGCTGTAATCTGTGATCTCGGGTGTAGGAAGAGCAGAATAAACAAATACATATATAATGACTGACACTTATACAGGGTGACTGGTGAATTACTATCAATATTTAAGGAGCATACTCGGTACATGATTCTCATTCGAATTATGTAAAAAAATAGGTACTTAATTTTTGACCAAATTTCCGTATAAATAAATAAAGTGTGTACACGTTCCAAGTGTTCCTAGTGTGGACGCGTGCGGCGGCGTGCTGATACAACAACACGCCGCCGCGCGCGTATGTGTGAGTGTGTAGTGTAGAGTAATCTGTAGGGTGTTCATACGATGCGTAATTAATTACACAACTTTTGGTTAACTTTACTTAGAAGTTTATTAATATTTATGTTATATTAATTTTTATTTCGTCATATATGATCGTCAAATATCACGTCCTCAAATATCGATAGTAATTCACCAGTCACCCTGTATATATATATATATACATATTATACAATGTGTTCATCAGGTCCTGGCGGCGTCAGAGACGGACTGCGAGGAGGAGCGGGAGGGAGGGCCGGGGGGTGCGGGGAGCGCGGGGGGCGCCAGGCGGACCGCGGGGTCACTGGCCTCTCTGGCCGGGGCGGACGATGCGCTGTACCTGGAACACAGGCGCTCCTCACACCACAACAAACATCCGCTGTTCAAGAAGTTCAGATACTAACGTGCGCGGCTGACGACATGTTTATAGAATTAAAATGTTTCAATTTGTTACTGTACCTATTAAGTATTTTTGATAATCGAAATGTCAGTGTATTGTTCTGTTGATATACAAATAAATTATTTATAAGTTTCACGGCGTTTCATTTCTCCCGAAGTCAATATATTTTCACAATTGAAGAGGTATTTTTGTTTTAGCGAGAACGAGACGGGTGGAGTGCCGGAGTGGGCGATAGTGGAGCTGCAGGGTCTCGTGCAGGTTGAGAGAGATGATGACGGGCCCGCGGTGGTGGGGGACCTGCATTACTTTAAGAGAAACAGACACCCCGTGCTCATACTGGGACACCACGTGCTCACCGGCAAGGAAGTCAAGCTGGAACAACCGATGGCCGTCATGGAGAAGACTGTGGACGGTCATAACACTTCATACACAGTCAAAGCGATCGTTAAAAAGAAACTACTATTCAAATCGAGACCGAAACCCATCATATCGAACGTCAGTGAAAAAGTGTAACATTAAATAAAACAATGTGCCGATATATTATGTTCTTTATTTTATACTCTACATATATTTTGGATGATATATATAAATATTGATAACTATGTTAACATGTGTAAATTGTGCATTAGCAAAATACTTATTTAAATTTTTTCCTAGCCCGTACATGACCTGTAAGAGTTGTAACATATGAGGGAGATGCTGCTTATTGAAACTGAACGAATTTACATCAAACTAGAAAAGTAAAATCGGGAGAAAATAGATAAAAAAATGCGAAGTTGCCAGAGAAAAAAAAAGATTTTGCTGTATAATGCTAATACAAGTCCCTGTGTACATTCTCATGTTTATATAACTGCTCTAGCAATGTAGAGATAACATGAGCATATGGCTCTAAATGAACTCACTTTCCTATAATGTATAAATACACTTGTACTTGATAAAAGAAAAAAAAATTGCTAAAGAATTATGATAATTAATTTCTTAAATTTTATTAGTACAAATTTTATTGCTATAGATTCATTCAAATGTTGAAATTAAAATCATAAAACATACCGCTTTGGGTTATAAGCCAGATGTTAAAATTTCAAAGATACAAGTACTATTAAAGGCACTTTATTTTCTTAAAAAACAATTAGGTATTGCTATACTTAAATGTAAATAACTTAATTTTATCTATAACTAAGTAAAATTGTAACTGATTCGAAAGGAAAATACATTACGTTTTTTTTTAATAAAACGAGGACTTTTTTAAAACAAAAGGAATGAATTGCACCTATAAGAATCATTTACACATCGATCGCCACAGACATTGATATAATAACTCAATGTAAAACTTTGGCTGAAAAGAGAAAAAAATAATCTAAATTATAAGATAAACTCAAACATCCAAAACAAAGACATAAACAATTTAAATTGTAACATTTTATAGCGATAGTAAAGTCTATAGACTTAAATATAACAAGGAGCCGCCCTCTGCAAGAAACCAGAGGACGGTGGTCGACTTTTGAAATGAAAAATATACCGAAATAACAGTCTTTCAACCTAAAACTATAGTATATAATAATATACCGTTAATTATTCAACTAATATAAGGTCAATGAATAAATTCCATGGTTAGTGTTGTGTGAGATTAAATTACAATCAGACAAATAAGAATAAAACAACACTCTTAAATGCACCTTACATCTAAGACACTCGCGCCACACATTCAGTAACACTAACAATTTAACTAACAGTCCTCGGTAGTTGGTGACAAACCATCTAACAAGTATAATATTTAAGTCGTTATTTAAATTCCCTTACACCGTTAACACTATATATTGTAAATTCAATAATCAATATCTAACATTCGATAATTCAATCTGATATAAAAAAATTCATTATTTACAATACATGATAATCAACAGTCGAACCATTCAATATTAAGAAAAAAATACATATGTATGTATGTTGTAGATAGTCATTCTTGTTTGGTGTTAAATTAATATAAAATACATAATATTAGGCGGCGTCCAGGCTGGCCCGGAGCGACTCCTGGCCCTCCACGGAGGTCCAGTGAGACACGAACAGGTCTCGCTCGGTTTCCAGACTTGAGAGAAAAGCACCTTCAACTGTAGTGTTCTTTAAATTTAAAAGTCTCTTCTTCAATAACACGTTCTGGAAAAAAAAATTAATTAAGGTAGAAACATACTCATATGAAATCTGTTTTAGTAATATTCTAGCTTTATCTGTTAAATAAATATTTCGATTTGTTCCAATTACGTTTTATTTTGTAATCCATTCACCCTTCTATAACGCTAGTATTATCTTATCGATGTAGGTTGTGACCCATTGAGGCAATCTTAAAACAACACGAATTTATATGTATACACTGTCGGTCCAACCAAACATGCTAATGTATATGCGAAATATTATATATGTATTAATTTTTATTAAATATTCAATAGTGAATGGCGAGAACGAGGAAGCGGATTTATACTATTATGGATTAGTGAGTGTTATATTTTCTTTATAAACTATTTTACTATATTCGTTATTTGTATGTGTGTGTGTCTGTTTGTGTGTTAAGGAGGAAAGTGAGCGAAGTCTTCCTCGTTGCGAGGCGGGCGATGTGTGTTCGGTGTTGCTGCGCCGCTACTGGCGCGCCCCGGCCTTGGTGCGTCTGTGTCGGTGTTCGCGACGCACGCGCTGCGATAAGATCGCGTCAGGAGACAGACTAGTTGAACTAAACAATCGATCAGACTTGCAGGTGCGAGATAAATTCTCTAATTTGACAACTATCATGATATGTATGATATACAAACTGCTTTCATGATTATGTTTCATGAATCATATCAGCCGTATATATTATATAGTAGTTTTTTGTCTAGTTCTGCAATCCGGTCACAGACTGGCCGGAGTGTTCTATCAACGAAGCGCCTCTCAAGGTCGAAACTACCTACGAACGTATGAGTCCCGACGAAATCGAACTATTACACCACCAGAACATACAACTAACGCCACCGAGAATACGACTTCAATGTCTGTGTCCGAAACCAAACTATTGGAAGTTAAAAACCGAAGACAACGATACAAATCTAACATATCGCTGCTCATCCCTGCCTCTTTGCAAAACTGGTGATGTCTGCGGGAACGTGGACGACGTCCTCCTATCTCTTTATCAGTCGTGCCTGTGTCCTAAGCACCATATATGCGTGCACAGCGGCGGCAGGACACAGGTTCAAATCTCGGAGCTGCTGTACCGAGGGAGGGGCTGGCGTGCTCACTGTCAACGTGTCAATGACGAGTATAGCTATGAAGATTACTGATGACGTCACACACCTGCACAGGCTGCGCAGCCACGTCTTTGGCTATGTTCATCATCTGTTCGTCGAATCTGTCCGGGTACAGCGTGCGACTTATAAGACCTCCCGACACCGCCTCCGACGCTGTTAGACGACGCCCGAATATAAATAAGTCGTTCACCTGAAAATATACATAATATTAATATACACCATAAATAAGAAGAATAGACTGAGTTTTATAAAAGATTAATATCTTGACATGATTTGAATTTAATATTAGCTTGTACACTAAAAAGTAATTCATAATAAAATTGGGAAAGCTAAGTATACATGAATAAAAACATAAATAAATTGTTATCTTATATTGTGAAATTAAATAATTGTGAGTAAACAATTAAGTTTAATAAATTAATGAGCATCATTAAGAAATTGTTTGAGTCACATAATCTCAGATCCTGTAGTAATTATAATCATTCATACATATAATAAATAACATTAAAAATTTGAATCCGAATATCTTTAATTTTATTTGTAACTAGAAGACCTGGCGAACTTCGTATTGCCCTATAATAAAGAAATATCAATTACGTTTTTTTATTTATATTTTTGGAGTTTACCTGTAAGCCATAAATCTTCGTGTTTTGAAGTGCGACAGAATGATTGACATATTAGTTAGTTGTCAAATCTAATGTCAAAAAAAACGTTGTATGGAAAAAAAAGGGCTGTTTTTATGGTTTTCCCAGTAATAAATCAATTTTTTTCAGCTTTTATACCTTCCCTGAACCTCCACGAACATTTCAAGACTAAGATGAGATAAATCCGTTCAGCTGTTCTCGAGTTTTAGCGAGACTAAGGAACAGCAATCCATTTTTATATATATAGAAGATTAAAGAATACTACTTAAATAATATAATGTAAAATAAAATTCAAGATGTACTTTATTATTACTGTTGTATATAAACTTATTGTTTTTATTATTATTTTTTTGCTCTCTTTATAAACAATTATTATTTATGAATGAATATATGTATTTCTATTATTACACTCCATGTCAAAATAACTGTGAAACTTTTCTGGCAAATTGTTTTTACCTTACCCCCTTTATTGTAATAAATTAGTTCAGTAGGCCATACAGATTATATTGTATTACTATATAAGCTGAATGTTTTCTCATGTATAAATAAATTATCATACCAGTGCCTGCGATAGTTGACATCGTGATGTGAGGACAGCTGCCCCGGGGAGCAGCGGAGAGGAGCCGGCGCGTGTGAGGGCAAAGGTCGCGTCCTCCGCCGCTAAAGACACGTCGCTCAGGGCGGCCAGCGACAAAGACAGGCCAGAACAAGCGCCCGCCACGCCGCACCACACCAACTTACTGTGGCGGGCCGCGGAACTCAGCAGGCCTCTGAAATCATACAGTCACCCATAAGCTCTTGTATAATTTCATTATAGCCATTAGTTAAGAATAAACATTTATATGAAACGCTTGTCTTTAATTGTATCGCCGCTCCCGATACCACAACCAGTATTAAAATTAAATACATTACAGGTCACTGAAAACTGCGTATGTTTTTCTTATATTCAGTATGTTACATATTTCATCCCTACTAATATTATAAATGCGAAAGTAACTCTGTCTGTCTGTTATCCTTTCACGCGTAAACCACTGAACTGATTTTAATGAAATTTGGTACAGACACAGAGTTGATCTTGAGAAAGAACATAGGATAGTTTTTATCCCAGACTTTAAAAAAGTTCTCTTGGAAACGCGATATTACCGAACTCCACGCGGCGAAGCTGCGGGCGGAAAGCTAGTGGTTATATAAATTTGTATGTTAAATGTTTACTTAATAGTTTCAGCTAATTCTGTAGCGTGATGAACCCTGATTTCTTTGTTCTCATTCACCAGCAGCGCCAGATCGAGCAAGGAGCATATGGTTCCACATTGAGATGAGAACATCGTGATTGATATGTCTTTTCTTTTGTCTATATAGTTCAATGCCATTTCTAACTCCTTCAAAACCTGTAAAAAGTGTATGTATTAATATGAAGTCACTGATTCACTCAGTCAATGAGATACTAGTAATTTTATATATTAACATACCTCAACCCCAATTTTCTCCCCTGTGTTTTGGACGTTTATAATGGCTAATCTTTGATCAAGCGTGATCGATACGAAATTAAATTTATCGATTTCTTCTTTTGGTACAATGAGAACGTTATCTTTTTGTTCAGCTGTCTTTACTATCTTTTTCTGTTTCGCTGGTTTTTCATTCTTAGAAGCTTCCCTTTTCCGTTTGTTGAGAGCTAAACTCAGTTTCGAATTTAACTTTTCTTTGATAGACAGACAATCACTTTTGTTTATTATTTCACTAGCCGGCGTATTATCTGACTCGGGATTGAACATGTCTCTGGCTGGCTGCCCCTCGTGTTCTACGTTGCTGTTTGTTTTAACTTCTGCCGGACTTTCAGTGGATGTTGATTGCTGTGACAATCGTGTATTACTATTTGTACTGCCTCCTTCAACATCACTGAGGCGGCGGGGACTCATACAACTGCTGGAATAAGAACTTGATGAGTGACGTCTGTATATAATGGAGTCGTCTGCACTATGTGTTTCAAAGTCCTCGCTGGCAGGAGACTTGACCGAGCTGCTTAGGGAAGCTCTTTGTTTGCCGCTGAGGATTCTCTTTGGTTCTCCGTCTTCATACTTTATTAACTCCTTTTTCCTTTCTCTAAACTTCATTTCCTTGCCCTCTGGTGTGGAGCTTTGGAGTTTTTTTATAAATTCAGCCTTGGTTTTCATATTCTTCTTTCCTTTGGTTGCTTCGGGAGTCAATTGGTATATCATGTTCACTGCCCCTTCGTCCATAAGTAATTTGTCTACTTCTGTTAATCTTTTGTTTTGCTTGTTGTTTTTAGGAGACGGTTTTTTCCACTGCAGTTTAGACAAAGGTGACTTTGACTTAGGCATTTGAATATTTTGCTCAGGCTTTAATTTCTTTGATGGTGTTTGATCTTTATTGCAAATAATTTCTTTGCTCTTAACTGGAGTTTTTCCTTTCGTAAATGTATCTGGGTTGTCAGGATCAAAGATGACTTTCTTCTTTATGACTCTGCTCAGCCTGCGAGGGGGGATTTCTTCATTTTTATCTGATGGTTGTAATGCATCTTCAGCCATAGAAGAATCCTGTGTAACTTGGTCATCATTGCCAGTCTGGTTGATTACTTCGTCCTGACTCATTTTAACATCTTCTGTATCTTTTAACAGAGCTTCACTTTCTTCAACAATGTTATTAGGCTGATGGCCTTCAGCCGTTTCCTCATCTTCCCAATCCATAACCAACACTTTGACAATGTTTTTCTTTTGTTCCTCTTGCTGTGGCTTGTTTTCTGAAACAACTTCAGTTTCAACTTTATGAGATTTATTGTTTACTGTGTTTGCCTTTGGTGTCTTTTCTGCTACTTTTGTTTTATTTCTTCGCCGTTTAAGTTTTGAAAGCTGCTTTAATGCTATTTCAGCCTCAGACAATTTATTTGAATTACTTTTCAAGGACTCGCTATTATCATTTTCTTCATTTATATCATTTCCTTCTAATATATCCAATAACTCCTCCTTATTAAATACTTCTTGTTTGTCAGTGCTATTATTATTCTCACTATTATCGGCAACATCCGATGATCTCAATACTTCACTTAATTCAATATTTGGTGCCAAGTCATTTAAAATATAATTCGAGGAATCAATTTCTTCGTTATTAGTCAAAACGTTTTCATTAAAATCATTTTCTTCAATAAGTATTTCTGTTTCGAATTTCACTTCTTCTGAATTGGTCGGTATTACCACTTCTTCTACAGCTTCTGAAACAACCTCTTGTTTGCTGGGTTCAGAGTCAGCCCCGGTTTCATCTACAATTACTTCAGTTACAACAGTCTCAACTGTTTCTACTTCTTCAATATTTTCTTCGATAACTATGTCTTTATCATGAACTTCTTCTACTACTACATCGTGTTCGATGGGTGGGACGCTTTCTGGGACATCAATATCATTACAATGTATATCGTTAGCTTTAACTTCTACTTCGTTTACTGTGTCACTAGAAATTTTCTCAGTGTTATTCACATCCGAATGCGCTTCCTCATTTTTTCCGGCGGATTCAACCCCATTTGACGTACAAACCTCATTAGAGTCTTTAGCGACAACATCGCTGTCTTCGGACTTTGAAACACACGGAGCTGCATCAGACACTGAAACTTCTTCTACAGCTTCCATTTTGTGTTGAGTTTTATTTATCTTCTCTTAATTCGGATTGAATATAACCTAATGTGTTGATAAATAAATCAAACAAACGCAATAAAATTGTTACTTATTAAATCACATTATAAATATATTAAACTGCACAAAAAAAATCCAAAAGTCTTAGTTAATTGCCATGTACTAATATTAAACAAGCCGTATGAGTTTAATTACACTTATTCTATTTATCAAGCGTCGGTGCATTTCATTTCCAAGCGAGAAAAAAGAGTCGCCATATATACGTGGAATAGTTATGGACGGTTACATTATCTGTATAAAACTAGCCGTCAACTGTTTCTACATTGTCTTTACTTCACCCTAGTTTTTATATTGAAAAATAAATTAAATATTTAAAATTAAATATCTATACTTTGAATAAATCTAATAAAATCTTAATTTAACTTACAAATACAATTACAGTTGCTTGTAATACTTCATTCAAATTTTAATGAAATATTTATTGTACCGTAACTCTATTCTTCAACACAGAATTGTTAAGACGTTAAAGATTGGAATGGAAATGTAATCATTGATTAAGGGAAATATGTAATTCTTTTGATAAAATCGACCCCTATTCATCACTTTAGTTTTAGTATCATTCGAGAAATTTACAAACAGCTAAGTCTTCTTTAATTTAGTTTAATCTGTAACTTGTCCTCCTCGAATTGTCAGCAGAGAGATAAATCGGTCAAACGTCAATAACATTGTGCGACATCCAATATTTATTATTTATCTCATTTGTATTTGGAACCACTAAACAGTAAAAATGAATATATTACCAAAAAAAAGGTAAATATGACGTAAATTACTATTTCTTGATACTTTTATATTTACTTTCGTAATTATAATTATACCATGATAATTCACACATTTTATTCCTAATATAGATGGCACGTAAGAACTAAAGAAAATATAGCAAGGGTTAGAAAAGATGAAGCTGAGGCAGCAGAAAAAGAAAGACAAGAGCAATTAAGAATCGCAGCAGCAGATCGGGAAGCTCGTCTTAATGTTTTAAAACAGAAAAGCAAATTAAAATTGGCAGAATTAGATATTCCCCTCCCTTCAGAAAAAACAGAAACAAGTAATTCTGCAGAACATATTAATCTGTTCTCAGATCTCGAACACGCTTTACAAACAACAAATAAAGAGCATGATAAAGAAAAAAAGGAAAAGCAAGAAGAATATGAAAAAAAGATAGGCTATTTGACTTATTTAGGACAAGACACCAATGAAGTCCTCGGGAAAAAGAACTGGTATGAGGTACCACCGGAATCATCACGATTCTCAAGATCAGCAGATATTAAGGACACTTATGACAAACTGGTTTTAAAAGATGCCGATGGTATACCAAAAGGCAAATTGTGTGATGAAAAAGATGGAGAGGTAGCTTGGAAAGCAAAACAAAGCTTAGACCCGTTGAATGCTTTTAAGAAATACTGTAACAGTGTACCCAAAACAATAACAAAAGCCAAAGATACACAATCACATAAATTGGACACACACAAAACTAACAAAAGTAAAACTAGCAAAAAAGACAAACATAAAAGTGACTCACAAATGAAATTACAAAAACTAAGAGAAGCAAGATTAAAGAGGGAGATGCACGAAAAGGCCAAAACAGAGATGTTTTTAAGTAAACTTAGTGGTATTGAGCCTGTTGAGACAGAAAAAAAAGAGCCCAAGAAACTTGTTCCAAAATATAATTCACAATTTAACCCAGAACTAGCAAGACAAAACTTTAGATAGACATCTCAGGATTAACAAATATATATATATATACTTATAAAGTCAGTGGTTAAAAAGGCCTCATGCATGAGAGCACGGGTTCGATCCTGGCAAGTACCAATGTGATTTTTCTGAGTAATGTGTACTTTCTAAAGAGTATTTAGACATCACTGATTAATGCATTCCCAAAGAGGGTTGATGTCAGGCAGGTGGTCGGTCGTAAAAACAATTAGCCATAAACTATTCACAACAAGTAAGGCAGACCCTGGTTAAAGCTGGGAAATTGCCAGGAAGATGAAGATATATGTATAATATATACTTATTTATTTCTTCAATATACAATATAAATAGTATACTGAGGATTAATTTTATGATAAATAAAAAACTTAGTATCAGTATAAACAAATTTTATTATTATAAGATTCATATTTTCTATATCTTAATAACTAGATAATATTTAACCCTGTTTAATGTTCATTACATTTTAAATTAGGTCATTATAGAGATTTCAATAAATAAACAATTATATGGTATTAATATAAAAAGATATTTTTAAACATAACACAACATAGTTTGGTTGAATAAAGATTATTTTTGAGGGCATTGAGATAGTAAAGCCAAAGGGAGCTTATCTTCTAATTTGTTAAAGGAGTAATTGAATGTTTCACAGAAAAGTCGTAGTATTTGTGTGGTAAGCCCTCCATCATTTGTAGTTTCACCACCCTTGTGTCTGAAATTTTAATATTTTGTTAGCATTAATTTAATACTTATTTATTGAGAATATTATTATAAAGGCTGGTATGTTATTTCAATAAAATAGAATTCAAATTAAAATATATTAATAAAATGGTTTTCAATTGTTGTGAATATATTAATATTTCTTATATAATATGTGCAATAACTCTAAAACGTAAGTAATTAAGGATATATTCAATAGAAATAAATTTCTATAATCCAGTCAGAGGCTGTTACTTGAAAATTAACAACAGTAATTCATTCATATTTATTTTTGCAAAGTATCAACCATTTATGTTGTTTCTAGCTAATTCATAACAAAAGCTACATTACAATATTAAGTTTTTTATTAAATATGAGAAAGACAAAAATTCTCTAGGTATCCAATATTGTACTATTAAAAAGCCAATGTCCAATAATAATTTGAAAGAGAATAGTAAAAGTCATTTTAAAGAGATTAGGAAAGGGAAGCATAAGATTGCTTTTCATTGTTAGCAGCTGATCTTAAAAACTGTATAGCAATTGCGTGCTTGGAATATGTTTATATCGTTACATTACATGCGCAGTATTTCCCGATTCTCGATGAATAACGTGCAAAATTTTAATGAAAATCTGTTAACGCTCCGTAGAGTATGTATAAGAATACTATGCAGTTTTAAGGTCTCACTTGTACCATCTAGTGACCTTATGTAACTAGGTGTCAATGTCATGTAGAGTGTGTATTCAACCGACCTGTTCATGGCAGCGACCTTGGAGTATTGACATAAGAAATCAACAAACACATCGACACTCTCAGTCTTCGATTGACGTAATAATGTATAAACACCAACCAATAGAGGATAACCGTCAATATTGTCTCCGGGTTTCCGCGATATTAAGTCACCTGAACAAAAACACATGAATGGATTATGTCAAGAATGTATAAAATATTAACGAGCATTTAAGAAACGATCACTTATATTAAATGTTTATTTAAATATCTAAGTAGTGACAATTTAATTTACAGTTATTAACATATAATTTGAATTTAATAAGAATGAAATTAACATTGTTAATATTTTTTCCTATGTTTGAGTCATGAAAAAATACGTAATCTATTTATATGAGTAAATCTTCATACCTGTAGTTTGACACAGCTGTAGTCTTGTTAACTGCGATATCAATACAGTAGCCATCAAACGTCCCATATCAATATTTACCAACTCATTAGCATTCTTCAGATATATTTTATCAAAAGGTTCCGAAATTCCACACCGACTGAGGTACTCTTCTAAGTTTTGCATCAACGCTAAAGGAACTGTTTTAAAACCTGATTTACATCCTGTTTTGATTTCGTTTAAAACGGACCTGTAAACGTTAATTTGAATTTAAAAAAATAGTTATATAACAGAATGAGAAAAATTTGGTGCAATTATCTTCTATATATATAAAAATGGATTGCTGTTCCTTAGTCTCGCTAAAACTCGAGAACAGCTGAACGGATTTATCTTATCTTAGTCTTGAAATGCTTGTGGAGATTCAGGGAAGGTATAAAAGCTGAAAAAAATTGATTCATTACTGGGAAAACCATAAAAAGAGCCTTTTTCTATTTCCCATACAAACGTTTTTTTTAACATTAGATTTGACAACTAACTAATGTGTCAATCATTCTGTCGCACTACAAAACACGGAGATTTATGGCTTACAGGTAAACTACAAAAATATAAATAAAAAAAAGTAATAGATATTTCTTGATTATAGGGCGATACGAAGTTCGCCAGGTCTTCTAGTATACGATATATTTCTTAAATATGTCTATTTTGGGATTTGACAAAATCTTAAAGCATTACGAACTTAAGTATGTAATCTCTTTTTCTAACATTCCGCTAAATTGGCATAAATTTTCAAAAGCGTACGGGCAAAGAAATATGGTTATATAATAAGCAACATCAAAGGAGACATTTATTTCTTTATAAGTACACATTATTTAACCTACTCACTCGTTCATAGTTCTCAAGGACGCTTCCAATTGTGCTGAATCAAATTTACAAGTGGTGTTCAATTGATACGCTATATGTTTTCTCAGTAGTTGCAAGGTACCAATCTGTACAATAGTATCTGCTAATTGCTGATACGACTTTTGTCCTTTGAGCACAAACTGGTCGAAATCTTTCATATCCGTGTTAATTACATTTCTTTCCGGATGAGTTCTAAATATATTCTGAACATGCTGTAGCTGATTCTTTATCATGTAGCCATACAGGGTGTCCAAGCCATGGAGACCAACAACACCGATGGCCTCTTTCAACTTAGTGAACGTTTTGGTGTTCACAACCTCATTCTGAGACTTTACATCATACCAGGATGAGCATATGTTTATATAGACACATATTCTGTAATCATAAAAAATGTATTATAGTAAAATGTGTTTTTTTTTCATAAGATAGTGATAGGAAACATGATACAAGTAATTTAAATAGTAATAAATATCTCATGATATTAGTATGTTAATATAATTATATTAATATTTATCACCTAGCGTCAGTGAGTTGTGCCACTTGTCTAGCGAGGCTGCCCATGAACCCAGCTGAGGGACCAATCAGACTCACACCCTTCCTGATACTTATCTCCTTTGAAACACTTTGATTTATAATTGATGACACCTATTTTACACAATAAAAATATGTATTATTAATTAATAATATAAAACAAAAATCACCAGATTCAAACCTCATATTGAGATGAAACTAATATTTTTCTGATATACTATGCGTGACTTATTTTTTTAAAAAAACTACGCACAAAAATCTCGAAAATTTTAGATCTCGTATTTAAACTTTCTTTTTATTTACATTATATATGGCTAGTTTTTGCCCGCAACATCGATAGCTTTAGTTTCGAATATTAAGTATCCTAAGTCTGCCTCCTGGTTCTAAGCTATCTCCCCACCAATACTCAACCATATCCCTACAGCCGTTCTTGAGTTATAAATAATGTAACGAACACAATTTTCTTTTGTATATATACAGGGTGACTGGTGAATTACTATCAATATTTAAGGAGAATACTCGGTACATGATTCTCATTCGAATTATGTAAAAAAATAGGCACTTAATTTTTGACAAAATTTCCGTATAAATAAATAAAGCGTTGACACGTTCCAAGTGTTCCAAGTGTGGACGCGTGCGGCGGCGTGCTGATACAACACAACGCCGCACAACGCGTATGTGTGAGTGTGTGTTTATACCTAATCTGTAGGGTGTTCACACGATGCGTAATTAATTACATAACTTTTGGTTAACTTTACTCAGAAGTTTATTAATATTTATGTTATATTAATTTTTATTTTGTCATATATGATCGTCAAATATCACGTCCTCAAATATCGATAGTAATTCACCAGTCACCCTGTATATGTATGTAGATATCACTTAATATTCCAAATTAACATGAATGTCAAAGAAAATTGATCGTAGAAAAATATTAATCATTTCTGTCTAACCTGCTTTTGTAAAATCCTCAATCCATGAATATTTATATAGTCTTGTATGTACTCCAAGGACCTCTTATAACCCTCCATACTCTCCGCAAGCTTCTGCAGTCTATTCATCAAACTGTTATTTTTTTTCGCTTGTGGCTCAATGAATTCAAAAAACTTCTTATTGATATGGCCGTCTAGTTCTCTTAATAGACCCTCTTCGAGTAATTCCGCTGGATCTACTCTTATGACGCCGACTAAGGTCGATCTCATGTCTAGAATTCCTGGCAACGAAAAATTTATGAGTAATCTAATTAGATTGGAATTTTGAAAATGGAATCCTTTTATTACCCGTAGTGAACATAGAAGCTGAATGCGTTAATTTCGCAACTTCCATCCTATCATCTAGTTGAGCGTAATCCCTTAGTTTCTCTTTATCAATTCTGGTGGGTACTTCCATGATCTTCCACGTCTGAAGGTCGACAATCTTTTCGACAATCTTAAACACCATCTCGGGGATAATTTGAAGAACTTTTTGTATATATTTTATCAGCTCGCTGCTGTAATATTGTGAGACGGAGACCAGGTCGTCGCTTTGCGCTTGATTAATACGTAAGAGGGGTATTTCCATTGCGCTCGCCAATTTCAAGAACAGAGCTCGTAAGCGACTCGTTACAGCAGGATTCTCCTTAATGCTATCCTGCATGTAAACTGTGTATAAATCTATAGTACACCATGCATAACTGAAGTCTGCTACAGTCTCCAAGGTCACGAGCGAGTCTTCTTTCAATGAAGCAGCTCTTAGAACATTCTTCAAGGCGTCTTTGCTCTCAGATATTAACTGTACGACTGTCGAGGTACTTTTAATTCCATGGAACTCTTCAACATTATCAAGTACTTGTAACAGCTGAGTGACTTTTTTTATTGTTTTCGATGTTATGGGCTCGTTCAAAGATGATATTTGTTTCGCTATATTTTCAAACCACTTCTTCAATTGTTCGTTTTCGTCAATCTTAGTAAATTTCGGGATGGTACCAGAAAATAACTCTGATAAATTGTTAACTGCGTCTAATGCTATATTTTTATTTTTATTCCACGTTTCACTTCTGGAATCTAGTAATTTCTTTAAGAATTCACGAATCTTCAGTTCCAATTCGGCTGTACATATGAGGAGTTCTAGTATCTTCACCGGATCGTAACCGGATTCCTTGATGACCAGATCTTTGAGTTGTTTGCTCTTCTTGTTATTATCGAAAAATATGACGTCACTGTTGTGTAACAACAACCAACGTAACACGTGATTTGAATTCAATATAACGTTTATAATCTTATTGATGTTATCGAGTACAAAGTCATCAGTCAGAGTGCCTTCTTTCAACAGCAACTGACTCTTGTTTATCAGCAACTGCACCGAGTTGCCTCTCTTGGAATAGATTTCTTTGACGATTTTTGTATTACATGTATTATTGAGTGAATTTTTCGCTGCTTTAAAACCATCCCAGTAATCGATTATGTTCATTGTAACACCCATATAAACAGGTATGATCCAATTGCAAGGGAAAAATTTATCAACGATTTCTCTCATTCTGGTTGTATCGGAATGTAAATAGTGGGGTGTGAAGAACAAACAGACTACAAGCATACTTGCCTGAGTAGCAAGTGCAGACGACTGGTGTTCTGGTATCGTGAACACTGTCAGCTGGTTATAAATGTCCTCCGATCTTAATTTTCCAATTATCTTCTCTAGAAAATCTGGATGAATAGGCACACGACTGAAACCAATATGAAGAAAATATTAAAAGCAGGCCCTAAAAAATATTTATGTCTTCTATTAAATTACAAATACCTAAAGTATTCCACAGGATAATCGGATGGACGTTTTCCATGTTGCTGATTGTAACCGGTTTCTCTCAATAATTTACAAACATCGTCAACATTAGACTGGGACTGGTTGGTACTGTAGCGATAGAATGCTACTAAGAGCTTTTCCCTCGCATTTCCAGGAATATATAAATCGCATAACAAAAGCATTGCCCCATATAAGTACAGGGATTCACACTAAAAAAGAATAAAGTTCGACAATTATCCATTCTTAATAATTAATTATTAGGTGAAGTGAGCGCAACACAAGTCATTAAACCACGGAGATGATCTCGGCAGAAGCATCTCCGATCGTTCAAGGGTTTTTTGTTTGATAATCCAGTTATCTGGGGTAGTTTTCATAAAGAAAAAGTTTAAACCACCAATTTAAATTTAGGGGCGGAAAACGGAACCCATATCGGACAAAACGGGTTGGTACCAAAACTATAAGGACACTTCACTGAAATTTATCTGAGAGCTTTTTTCGAGCGAAACGAGACAAAAAATACGAAGGTGATTCACCTAGTTTATAAAATACACATTACCAGTAATTGTTTCCCTTCCATATCTTTCATAACAGTCTCCATACTTTGCTGTATAAATGCTCCGTCATGCAGTTGTTCCACAAAGGTATTGAGATCTATTATATACTGATAGATATTTTCAAATAGTAAATAAAACCGAGTGATTAATTCCAGGTACTTTTCTTTCAAGTCATCATCCAGATCTTGGAGTTTCTAAAAGCATTCTCAATGTCAGTTTAAATAATAGAGAAAAAGAGTAAATAAGCTTTCAACTGTAACATCTTTTCATGTAAAAGAATTTTATTTTTAAATGTGAATTAAATGAAATACTGGCAGAATAATTCTTAATTTAATTAAATCAGATCTAAGAACATACTTAAAAATATAAATTTGGTTATTGAAAATAGATGCTCTTTAATTACAGTATCCTTTAGTTTTTCTTTATAAAATTAATATATCTTTTTCATTTGAATGTAATAGCTTAACTTACTGAATTAGCATTAATTTTCTTTTCTTGCATTTCTGAGATTTTAAAGTAACTAAAATCCATGATAACATCCTGATAATTTTGTTGAATCTCCTTGGTTTCAAATCTATAATAATTTGTATGGAATTAGTTTCTTAATTATTTAACAAATCTCTTTTAGTAATAAGTACTTTATATACAATTCAAAAAGTCAAATAGAAATACAGATGGCTTGGTAAATATGTATCAAAATTATTATAATTACAGAAGTTTTTGGGATTGAATTTATTGTTTGTTCAAAGTTTAAGTGCGATATCTCTTGAATAAAATTTTATTCTACTTCAACTCTTAAAATTGTCCACATATCACCTTCAACGATATTTAAAAAACTGTTATTAACACTTACAAAAATATTTTGGGTATGTGATCTTTAAGTCTTAATATTTCGGCAAGTATAGCATTTCCGTGCGAAACAAGTTTCAGTAAATTTTGAGCGCACAGATTATCCTCTGCCAAAAATACCCTCATTTTTAATTAACTTTCCTTTAAGTAAGCTTCACTAATATTTAATATTATAAGTTACTTGTTATCATTGAATCTGTTTGTGTTTGATAGCTGACAAATGACAGCTCATCAACGTCAACATTTCAAACAAATTAAAAGTGAATTTTTCAATGACTTTAGATTAGAAATTGAATTAAAGTTTATTTCATTTTCGTCATATATTGATTCACATGTTATTACATAAGGTTCTATATGCAAAGGCAAAGTACTATTTTGTAAAATTAAAAGTTATGTTATACATATTACAAAACTTAATTCAACAAATTAAAGCAAGAACTTGTAATAGTGTAAAAAAACTCTTGGCTTATTAATACAATAACCAAATTTTCTTACTATCAGTACGTGGTTCGTTTTGACTCATTTTCATTATCAAAATTAAAATACTTACCAATTATGGATGAAGTTACTGTTTTAATCTTTGGAAATTTAAAATCATAGATTCATAGAGTTTGTAAATTAATTTTACCACTACCTAATCAATTGTCACTATAGAGTATCGACCATTCAATTCGAAGTATGTAATCTGACTATTTGCCAGTCGGTATTCAATTGGACTTCGGTCCAGAGGTCTAAGATTTTTGGTGACATAAAAATTGTTAAAATATTTAATATGAGTTGTTAACTTTAAGTTGCGACTTTATTTATTGGTGTCGTTAATTAGCTAATAATTTATAAAAAATGACTTCATCTTTATTAAGTTACGAGACGCTCACTCATGCGATAGCAGGAGCTACGGTTTGTAATTTTTTTTATGAGACTACAATGAAAAAAAAAATAGTCTTACTTATTTAATTAAATCATTATTATTTTTTTAATAGGGCAGTGTGGTCGGAATGGCTGCATTTTATCCTCTGGATACGATTCGGTCGAGGTTACAAGGTAAATACAGCGTAGGTACTAATTAACATGATAAACAATGACGAATGTAAATATATACAGTATTACATTTTTTTAATCAAAGAATGTAGCCTTATAATTAAATTTAACAATTAATATCCTGGTTTATATGTAAATTTATTTATATTAATTTTGTTACAGTTGACGACTCTAAAAAACTTCATGGAACTACCTTAGAATTACTTATTAAATTGACCAAAGAAGAGGGAATCGAAGCTCTTTACCATGGACTGGGTCCTGTTTTGCAGTCACTTTCAGTGTCCAATTTTGTTTATTTTTATGTATTCCATTCCTTACGTAGAGTAAGTTCAGCATCTCCTTCAGCAGGAAGGGATCTTTTAATAGGCATGGTTGCTGGTAGTGTTAATGTACTGCTTACATCACCTCTGTGGGTTGTTAATACAAGGATGAAGTTAGAAAAAAATTCATATTCCAGTTTATTGGAAGGTCTCTTTACATTATTTCAGAAAGAAGGGGTAAAGGGTCTATGGTCTGGTACATTGCCTTCACTTTTGTTAGTATCAAATCCTGCTATTCAATTTATGGTTTATGAGTCATTAAAGAGGAAAATAATGGCAAGAGGAAAATTTGATATATATTCAGCATTTGCAGTTGGAGCCGTAGCCAAAGGAATAGCAACCACTTTAACTTATCCCTTACAATTATTTCAATCAAGGTTGCGAGCTGGTACCAGTCTCAAACCACTATTTAAGGATATCAAAAAACACCCTGGAACTCTGTTCAGAGGCTTAGAGGCTAAATTATTACAAACAATCATGACTGCAGCATTAATGTTTTTAATTTATGAAAAAGTATTTCGGCTAGTTCTAACTATTATGAGAGTGAAATTAAAAAAACATTAATTTTTAAGGATAAGCTTATTTAACATGTCAAGTAGATACTTATTGAGGTGGATAGATTTGTGTATGGGTGTGGTTATATGATTATTGTTGGGCATTTAACATGACATTTATTAATTTTTATGACTGTGATGGAGTTAAAAACATTATTTAACTTGTTAGTTTTAGAAAAGATTAATATTGTACTAATAAGATCATTTAAATATATGTAACATATATTTCATGGTAACAGCTGTTTTTGCATTGGGTTTTACTAAATAAAATAAATAATAATAATGATAATGCTTATTTTTTATTTAATTCATAGAAAAATAGTTTTAACAGACTAATTCGTCGTTCCATATTTTAATTGTGATAGTTTAACGTCTTCAGATGTGCGAACTATCATTTTGGTATATTCTTCAACTATCAGCTGCAAATCATTGTACACCTGGAACAAGTTTAAAATTTAGTGAATTATCTGCCCTAAATAAAAACGATAACAGTTGATGATTATACATTATATATAAAAATATTATCTTGCTTCATTACTCATCAACTACTTTTGTTTTTACAATGAAAACAAATAAGTCACTGGCATGTATTTAAAATAATATAAAACGATAATACTGAAATTATTAATAATTATATGATGAGTGATGACACTAAGACTGGGATGTTCTTCAGATAAATAATAAGCTTGGTAAATACAAATAGCTCTTAAATAAGTAAATGAAATATAAATACCTCTCTGACTTTCGGATTGTGATCATGTTGAGTCAGTTCATGTAGCAGTAAGTCAGCTAATGATAGTGGTGAGGCGCGCGGTAGAGAATTATTAGTTGGCACGAGTGCTAGGGCGTCGCGACGTAGAGCAGCACAACACAGCTCAGCAGCCTCCACAGCCCGCCCGCCGCTCAGCATAGCACGAATACACGAATTAGGCTCCAACTCCTATAAGCATGAATGTAATATAGTCCCTACTAATATTATAAATGCGAAAGTAACTCTCTCTGTCTGTTACGCTTTCACGCCTAAACCACTGATTTGATTTTAATTAAATTTGGTACAGAGATGGAGTTGAACTTGAGAAAGAACATAGGATAGTTTTTATCCCAGACTTTTGAAAGGTTCTCTTGGAAACGCGATATAACCGAACTCCACGCGGGTGAAGCTGCGGGCGGAAAACTAGTATATTTTATATCCTAGATAACCCGGCGAACTTCGTGCCGCCCTATAATCAATAAATATCTGTTACCTTTTTATCTAAATAGAGTTAATTTCTTTATTAAGTATAACTGACCCGACAGATAATGTTCTGTCTTCTTAACTGTAATTATTGAATTCTAATTGGTATATTAACATAACAAAATTATTACAAAAACAAAGTGTTTATTATTCTCATGCAAACACAAAGAGTTTATTCTAACTACGTGAATATTGCACGTTAATTTAATAAAAAAGTGAAATATAATAGTTTTTTTTTCTAGTAACATAAGAACCTTCTCCTAATAGTAACAAATACAAAAAAAAAAAGAATTACATAGTGAAACGGTAAAGCCATTGACGTGTATAGTATGACCAAGGCAAAAAGGGATTCATTTTTATATATGTAGATTAGATTTTAGATATACACAATAGTAATATATATTATTAATAATGCGTTGGACATTTTTCATCGTATTTTTCAAAATATTTTGACAGAATATATTAATATAGGTTCTTTAGTAAATTCCCGGTTTAGATATATAAACATACTAGAGTTTGGTGAAACTGGGTCTAAATGTTAGATCTCGGTTCTAACGTACAAATTAATGTATTATATGTTCTTAAAAAGAAAGAATGATTAAAATAAAATTTTAGCGTCAATCTTAAGAATGATTTGATTGGAGACATGAGGAAAATAATTACCAGGAACCTTTGAAGAAACCAATGTGGCATAAACTGGCCGGTACTGATCGCCCTTTTCATCACCGCTAAAAGAGTTTCCGGATCCGCTTCTTTCAAATTTGGATATAAATAGTCAAAATCGATGTTATCCGTTTCTGTTAAACAAAAATGTTATTAGAGAATTTTATATTATAAATAGAAATATTGCATCTACTCATTTCGTAATTAAATTTACACAATACTAACTAAGTAAAGCCTGCTGCACCGGATCTAATGATTCTGGAACTTCCTCACGCAATTCGGCTGCAAGTTCTTCGGGACCAATAATCTAAAATAAAAAATTTTGATACTTAGAAACCAATAATGTACACCTTCTTAATAATAACACCTTTTAATAATCAATTATAATATATCTTATAATAGTAAGCCAAAAAATAATATTTTCAAAAGGTTTTTTTAAATTTAAAGTGGTCTTCTAAACGCCATATAATTTTATGAATTTAAAATTATTACTATTGAAAAGGTCATTGGCACTTGAGACTACTTATTACTTTGTTGACATAACTATTTGCGTTATCAAAATATATTTTGTATCTACTGATTTATAATAAGCGGCAATCAGAAATCGCAAAAATATTCGCACGTTATTAGTTAGGTTTTGGAATGAGAAACGGGAAACGCTTCATATGTAGTTTAGTGTGACGAACTTATAGTAAGCGTAGAGATATATGGTTATGAAACAAATAAGGAAAATAAATTTGACGTCTGTGTCATACGTTCACTAATGTTTACACGTTAAGGTTAAGATGATTAAAATCATATTACCAACACTATAAAGTAATTAAAATTGACTAAATCATTGACAGCTATTGTTGTAATTGGGACTATATAATACTAGCTGCGCCCCGCGGTGTTCGCGGATTTCTGGGATTTAAAGTAGCCTATGTGTTATTACTGGACATCAGCTACCTGTATACTAAATTTTAATAAAATCGGTTCAGTCGTTTGAGCGTGAAGAAGTAACAAACATACACACACTCACAAACTTTCGCAATTATAATATTAGTAGAATTATTCAGACCCATCAGGATTACACTATCTTGGAGTGTGTGTGTGTATATTACCTGGAGAGCGTCGTTAGCGTTCCGTGTCCTGTCAGGCCTAGCCAGGAACGCGTGTCTGGGTTGCGCCAGTCTCAGGCAGGTGAGCGCCGCGGCCAGCCAGCGTCGCCGGGCCGGGCCACGCTCGCCCGCACACCGCGCCGCACGCTCGTACACTACCGCCGCCGCTACAAACACCACAGATTAAATATATTATATCGTCGGTGATAGTGCAAAAAGGCGTAACTACCATTGAATAATCCCGCGTATCTGCATTTTAAGAAAATCGTTACAAGTAAAACTGAAATATTTTTTAAATTAACGGTTTTTAAGGTATTTTTTTCACAATTATGTAGTAATTATTTAGTGTTTAATTTATTACTAATTGTGAAAAAATATTTTTAAAGTCGTTAATTTAGGAAATATTTCAGTTTAAACTTTCTTCTCATAATTTTCTTAAAATGTAGATACGCGAATTTATCCAATGGTAGTTACGCGATTTTGCACTATCCCCGACGATATTATTATAATTGTCTTTGGTTATACAATATACATGTTTTATGACAACTGAAGCTTGTTGTGTCGTAAGATTTTATAGAGTTAAAGTATTGAATGTATATAGTAGTTATTGTATATTGAATTCATTATACAGGGTGACTGGTGAATTACTATCAATATTTAAGGAGAATACTCGGTACATGATTCTCATTCGAATTATGTAAAAAAAATAGGTACTTAATTTTTGACCAAATTTCCGTATAAATAAATAAAGTGTGGATACGTTCCAAGTGTGGACGCGTGCGGCGGCGTGCTGATACAACACCACGCCGCCGCACGCGTGTGTGTGTGTGTGTATATATACCTAATCTGTAGGGTGTTCACACGATGCGTAATTAATTACATAACTTTTGGTTAACTTTACTTAGAAGTTTATTAATATTTATGTTATATTAATTTTTATTTTGTCATATATGATCGTCAAATATCACGTCCTTAAGTATCGATAGTAATTCACCATTCACCCTGTATATACTGGCGCTCATAATTATTAGGATTACGTATGAATGGAGAATTTCTTGGCCTCATAAGTTTTCTGAATATAAAAATCGATTCATTTTAAACATGGAATTTGGAAGAGACAGAAAAACTTGCTGTACAATGTTGCACATATATCATTTACTATACAATGTAGCACAATGGATATTTTTCGATTCGAAAAAAACTAAGCACTATTTTAGACTCGTTGATAACTATATTATGATTACTCATTACATGGATATAATATACAAAAAATAGGGGATCACTCAAGCTTTCATTATTTATATTGTTTCAGTTAGATCAGATAAGAGAAACCAAAACGAGAAAAAAATATCACTATCGATTGATTAGAAATATATGTTGCAAAATTAATAATTGTAATACCGTCTATTTGTTTGCGCACTCTGTATTTTAATTATAACTGATTTGTTAAGTTTGTTTATTTCTCCTCGAAGTGATTATAATCTTGAGAAATAAAGTGATTTTAAACCGAAAATTATGTAATGACTAATAAATTGAGAATATTAGCATGATTATGTGTATTGTACCTTTTCGATAATGATGTCTGGAGAGATGCAGCGCGTATAAGAAGTCGTAGTAGGGGTTGTGTGGGTAGGGATCGTGTAGCTTGGCGCGGGCCGCGGCCGCTCGCTCCGCCTCCAAAGCCAGCGACCCACACGACACAAGCGCCGATAACTGTTTACGTTCCGCTGTAATGACACATTATAATACTTATTAAACACTAGAAGACCTGGCGAACTTCGTATCGCCCTATAATCAAGAAATATCTATTACGTTTTTTTATTTATATTTTTAGAGTTTACTTGAAAGCCATAAATCTCCGTGTTTTGAAGTGCGACAAAATGATTGACATATTAGTTAGTTGTCAAATCTAATGTCAAAAATCTAATGTAAAACGTTTGTATGGGAAATAGAAAAGGGCTGTTTTGATGGTTTTCCTAGTAATGAATCAATTTTTTTCAGCTTTTATACCTTCCCTGAACCTCCACGAACATTTCAAGACTAAGATAAGATAAATCCGTTCAGCTGTTCTCGAGTTTTAGCGAGACTAAGGAACAGCAATCCATTTTTATATATATATAGAAGATAGAAGATGATACTGGCTGTGTAAAGACAGAGATTAACATAAAAATAATATCGTCAAGTCGTTTGAGGATTAATTAAAATTTAAGCGGCATTACGTTTTGTCCATTAAAATTTCCATATACACTATATTCTTGCAACAAACATGCGAAAGTATTTTTTTTTAATGGAATGTATATATCATAATACTAATTACTTGCGTATATACAGCCTCTAATTCTCTTAAATGTCTATTGAAACCTGTTCAGTTCTAACATAGTTGTAATACATATTTCTAACCGAGTGTAGTAAGTAACGCAGCGGCGGCGGCTGCTCGAGCGCTGGCTGCAGGGTTGGCGGCCGCTGCGCTGAGGGCGCGGGACACTCGGCCACCCGACAGGTGCCACTTGAACACAACCCACTGGAACATTGCCTGAGAAAAAAAATAACGATGATTATTATCTAATAGTCGTCGACAATGTTTTCCTTCACTGTCTGTGTCTAAATACTCTCAGAAAGTACATATGACTCCGAAAAATCACATTGGTACTTGGCAGGTTTGAACCCGCGCCCTCGGCAACGAGAGGCGGCCCCTTTAACCACTAGGCCACACCTGATTAGTACAAAGGATGTATTATAAGTAATCTTTTCATAATTATATAATCCTATGATATATACTGGAGTCTAAATATATTAGAACTTTTTAATATATTAGGTAGAAGATTTTATAACAATGATTCAATTTATTATCCTTTACCAGATTAGGGTCATCCTTATCAGCTATACTGATCGCCGTCTCCGCTAATCTCACGACGCAGGCTCCAGCATCGTGGATCTCGAATAACTTGATGACCTACAAATTCAAGTTTCGTTAGACGCTTTTATTATAAAGTAATTTATGTTATATTTGAAGGAATTTTCATCAAGTGTTGCATGTGTAGTATTACAGTCAATAACTTGAAGTTACCAATGGACTGTATGAAGTATATTATATGTACATACTACATAGGTATAACTATCTACCGAGTTATCGTAACGGCCTACAGTGGTCGTCTTACCGTCATTAGTTAACAATAAACATTTGTATGAAACGCTTGTCTTTAATTGCATCGCCGCTCCCGATACTACAACCAGTATTAAAATTAAATACAATACAGGTCACTGAAAACTGTGTATGTTTTTCTTATATTCATAATGTTACATATTTTGTCTCTACTAATATAATAAATGCGAAAGTAACTCTGTCCGTCTGTCTGTTACGCTTTCACGCCTGAACCACTGAACTGATTTTAATGAAATTTGGTACAGATAAAAAGTTGACATTGAGACAGAACATAGGATAGTTTTTATCCCAGACTTTTGAAAAGATATTTTCGAAACGCGATATAATCGAACTCGACGCGGGCTGAAAGTTAACCTATAGTTGAACAAACCTTCATATAGTATAATACTAGCGCCTGGTGTTGCGTGAGTGCGGTGTCGGGGGGCGCCACTAGTGATCGAAGGAAGGGCTCCGTGCTAACACCCTTGGCAGCGCGGCAGAACGACGTGTACGCAGCCTCCGACTCGCCCAGCTCCAACAGAGACATGCCCAATATGAACTGACCTGGAAATAATGTGTCTTAAATATTGGCTGAACTAAATCAACAATGTTTTTCTTTCATACTATTATATGTACAGATTTTTTTATATACCTATTATTATCACAGAAAACGAATTATAATGGTTCATACAATTTCTTTCCTTATAACTTTAAAGAACATATTTCTGTTTTATTTTTTACATTCCATGTGAAAGGTTTTGTTTTTTTTTTGTTTAAAAAATGAATTTAAGTTTATCTTAGTAACTAGTGTTTAAATATATTCTATTCATCCAAGGCTAATTTCTAATCGATTCCTTATTCCTTAGTCTTTATCGTAAATGTAACCTTAAATTCTCAAGAAAACTTGTCTAGTTTTCTATGTGAACACCAATTTTTATCACCCAATCCTACTAATATTATAATTGCGAAAGTTTGTGAGTGTGTATGTTTGTTACTTCTTCACGCTCAAACGGCTGAACCGATTTTGTTAAAATTTTGTATACAGGAAGCTGACTTCCAGGAATAACACATAGGCTACTTTACATTCCGGAAATCACGGAAATCCGCGGGTAACACCGCGGGACGCAGCTAGTTATAAATATTTTCAATCTTAAAACTACTAAATGTATATAAAATGAAATAACTTACGTGAGCAGGCGTTCCACTCGCACCAAGGCTCTAGCAGGGCAACATAGCTTTGTACAAGACGAGGTTGGTTGATGGAAGCAAGCCACCAACCAAATTCAAAGCCACCACTTACCGCCCAACTGATTTAACGTTTAGGATATTATTCTGAAGGTTCGTTTGAATTGCTTAAATTTTACTAGATTTAATTAACACATAACTATCACTATACATATATAGTCTACAATACTATAAATTATGTATACATAATTACAATTTGTTTAAACAAAAAATACTAATTATTAGTATAACTTTTTACCATAACTCTGGAATGATCAAAGAAAAACTATATTAAAGAGAGAAAATAATACGATTGACTACTGCTTGCCATGATTTTATCTTTTTTGTATATTCAAAATGATTATTATGTGTGTTAATATATCTGCATTAATTTACATATTTTGTTCATTTATTAATGTTACTATTTACAATTATATTTTTATCTTTATGTTTAGTGTTTATTATATTTATTCATATTAAAATATTCATTATATCCGTCGAGTAATGAAAATTCTATGAAAATTTATTACTTACATATTTTTGTATTGTATGATACTCAAAACAGTGTGATTACAGTGTAAATTAAATCAACGTAAACAAACAATTTTAAACTATATAGAATCATCTGCCATGATAGTAAAGGATACAGTTGATATGCGAGATGGTAGGCCATGAGTGGTAGCGCCTGGTGCCAGTGTAGCGGAGCCCCCGCGGCCGCTAGCTGTCTCCTGGCGCGCCGCCCCCCGGCCGCCGCGGTGTAGGCCGCCACCGCGCCCCCCGCACTCCAAGCGCCCTCCCCGCCCCCGCAACCCTCCGCACTCTCCCCGCCGAGAGCGGTGAGCTTCAGACGGAACAGCTCCGATGAACCCGTTCTGAAACGTATTTTCTCATTTTAGGAAAGTTTAGAAACGACTTACCTCTTGTGACAAATAATTGCGTTACTCCGATTGAGATTGTTATATTGAATTTTAATTGTAGATCGAACTTATACGGCACTTATACGACATTATATATATTACACAGCATTAATAAGCTAAAACTGACATTTAATTATTTACTATTCAATGGAATAAATTTGATAAAACTAAGTGTATTATTCTTTGTTAGTTAGAGACCATAATATAATTGCATGTCGGCCTCTTTTATAAACAAGGATTCAATAAGGGCATAATTACTTATCGTGTGGCTGGTGAGTGGCGGCTCTAAGCCACAACAGCGCCCGGTAGGCCTGCCAGTGTACGGCGCAGTGACCTGCGCCCGGCACCCCGCCCGCACCGCGAGCAGCACCGAGAGCTGCTAAAGCACCTCGGACCACGCGACATCTGAACACAAATAATATATTATATAATTATTTCTATATACAGTCGACCCCCGGTGATCCGGCTCCTGTCTAATCTATTATTTATTATTGAATACATATTTTGTATTCGCTAATGCATGATTGAACAAGTTGCAACTTGTACGCACCATCACTATTGTGCTCGACGCGTAGGGTATTGTTTTGATTCTGATTGCTTAGTTGGAATTTGAATTTGTACTTCAGAGTACATATGTATATATAATATGTAAATAATCTTGTCATTGAATCTGTAATTTGTCGGATTACAAGGTGCTCTTTTCTAAGAAAATCCCGACTATAGGGGGTCTTAGGCAGTACTCTATAATCCGACGAATTCGATAGTTCGACACTGCCCTGCAAAATGTTTGTCGGACTACCGAGGGTCCACTGTACTTCGATCACTAAAGTATAGAGGATGTTATAGTTGGATGATACATGAGAAAAAATTTGAAAAAGATGTCTCGCATAATAAAAACAACGAATACCTAAAATATGATAAGTAAAGACTAGCTATCAATTCAACCACATTTAGTTAAATTTTATTATCGAAGTTGGAAATAAACTTATGCAAGTGTAAAGGTGAGATGATTACATCTTATACATACTATCGTCATCTTTATAATAAAGAATTTTATAATAAAGATATGTACCTGAAGAGTAATACTTTTTAACACTAATTTAATCCCATAAATCATTACAATGTCTATTAGAATTATATGTAAAATCATATAGAGTTTCTGAGACATAAATCCGCTTACCTCATTTCAGCCATTTGTCGTATCGCTTCAGTGACTATAGCTACTCCGAGATCGCTCGCAAACAGATTATTATACTCTGCGTTATCATCATCGTCACCTGAAAAATCTCCAATAAATAACTTGATATATTCTTAAAATAATACATTAATGAGTATTGTTATTATGTATTTACTTTTACTAGAATCTATCTCTGGAACATCCAATCTCAGTGCCTGGTTTAACTCGAGGACAGCATTCTGCAAATCGTTGATTGGTTCCAAGATGGCTGAGATTTCATCAATTTGTTCCGGGGACAGCGTCTATAATGTAACATTAAAAGTAAATTAAAAAATGCAACCTCAGGTCTGTGAATATCAGGTATTTTTTATGTTTTGACAATACATTTATCGCTTTTTATTATATTTAAAAAAAATAATAATATAAGTAGTGTATTTTAACACAAATGGGATTAAATACAAATTACATTTTTTTAATATTCTAGTATCAAATACATGAATGTTGTACTACTTGTTATATGTATATAAATAGAGACTGATCAACTAGCTAAACAATCAATAACATGGTTTACAAGCCTTTATTAAAACAAAACAGATTTCATGTCAATGCATAAAATTAACTAAATAATTTATAAAGACGTAAGACACTTTAAATAAATAATATGATGAATACTATGTATATTATTTGCTTCTTCTTCCTCGCAATTTCCCAGCTTTAGTCAGGGTCTGCCTTACATGTAGTAAATAGTTTTGGCTAATTGTTTTTACGACCATCCGCCTGCCTGACATCAACTCTCTTTGGGAATGCATTAATTACCACACTTTCTCAAGACGGATTGGTGATTTCAAACTTATAATTGTGAAATTATAAGTCCAGGTTTCCTCACGATGTTTTCCTTTACCACGGCCTGTCAATGGTGTCTAAATACATATATGACTCGAAAAAATCACATTTGTAATTGCCAAGATCGAACCCGCGCCCTTATAGCGGGCCTTTAACCACTAGGCTACCACTGACTCTGTGTATATTATTTACTATTGTAATTTAATATACTAACAGGCGTGGCGGCGTCCTCCGGTGGTTGCAGCAGCAGATGCAGCAGTCGCGGCAGCAGGCGGTGTTGTGGAGCAGCACACGCGAACAGACGTCGCTCCAGCTCCGCGGCCCCCGCCGGACTGGCGCCGCGCTCCCACCGCGCGCCCGCCACCACAACGCGCATCGCCTCCGACGACACCGGTCCCACCTCCCCACTACCTCCTACAAATATTTGTAAGTATATACTTATACGTATTATATGAAATATACTGCTAATCACTTGATTATTCATTAATTAGTATGTGGTTAAGTTTCAGAGTATCGATTCTCAACTCACTTTCACTTTGTCGATCAGAATTTGAAAATTGTTATATTATTCTGTGATTTAAACCTGATCTAAATGATTCGTTATTATTTGACTAGTGTTTGATGACTAGGGCAAAAACAGAACACTTGATTTCATGTCAAATTCAACTTATGTTATAATTAGTTATAATGTATGACAAAGTCATAAAAGCAAGCAGTATTTTTGTTCTATGTTATGTTTTAAATTTTAATTGAATTATATAGTTAAATAACGGGTGTTGAGACCAAAATATTTTATCTCCCTTCATGTTTTCTTCAAATGCAACCACCACCTTAAAACATACTCATAGTCAACTTAAAACATACTCATTATATTATTGTAACTCACTGAATATGGTATCAGGTAATGTATCTTCCGGAGACAACATGACTCGTTCGTAGGGCTCCAACTGTCTCACTAGGGACACGCCCGCCCGTCTCACCACTCCACACCACCAGCCCGACTCACACTCCTTATACTAAAATGTGGAATTTGTTCAGGAGAATATTAATAGATAGGAATATATTCATCATTTATATTAAATATACTTTCAAAAAATTTGGAAAAATGTAATATTTCTATAACTCTAACTCTATGTTATTATACTATATAACTATTGTGTGTGTATAAGTGCAAAAATATATATTTTAATTAGATTCCAAATATAGTGCTAAGTGACAATAACTAAATTGTTTTTGATTAACTTGTGTAGCCCAAAATTTAGGTACAGCATGTGACAAAAAATAACAGCTTACATGTTTAGACACCATAAGACCAAGTGGTTTCTGCAACCCTTCCATATATTGCATGCACCAGCTGTATAAATCTGTCCAGCATCTATAAATTATAAGATATTGTGAAATTTAAGAACTTTTTTCATAGTTAATAAGAAAAAATTACACAGAATTTAAAGGTACATATGTTAATATACATAATATTTTTTTAAGATGGCAACACACAATTTTGAAATTGTAACAAACAAACAAACAATATATTGTATGTATGGTATCCATAGGTATGTTTTCTGAAGCCACTATAAAATAATAGTATATTTTGCAGTTTAATTACACACATTTTATAAAAGAAGAAAGAGTAAGCCTGTGTTCAATTCAGATAATGATTTGAATTGACAGAAGCATGTATAAATAATTACTTGCGATTTTGAGTGAGTCATCATTTTGTAATCCTACTAATATTATAATTGCGAAAGTTTGTGAGTGTGTGTGTATGTTTGTTACTTCTTCACGCTCAAACGGCTGAACCGATTTTGTTAAAATTTTGTATACAGGAAGCTGACGTCCAGGAATACCACATAGGCTACTTTATATCCCGGAAATCCGCGAGGAACACCGCGGGGCGGTAGTATGTATCATGTCATAGTTACTTGTGCATGAGGTGTGAGTGGTCGGCTGGCTGGTGTCTTGCTGTGAGTGCTCGTAGTCTCGCCTGCACAGCTGACACACACGCCTCGCCCAAGTCCACATCCCCCTCCCCGCCCTCACCGCCCCACTGACGACGGTATATCTGGAACATTACAGCAATTCATATTAATATTAGTTACTAATATGTTCAATACAATTGATGTATGAAATTAATTATACATAATGAAACCTAAAACTTTCGCGAGTATTCATTTGAATCAAACTTATATTTTCAGATTACTCCGCGTTTTTTATTATTTTTAAAAACTGCATACCGAAACATGGAGAGCATGTAGTTTTTAAAAATAACAAAATACCCCAAGTAATCCGAAAATATTAGTTTCATCTCAATTATACAATGTAGGCGCGATACTATTTTATTAATGTCACAAAAAATATCTCCACTAATTCTGAAAGTATTGAAACAGTATGACTAAGCTGACATTGATATATAAATATACTTACAACCAAAGCCTTACGAATGACGGCCGGAGGGAATAGTCCCGGGGCTAGTAGGCGATCCCGGTACATGTTGACTGATGATAACTGAGGAAGAGAGGGCGGAGGCTCGCGCCCAGCGACGGCGCGCCACTGGGCCTCCGGACCGATGCCAGTAGCTATAATTACATATAACATTAAAATGAAGTAATATAATAGTTAACAGAGTTAAATACAGTTTATTCGAAGTAAAGGGACACTGGTATTAACAGATATAAATCATGAATTCGAAGGCAAATTGAAAATATATCTGATATGTTTTGAGTCGAAAATTTTCAAATCAATTTATGAGTAATCAATAACACAACAAATAGTTAAGAAAGCAAGATAAGGAAAAGCAGAATTGAATTATTAAATAAAAAAATATTCTTAAAATATGTTTTTACTTGTAACAACAGCATCACCATCTGGCTGAGTCCATAACGCCCAAATCACATGGTTACCATCGCCATAACCAATTGAATAATCAAGAAGATCCAACTGAAATATTATAAAATTTATATATATGTAATGATAATAAATACATTATATGTTATAAATAATATTTTAGATCCTTAATAAACTACCTGTGGTCCAAAAATATGACACATTTGTGTAAACCTAGCAGCTCCCACACCGCCATCATGCATCTTCATAACTACAAATTCACATTCATTTGGGAATGATAAATAAGCTACTAATATTACACTTCCATCTAAGCCCGTTGTATATTGAAGCATGTGGCCATGAGCTGAAAATAAATTGTCTTATAAGAAAAATTATACAAAGAAATTATGTATTTTACTGAACACATAGCCAAATTTAAGTTATTAATTAAATTACTGGCTAAACAACTTACGAGGAGGCTTCGGTTTATCTAATGTCTGGGATAAAGACGTTGAGACAGCTGTTGGTACACCACCCTCATCTACGGACCACACTCTGAGACAGTTGTCTCCACATATAGCTACAACCAAGCCATTTGTCAAGACCACACCATATGTGTCAACTCCATCACTCTTTCCCCTAAAACATGAAAAGTAAACATAGGTTTGTTGAGTGCTATTTAAAATTCAAGTTCTCAAACTTAATTCATTTAAAAATTTTATTCCATCAAGCCAGAGTTAGAATTTTAAAGAAATAAAATGTTTTGATGTTTACCTTAAAGCACCCGTGATGCCTGATAGGAATCTTGGCACAGTTGATTCCCGTTTTAATAATAAAGTAACAGCTGAGCCAGCTACCGGCAGCTTTACTAATAGGAGTCCTCCCTCACCACCATATCCAAATGCCAAAGCAAACACTGCCTCTCCGCTGTCCCGCAGTAGAGAGGCACAAGAATGTGCCACACCTGTGTCTATAAGCAATTCCATATTATCAGTAAATAAGAAATTTTATACTTGAGGTAATTGTTGTCACTTACTTGTGTTAGAATATTGATTAAGTATGTAGTAATTGTTTGGATTGTTGAGTGAGCTTGTGTCGTGAAATATGGAAGGGCAGACGCTACACATAGACCCAAATGTAGACTGAAAATAAATGAAATATAAATTTAGACATATTTAATATTTCATAAAATACCAACCTAACTATAAAACTGCTTTATACACATCTTTTCCCATTTATTTAAACAAATATATTTACAATATCATGTTTATATTAAATATCAAGCAGATTTAACCCTTAAATGCGCGAATTTTGTTATTCATTTAAAATATGATTTTTTAATTATATTAGGTTTTAAGATGTACCGAAAAAATAGTTAAAAAATTATATCGACTTACACCCAATGAAAATTTAAAAAAACCGTATGTTGCATATCTGCAACAGTGCGCACTTATAGGACAATACCATGTATGGTAAATTAGGTGAAAATTAAAAACTCAAAATAAATACATAAAGTTATTTATTCCTGATGAAATTTATAGAAACAATTATTATCATTGAAATGTAAAATCTAACAAATTTTTTCAAAATTCTTCTGTGTCATGGTTGACTTTATAGGTTCATAGCCATATTGAGCTGACCCGTATAACCGGAAGTTTGGAAACTTTGCAGTATAAGAATAAATTAGAATCCCAAGGAGTTTATTGAGATCATTGCTAGTGATAACAAATGGATTGGAAAGATTTTTCTGGGTAGAATACAAATTACTCTCTGCCTTGATCTTATCCCTCAGTTCTTGAGAGAAAAAGAAAGAAAAAAAATTGTACGGCGTCTCTAATTCTAACATGCTGTCAGGATATTGCAGTTGATAAAAATTTTGAATATCATCAATGGTGGTGAGGTTTGTGCGTTTCCACGTTACACGGCTTTGTCGTGGACGAGCTGTCCCATTCCGTTGATCAGAAGGCTGTGGCGTTTCACTCAAATTTTCTAAAATTGGGTCATTATGATTATCAAAAATAAGAGGTGGATCAACAGTACAACTTTCCATAGGTATATCCATATCTTCAGCAAATTCTTCATCTTCTAAATCCGCTAATAACTGCCTATTATTCTCGAAGTAAACTTCTTCATCATCCTCTTCTCCTGCAGAGGATTCCATATCATCCTCAGACTGGTCCAGGTTCTGGAGGTAGTCCTCAATAACTTGATCATTCAGCCTTCTCGCCATTCTAGAAAAAAATACCATTAGACTTTAGATAAAATACGGTAAATATATCACTCAAAAATGAAATTTCTATGAAAGTAAATTCGCAATGTTGCACTTATGCAACAAACGGATTTTGAAGAAAAAAGCATATCAAACAATGGAATTTACATAAAATTATTTATTTATTTTTCTTTTGATATTATAAGTAATATAAAAATAAAAAAACAAACAACACTTACCTTATAGAATTATAAAACAACTGAATAACAATTTTACACTAATTGCTTTTTACGTTTACCCGCGCCCGCGATATTATAAATTGTGATTATGAAGTTTAGAAATTTGCAATCGACCCGCCAATCGAACTGTCAAAATAAATATAATTGTCGTCTATAATCTATGGTAGTTTACATTCGGATACACGAAACGAAATCTATCAAATCTTTTGAATATTCGATATGTTGCAGATATGCAACAACGCGTGTTTAAGGGTTAACATTATTGTGTTAAATCTCAAGATTCATTTTAAGCAACTTACTATATAATCCAGTTTTCTACTATTCAGTGTCAATTTAAAAATTTTTGACCATCCAAGAAGAGGACAGATCAAAGGTAAACAGACAAAGAAAATAACTTGAGAAAATGTAACTATGAAATAGAACAAAAAATCAGGAATCAGATTTATATTTTTAAATAATTTATATGCTATTTAATGTTTATGTTCTGTCTACTTTTGCAGAATACCTAAGAAACCAAACCTAATTTATTTTTAAAGTATAAAACTGCTTGAAAACAATACATTACCTTTCTATCAAGAAGATCAGGATGAGGAAAGACTAATCTATGTACAGAAGAGACAGTAGCAGCTAAAATAACTAACTGTTGCGAAGACGTCTTCTCATAAAACTCTAAATTATTTAATGGTGGAGTCCCAGCTGCCACTTTACATCTCAAATTAGCCCCAGACAAGTTTACATCCAAAGAAGCTTCTGACAATTCAATAGAATCTGATGTTGTTTGCCTAAAATAGAATAGTTACATATACATAAACTTTGACTAGGAAACTAGGTTGAATATTTATAAACTTACCAGTATATGAATCTGTTCCTTGTGTTTGCTCTCTTTGAATCTTTGTACCAGTAGCCGCCGGCTTTGTGAGGTAATTTTATATCTTGTAATGTACTGTGGGTGCCTCCTGCAAACACAAGTTTTATAAAGGGGTAAAGGTATTGCTGTTTGGCTGTAATATTCGAGTATATTACAATAACGAGTATATTAAAATACGAGAAGTAAAGTAACCTGTATTCAATACGACTTCTTTCCATTTTTCGGGAATATTATGATTTGGAGTTATTTCTTTAAACGTTACCGGTATTGCATCGACAAACTCCATTACTTTGTATAAAAGTTAAGATAGATTATTAATTCTGAACACTGTGGTGAACTCAATACTGCTTTGCTTTATCAAACTATTATTTATTTAAGCATCAAATAAAATATATTATAAAATACGATAGTAAGCCGCGCGGTTACTACTTTAAAACATTGAAATGACAGCTTGACAGTTGATACTAGTAATGACCTACTGCCTACAGAATATAATAGTAATAATAATAATAATAATAAAAACTTTTTTGCTTCAGATAGGTCATACATTAAAAAGTAACTTTTAAGAAAAACACATATTTTTATGAGATACAAGTTATTCATACTGGCAAACAATTTTTCTTAATTTACCACTCGTTTTCATTGACGACCATATCGCAATGGGTTACAAGCTCAGCTATGTGCTGTGCTATGCCCAGCGCTGATTTTCAGCTTGCTCCTTCCACATTATGTTGACTTAGTTAAAAACGCCGCACCGTTCCGTAACATATTAAAGTAATACAAAAAACTAATATAAAAGCAAGTTAAAAAGATACCAGTGAAATTATTTTAGAACACAAAAAAAAAAGTAACCAAATGATTTCTCCAGTTAATAACTAAATTTTAAAACCAAACATTAAAAAACGACAAAAACTTCATACACGCATATAGAACAATTGTCATTTGATGAAATAGATAATTTTCCTTAGAAAAAACAAACTATACAGATTTTGGTTTAATTCACTAGCATCCCTGTTTTAGTGAATTCAATTTTTAAATTGCATTTTAAAGAACATGAATAAACATTCGTTAATTAATTTCTCTGTTACATCAGTTTTTGGGATATTTAAAAATAAAATTGATATTCTTATGATATGTAGAGCAGTTTTATATTAATTAAAAAGGTTGAGATCAGTTTTGATTTCGTTACATTGCAAAAGAAAAGATTGACGCCAAAATCAAAGGAAGCTACAAAATCTATTTCAGGATGAAATAAAAAATGCCAATTAATACTCTTGAACTATTTGAATATATCGCTGCACTTTTGGTCATAAACTAATAAAAAAAAGGTAAAAAATAAAACTTCATTGGAAACAATACATCTATATTGCACTATATCATCTCAGTTTTGTACAAATAAAGTGTATTTACGAAGATTGACTGAAAATATGAAATACTATAACACAAAACATCACACAACAATACTAATCTAATGGGTGCAATCATTTACAAAAGTTACATGTGGACTTAAACATGTTTGAAAGGAACATATCTAACAAAAGTTTGATTTCTATTAATAACTATTCACAAACATTTATAAAAATATATTTAAAACACACAACTGATATTGTAGATTCAAAACAAATTAAATGCAAAAAAATAATATGAATCATAAAAAAATATCATCTTAAAGTAACGATCATATTTTTGTTATGTAAAAGTTTTTACATATCTAAAATAATATAAAATAAGCAGATAAATTGTATTGCTTTATTGTTTTAATTACAACCATCACGATAGAAGTATGAATAAGTCACATTTTCAACAACATTAAAACTATTATTACATTTAAAGGGATAATTAATTATTTATACATCTTCATTTTTATGTACAGAAAATATTTCAGTAATGTCATATGATTCTTTTGAACGTGTTTTAACATTGCCTGGTTAAAAAAAGATAAAGAAACAACAAAAGTTATTGTCTTAGAAAATAATAAAAGAAGGCAAAAAAAAAATACAAATAGTTTAATATCTTCGAGGCACATCGAGTATATTTAGTAGATAATTGCCAAGTCTTAGCCATTTAAACATTCCATTTAGCCATGTAATTTTAAGTGTGCTTTTCTAAATTTATGACTAGTATGTTGAATACTATTTATGTATGTATTGTAACTGTCTAATAATCTATCTGCCACAAATGGCTCCAACAAGATTTATTTTTAATCTAAATATACTTATCTCTAGGCAGTCTAAGAATACAAGTCAGAAATAAATATACATTACTATAACCAGTGTGACTTTGGAAACATAAAATCATTGTTATAAAAAAAAATAATAATATTATTGTTTAAATAAAATTTCAAAGTGTTTTCAACTATTTGTTTATCCAAAGTCATACTATAGAGAATGAACTTATATATGTAATTATGTGGCGATTCATACAATTTTTATATTTGCAACTATACTTGATCTCACAACAAACATTAAAAAATTAATACTTTTTTTTATAACATCTAGAATATATGGCTAATATATGACCAATTTCAAACACACACACACACATTTGCAAATATCTTCGGACGGTATAGTAATAAAATATAAATACACATAGATAATATAATAAGTGCATGGACCCAATGAGGATGCATAGAGAATAAGTCATTTAAAAAATATATTTAAACAATATTCACATGTTTTGACTATGAAATAAAAATAATAACACAATGTAAATGCCATTAAAATTATCAAAAATTTGACTAGAAATATTCTGAGAAGCTACTGGCAATAAGTTTATCTAATGCACCATAGATAATATATAAATTAAGCCAATTCACTATCTACATAATAAGATTGTCATAAATTTCTATATATTAAAGCCAGTTCATTAGGATTATAAGTTTCAAATGCAGCAACCGCTATATATGTAATGTTATTTTTTTTTGAGATGTGTTCGAATTTGAAAATTACTTACTTGACCTTAAATCTATGACCAGAGTGACTAGATACTGTTATAATCTTATTTATCAGGAATTATTACATTATTTTGTAATTTTTGTAACCATTATTCTCTTATAGGTAAATGACTTTTTTTTTCAAAATAAAAAAGCATAACATTATTAAAAAATTAACAAAGTACTAAGGAGATTCTTTCTTTATTCTTTACTATGTAAATATAAGTTTTTTTTTGTCATTGTGTTGTAATTTAACTTGTTTACATTAATATACAAGAAATACAATTATTGAGCAATAACTAAGGGTTGATTGATTTATTCAAAATCAAGGTTTAAGAGAATGTTTTTCATATTAGAAAAAAATTTTCAAACTGGTTAAATCTTTTAGATTAATATTGAAAATTAACTATTAATATTAATAATGTATGTAATTCTTGCATCAATAATTCTTTTTGTTTGAAATTAGTTTTTAATATCATATATGTTTATTATAATAACTTTACAGGATTAACGGCGTAAGTTTATAGATCTCAAATAAGGTTGAGGTCATATTATATACAGTATTGGGGTGAAAAAAAAATACCACAAAAGAGTACAAAAATTTAGAAAATTTGTAAAGGTTTCAAACTGTACACAAACATACTAATTGTAAATATTCAAACAAAACTTATATAAAACCCATGAATATCAAGCATCTCAAGTTTAAAGTAATTACAAAAGATGCAAAACTATATTACAATATACATCTAGCGTTCTCTTATTGAATTGAACTTTATTAAAGGCATTGGAAGATTTTTGCAGTTGTAATATCCATAAATTTTATAAATTGACAAATCAATCTAATCTATTACAAACCATGTTTGTTATATCTTTGTACAGCTTGTGTCGGATTCATGATTAAATTGTACCTTATTCTATGATGAGGCAACGCGGTAGATGCTCATGAAGGTAGTCAAACAGTTCAGGGGATGCTCCCGGACAATTAGTCAGCTCGAGTTCTCTTAGTTGTCTCAACTGGATCAAACTTGAGAGGCCACCGGATGTCAGGAGCGGACAACCTTGTGTACATATAAACAGTTAGGAAAACTATAGGATTGGCTTCCAATTACTAAATCTTAGAAAAATATTTCAATACACATAGTATTTACTTCTTAATCATGGACTTTGTTCCTTATGATTTTCGTAGTAATATTAAAATTATTATACTTTACCGGCTAGCGATAGTAACTGCAGACTTCGCATGCCGCACAGATGCTGCACACCGAAGTCCCGCACTTGAGAACACCAGCGAAGGAACAGAGCGGCCAACGACTGCATTGTACTAATGTAGCCCACGCCGATATCAGTTATATGGACACATCTGTACATACATTTCTTAATATATTACTCACATCGGTAAAATCACCATCTCAAATCTTATTATTAGGTAATTTTATAGATCTTTTTTATTCACAAAATAGATTAATATTGAAATTCGGTCTAATGTGTTTCAACTCTCAAACAGGTGTAAACTAATTTAAGTGAAGATTAAAAACTATACGTTCATAATAAAGTAAGTTTTGTTACTTATTCAGAGATTATCATCGTAACTTTAATCTTCCCTGTTTGAATTTAGAAACCTTTTCTTAAATGTTACATATATTTTTTTATTGCCAGTTTAAGGATAAGGTTTTATAACAAAATTGTAAAACAGACCGGTCCAATGTAAGCTCTTCAAGCTGGTTTAGGTCGCAGGCGATGTATTCGAGCGCGTTATCAGTGACCCGCGGACACCAGCTGAGATCGAGGCTTCGTAGACGCGGCAGGTTCTCAGCCAGGAGTTCCACACCCTCATCAGTAACCTTGCTGCATCCACTGAGGGACAGCACTGTCAGGTTTGGCAGAGAATGCACTAGAATTGATATTATGTAGAGTTAGTACAAATAAAACATAAACCAACTGTATATATATATATATATATAGCTAAACAATAAATGAAGTTCTCATTAATGATACAGTTGGATATTTAGCCGTGAATGTGAGACGGGATTGGACTTAAGATTGTGAGAGTGGAACGTGTTAGAACAAGTGTGTAGTTCAAATTTACGTTCTTATTCTAGTTTCTAGGGGTTATTCTTATCGTTGAATTACTGTTGATTGTCTATTTAGTATTTTGTGTATATATAAGTGTGTTGTATTAGAGGTAAGTATCTATTTAGTCTAGATATGTATGGTGGTGAGCCCCCCGACCCTGGGGGAGGTGATACTTCCATCCAGGATTCCCTTGCCGTCCCGACTCCTACTGACCCGATCCCGATTTCCTCTTCAAGGAAAAGACAAAATGTGTCAGATCAAAAACCCACCCACTTGCAGAAAAAGAATACCATTGCCCAGTCAGTCGGTTCAATCCAATCAGTGTATACGGTGCCCGAGTATGAGGTGTCAAAAAAAACGCTACTCAGATCAGGACTCAGCTCCTTTCTTGGTCCATGTGAGTTGTGAGTGTGAGCCTTCGTCTAGTACCTCCCTTCGTCCAATAAAGTTCGGTCAATTCCTACATCAGAACCACATCAGTGACATAGTTAAGGATGGTGTTAAGCGTATAGGTCGTAATCGAGTGTCAGTGGAATTTAAGTCAGCAAATGCGGCTAATACCTTCCTGGACCACTCGGCTCTTGTTACATCCAAATACAATGCAATTATTCCTACTTTTAATGTGACCCGTATGGGTATAGTAAGAAATGTGCCTGTGGAATGGACTTTGGAGGAAGTTGTGTCATCATTGGTAGTCCCCGAGGGCTTTGGTGCCGTGATAAAAGCTCGTCGATTGAATAGAAAAACCACAGACAACAATACTACCGTTTGGACTCCCACCCCAACGGTAGTACTAACATTTAATGGTCAGAAGCTCCCCGACAGGTTTTTTTGTTATTTTACATCACTCCCAGTCATAACCTATATCCTACCTACAATACAGTGCAACAAATGCTGCAGATTTGGGCACATTGCTTCCCAATGTCGATCCAAAGAGCGCTGCTTCATTTGTGCCCAACCCCATGCGGGTATCAATTGTACCAACCTATCTGCTCCCCCTACCTGTTTATTGTGCTCCGGAAACCACAAAGCCACTGATCCAAATTGCCCTGAGCATTCCAGACAAAGATCAATAAAATTAGTGATGTCCCAAGAGAATATATCCTACTCAGAAGCATCTGTCAGATTCCCTCAGGTTAGGAAATCCTTTGCAGATGTTTCCCGCTCCCAGGTATCTCCCTCTACAATTGTAGTCCAATCACCTCAAACATCAGCTCAATCTCCTTCTTATCCTCAGTCCTATCCTAATTCTATTTCCTATAGACAGACCCATTTTTTGCAGAAAAGTCCTCCTGCTCCTGCTTCCAGTCCAGGCTATGATAAACAGTCCCACAATTCAATAATTCGCCCACCTCCTTGCAGTCTTCCTAATGGCAATGCTTATCCCTCAGATAACATGACAGCTAACGATAACCTGTTAGACCTCCTCCTATCCACAATCCTAAATATAATTTCCCGTTTTGATGACTCTCAACTACCGAACAATGTCATATCTAAGCTCAGTCAGATTTTTAACACTATTCAAAATGCCAATCATCCTTCAATGGAATTGTCACAGCATTCGCCATAAGAAAAAATGATGTTATTTCCCTTATTAATAATTATAATCCCTCTATTTTAGCTATTCAGGAGACATGGCTCAAGCCTGGCTCCATCTTTAGAATTTCAGGCTATTCTTGTCTCCGTGATGACAGACCAGATGGTTATGCTGGTGCAGCCATTTTGATCTCTAGAAAAGTAATCTTTCATCAAATTTCACTTCCCTCTCATAGTGAAGGCATTTCTGCAGTTGCTGTCAGAGCTCTGAATATTTCTTTCCTTTCTATTTATATTCCCAACCCTAACCTCGCCCTATTATCTGAGTTAAAGCATATTATTTCAAGTCTTTCTCCTCCTATCCTTATTTTGGGTGACCTTAATATCCATCATACCTCTTGGGGCTGTTACTACTCCGACTCTATTGCTATACCCTTTCTTGATCTCTGTGATGAACTAAATTTATCTATCTTAAATGATGGTACCCCCACTAGAAGAGTTTCCCCGCTCCAGAATCCTAATACTGCAGTTGATCTTTCAATATCCTCCCCCTCCTTAGCTCCTAGTCTGTCCTGGTCTGTTCTCCCCTCTTCTCATGGTAGCGACCACTTTACCATCTTCCTCTCCACCCCTGACCCTACCTCCCCCAAACCTAACCCTACTCTTCCCCCTCTCCTTAAATTTAACCTAGTCAAGGCAGATTGGTCTCTTTACAGATCCCATCTGGATCAAGAAATATCTAGATTCCCCTTAGTTAACACGCACAATGTTCTTGATATGTACCAACTTTTCAAAAAACTCCGTCTTATTATCCGCGACTAATTCCTTTCCTCTTAAAAACTCAGTCACTGGTAAAATCTCTTCTCCTCCATGGTGGGATGCAGAATGCACTGAGTGGTGTGAGAAACGTTCCAAAGCAGAAAAAGCTTATTCTGATATTATGAGTCTTGAGAATTTTACCTCTTATCAGAGAGTGGCAGCCCAGACTACCAGACTGCTATCAGAAAAGAAAAGATCAGGTTGGATTCGCTTTTGTGAGGAACTCTCTCCTAGCACGTCCCCCTCTAAAATTTGGAAGAGTGTGAGACTTTTTCGTAATTCTGTTTCTAGTGCTGTCATTACAGCTAATGACCCTTCAGGCTGGATTGACCAGTTTTCCCTTAGACTAGCTCCTCCCTCGGTTCCATCCTTGGAAGAACTTTCCCCCATATTATCTCATTGTAATTCTTCTGACAAATTTGATTCCCCCTTCTCTTGGGAAGAGCTTACAACTGTCCTTGAGGGTCTCAAGGACTCATCTCCAGGTATAGATGGTATTCCTTATTCTTTTATTTGCAAGTCCTCTACCTCTTCGAAACTTGTTTTTTTATCCATCATCAATAACATCTTCTTAGCTTGTACCCCTCCCGAGGAGTGGAGAACACAATTGATCATCCCCATTCTGAAACATGGAAAGCCCAACTCAGACCCCTCTAGCTACCGCCCAATAGCTTTGTCCTGCACGATGGCCAAGATATTGGAGCATTTGGTCAAAAACCGGTTGGAATGGTTTGTCGAGAGCAATAACTTGTTAGCAAAATCCCAATTCGGCTTTCGCAAAGGATTTGGCACCATCGACAGCCTAAGCTTAATTCTGACTGACATCCGTATTGCTCTTTCAAAAAATGAATGTGTGGTTGGCGTATTTTTAGATATTTCCTCTGCCTATGATAATGTCCTTCTTCCAGTACTCAGGCAGAAAATGCTCCAGCTGAGTATCCCTGCGAGGTTGCTAAACATTATCCTCACTCTTCTCTCTTCCAGATATGTTTCGATTCGTTCCCCTAATTATAATTCTTCCCCTAGACAGCTTTGGAAAGGGCTTCCCCAAGGCTCTGTCCTTAGTCCGTTGCTTTTTAGTATTTACACATTTGACCTAGAACTCTCTGTCAATTCTTTCTGTGAAGTGCTCCAATATGCTGACGATTTGGCTCTCTATGTCTCCGCAAAGAAAAGTGATGAAGCCTCTTCACGTCTTAACTTAGCTGTTACATACCTTCAGGACTGGCTTCATAGTCACGGATTATCTCTTTCTATTCCTAAAAGCAAAGTGGTAGTTTTTTCTCGTGGAAGATCTATTCCACATATCTCGATCTCTTATAGACAACAAGAATTTATGGTGAAGGATCGGGTTAAGTTTCTTGGGTTCACCTTGGATTCCAGGCTATCTGGTGTTCATCATATAAATCATATTATTAAAAAATGCGAAAGTAATATTAATATTTTGCGCTCTCTTTCCGGTGTTTGGTGGGGTAGCCACCCCTTTACTCAAAGATTGTTATACATTTCCCTAATACGCAGTTATTTTGATTACGGTTCCTTTCTTCTTATTCCTTCTATAAAATCTGCTTTGTGTTTACTTGATAAAATCCAAGCTAAATGCTTGAGGATAATTTGTGGGGCTATGAAATCATCTCCAATCAACGCTCTCCAAGTGGAATGTGGTGAATCCCCTCTGCATCTTAGAAGACAACTGCTATGTGATCGCTTCTTTCTAAAAGTTATACAATTTTCTAACCACCCCCTCATCCCTAAATTGAACTCCCTCTCTGATCTCATCCCTTCTAACAAGTATTGGTCCCATAAAGACTATCCTTGTCTCCTCACTAGTTTAGACACATTCCTACGTCTCCCTTGTCCCATATTACAGACCCAAATGTTCCCGTTGTTTGTCACTCCATTTGATGTACTTAACTTCCATCCTCAAATCTTGCTTGATTTAGGCATTGACAAAGGGTCTCCTATTGCAAATGTGCAATTTCAAAATTACGTAAAAGAGCATTGGTCTGATTGGCTTTGTATTTATACGGATGCGTCAAAAATGGCCGGCGAGGGTAAAGCTGGTGCTGCTGTTTGGATCCCAAAGTACAATATTGTTCTAAATTTTAAACTCCCCTCTGAAGCATCAATTTTCTCTGCGGAGTCTGTAGCTATTTTAGAAGCAGTGAGTTTTGTCGAGTCCCATAAGATAAGTAATTCGGTTATTTTTAGCGATTCTAAAAGCTGCCTCCAGTCCATTGCAACGAACCCTTTTATATCTAAACGTAAATTCCCCTACATTTTAAAGATAAAAGATATTCTCTTCCGCTGTCAAAACAATAATATACAGGTCATTCTTGCTTGGATTCCTGGCCACAGTGGCATTCCCGGCAATGAAACCGCTGATTTCTATGCAAAAGATGCAACTAACACCGGTTGTATGGACCACTTCAGGGTTCATCCCTCGGATTTGCTATCCATTGCAAGACAGCGTTTTTTCTCCTCTTGGACACAGTATTGGCATAACAGTACCCTGGCCAAGGGTAAATACTATGCGGATGTCCAAACCTCGATTCCTTTCCGCCCTTGGTTTTGTAATTTCAAAAATTTACCAAAGCGTGCTACCAGCATAGTATGTAGACTACGCCTAGGGCACGCGTGTACCCCGGTCCACTTGGCTAAGCTTCATATAAAAGATAGCTCTCTCTGTGAGTGCGGACTTGATGAAGGATCAGCTGATCACATTTTTTTCACTTGCCCTCGACTGTCTTCCTCTCTTTATGATCTCCTTCCCCCTGATATCCCCCGTCCCATTAACTTCAAATCCCTACTATCTTTTGTTAATACCCCTTTTATTTATATTCTATGTTCGTTTATTAACCTCAATAACATCAAGCTGTAGAATGTGTGTCGTTTAATCAACTAACCACCTGTATATATAGTGTGCGTCTTTTTTGTTTGTTTTAGATACATCAACATTTTGGCATTCACTGAACGACCTCAACACCACCCTAGCTCTTAGCTTCTAGTCGCGACCTTGTTCACTCACAAATCCCTCTTTACATAGTTCAGTATAATATCGTTACACGACATTGGCGAAATCTCTAAGGAAACGCCACTAATTAAAGAAGAAGAAGAAGAATGATACAGTTACAGTGTTAATTTTATGGATGTTTATATTAATTAAAGTGATTACCAATGTTAACGACGCCATGGTTAGTAAGCTCCCAGCAACTATGTAATCTTAAGATGCTGAGTGAGGCACTTTGTTTTGGTGAAAAATAACCGAGTGCTGCATCTGTGACATGGTAGGCTTGCAATGAGAACTCGTATAGTGACGGCAACAGTTGAGCAACCGCACCCACCTGGAGGATTTGTTAGTTAAACTTATTATGAATGATTACAAACCAAAGATTTATTAAAATAATATTTTATAGTAAAGCACTTACAGCCTCATCGGCAATATTAATGCAGTCGGTAAGTGTAAGTGATACAATCCTAGGAGTTAAACAAGCCCAGAGACCGGCCTCTGTTATTTCATTACAGCCTGTTAGTTCTAGTTCAAAGAGAACCTAAAATAGTTTCAGAGTTAATAGAATTAATAGTTAAAATGAATTTAATGGAATTACATGTTTATGGGTGACTTACCTGTAAATGATCAAGTATTGCTTCTAAACCTCGATCAGTTATTGTGCAACCTTTTAAACCAATAGCATGTATGTGATGAGCTGAGAGTGGAAACTGTTTTATTAATTCATTTATATCATCATCTGTTGCGGAAATTAGTACAAATCCTCGGATACCTCTCCTCACAACCGAATTGTAAAATCTTTGCATGCAACAACCAGTTTCAGATCGAAGTTCCCTACAATCCAGAACAGCAACAAGACCATTCCACCAACGGGGTGATGAATACAGGACATCACGCCATTTAGTACAGACTTGAGCAAGGGTCCTTCTTTCGCTGCCATTGAAATACAGGAAGAACTTCTCGAGGAACCTCTCCTCTATAATAAATTGGCTCCACACAAGCGGTCTCGGCGAGGGTCGTCTCCGGCGGGGTATCCTCGGCGGGGCGGCGGTGGCGGGCCCGCATAAGGCATTGGCTACTCTCTCGACGACCCCCGGAGAACGCTTGCGACCTCGCAGCCCTAGTCCTGTAATGCGGCGCGATAGCTCAGCGGAGGCGCGCTCGACCACTCCTTGCGCTGACACCGACGACATCTTCACTTTAACTCGACGTATGGTGTCAGCGGGCCGCCCCCCGCCGGAGCCAGCGCCGCCCGCTCCGTGTTCACAGCCCGCCACCGCGCTTTAAATTATATATTATTTTATAAGCTTCACTCACATCTTATGGACCGAAATAAATTTAGGTGAAAAATTTTTTTTACTATATTCAGCACATAGAAGGCATATGAATTTTAAACCACTTCACAAAAAGTAATGGTATGCATGAAAATAAAATTACATAATGTAAAATTTAATACATCGATGCCGAGCTTTAGACTGGAAGACAGAAATTTTGAATGAAGTAATAAGAAATGGTAATATTAATAAATATGTTAGCTTGCCACATTACTATGCCCTTTTAGTTTACAAATAATAAAATTATTTTAAACAGAAACATTTTTATAGAGCGTATTATTCTGAACAGTTTTTTAAACATTTTATAATAGCTTATGTTATTACGATACTGCGATAAAAATATTTCTTAAATAGACACATATGCTACAAAGTATTTAAAAAAAACATAAAATATTTAATTAAATAATTGGTGACGAATTAAATATGAAACGAAATATTTGCGAAAAAATATATACTAAACTACTGGTGTCTCATATGTGTTTTATACCGCTTACGTAAATCGACTTATACTATAAAAAGATATAATGTTAACTAAAATACTGATATTTATATACAAAATATATTTAGAAAATATATAACTGATATAAAAATTTAAGGTTTATCTGATAGATAAATTAACGATGTAAATATAAAAATCGATGACTTCCATACAAACCTATAACTGTGTTTCTTGTTTTAAATCCTTCATTGTTTTAATATAAATCTTTTTCAGCATTAATACTTTTCTATGTAATTCATTGGAAACAAATATATGTTACCAGTTGTTGAAAATTAAAAATTAAAAGCACAAATTACACACAAAACCAAAATTACGAAAACTGAAGAATGACGCTGTCATTCGAATACAAAGAAACTATAGTCTGTGCTTTACACAGAAGTTAACTCAGAAGCATAGAAATTTAGTCTTTGTACACAGATAAAAATAAAATAATATTTATTCATATTAAATAAATATTATTTCATATTTAGGAAACTTTTATTCCAGAGATTTCTCTTTCAATGTGTTTACTCCCGTTAATTTTCCTAGCATATTTTATAGGTAATTTTAAGTTTTGCTTAGCGATTACATACTTGCTTATCGTTTTGATTGTGATGTAACTAATACATACTGTTTGAAGCGTTTTTCTTATTTCCAATCGTTACAGCAGTTTTCTCGATTTATATGTATTTTATTCCAATCAAATTAAAGAATGTTTAATTATAGTAATTGTTATACTACTTAAAATTAAAATGGCATAATCAATATTTTTTTGAAATGATTAATCATTAAATTGAATTAGAGTGAATTTTATTTTTGTGTAATTTGATCTCAACAAGCCATTTGAGTAAATCATGATTAGTTTAATTATTATTTTGTATTTTTTCTAACTCTATATTCTTCAAGAGTGTCAATTTAAACTTTTAAGTATTCGCTTTATGTTAAAGGTGTGTGCACAACCAACTCTATTTTGTTACATCCATCTTGACATATAAAAATAAAGAACAACTCCTTTGTACGATTTATTGCAATAACAGTCTTACAAATAAATCACGACAACAAATGGGACACTAAGTGATGGTAACTTTGATTATAATTCATACATCACAATTTGCACTTCTCCATGTTAACACAATTAACATCACATCTTTAAAAATCATTAATATATATGAAAAGTAAAACAATAGCTTTGAGGTCTAATAATAACAATATTGAAGCATTCTAATTATATTAAGTTTTGTGGTATATATTATCATTCTTAATGGAAAAAAAACTTCAATGCACAGAGCACCTTTGAAACTAAAACAATATCTTAGTTTAAATTAAAGTTTTTTACACATATACATTTGCCTATCTGCTAGGACCACTTACAAAGATAGGAAAACGCAACAAAATATATTATATGAAATTTTACGAAAAGAAGGCAAATAAGAAACAAGAAAGTAATAATTTTTATACAAAGACAAATATATAACTTATTAGGCTGTGTTAGAATGTTTTTTTTTTAACTTAAATAATTATTACGTTCGAAATAATAGTTTATAAATATAGAAATAACACAGACTAAACAACAAATTAAACCACTTAATCTTTTAAGTTGAAAACAGATAATAATAACTAGAAGAAAACTGAGATAATATTCATGTTTATAAAGCAGCCTTTAATATTAGAGCTTCTGCAATTAAGGCAGGACAAACAAATAACTTGTTCAAATATAGAAAATTTATAGAGACGTAATTCGAAAAATAATAAAAAGAAACATTTTTATAAATTTTACTTGTTTTTGTAACATTTGAAACAATAAAGTCATAAATTTTGTTTTCATTTTGAGAAGATTTAAATTTTTATTATTAAAATATAACAACATCCTGTTCTACGTCCATAAGCGTTATATTTATACAAAATATTGTAATAAAGCATTTTTAAGCCACTCAAAGACATCACCAAGCAACACAAGTTTTTCTTTCATTTGACCTATAAATGTATATATGGATGGTTGAGTAGCTAATAACTAATCTTGGAAATAGAATTTTAAAGTCACGGCTCGCTAAACATAAATATAGTGTTTCGTTGGATGTTCAGTCTTTTGTTATTTGGGCCTGTAAAAGAAAATTTTGTTAATTTACTTCTATCAGTAAATATAAATTTAAATAAGTCTATCTTCTGTTTGGTGATAAGAAATTAAATTATTTATTTAATTAAAGTAAATTTTGCTTTGAAGTTTTTGTATTGGTAATGAGTGTCTAAGAAAGGTATGCAACGCACATATCAGTGATAAGGCTGGAGGTATGTAGTGGTGGATGCCAAGTCTCTCCGGAGCCAGGCTGCGTTCAGCCTGACGGTCTCCAAGGCCTGCTGCACAGACCGCTCAGTACCGGGCGAGTGATGGGTGCGGAAGAACTCCTCGATCTCTTGAGCGCATGCTTCAGACGCAAAATTTTCAGTAGTAGACTTCACCAGCCGAGCCAGCAAGAAGCCGCCCTGATTAACATACAAATAATTTACTCGATACTTTTATATTTAACCAATAACAATCAAAATATATAATTTTGTTTAATGCGTACCTGGTAACGGTCCATGAATTCTTGCCAGTGGTCCTTGAAGAACTGCCAGGCTAAATCTCGTCCATTACGGCTCAAAGCCACCGACACGATGACGAAGACGGTGTCCTGTGCCCTCACCTCGTCCTTGAAACAGAAGAAATTAAAATAGCATTTAGAAATTATATAAATATAACCAGAATAGTGCCTCAATGTAACAGTCATAGATGAAAATAGAAAAAACATTCTACATCAATTTTATTGTAACCATTATGATAAGAAACCATTTCAGTACAACAGGAAAGTAAAAGATAGGTTCATTTGTGATATTTTTCATTATTTTAACAAAACTATCCTTCAACTGATCAATTAATTGGTTGATAAATGACGAAAGATTGATAAATAACCTATAATGATTTGTCAAAACTTAAGAATTGGTGAATAATCGAGTAATCGACGATTAATACTTACAGATATAGCGAACTCCAGCACTTTTTTGAGCAGGGCGGGGTCATTGACCGCTCCAAGAGCTCGGCTGATGCGGTCCTTTTCCTCGTGGAGGTCGGCGGCGCGGTACAGCTGCAGGAAGCGGCCGAACGTGTCCTCGCCGGCGCTCGCCAACACCGCGCGGTAACACGCCGAGCGGAGGTCCGCTGGTAGAGTACACTCGCCAGACAGGTGCTTCTCGAACCTACAACATGATTATTAACTCAGAATAACAACATGCACGAACAGAATAGAATAAAAAAAACAAACAAAAATTAGTTTTGTGTTTAAAGTCTTTAAATCGGAGAAATCATTCAATTACAATGAACAATTGTATTGGTACAAAAGAAGTTTTTTTTAAGAAATTTTTCATTCGTAAACCTAAGTCGATAATATCACTTGAGATGAAAATTTTAATTTCTATTTATGTAATTAAATGAAACCAAAACATGCAAAAGGTACTACCTCAATATTACTTTATAGTATCTATACTAATATTATAAAGCTGAAGAGTTTGTTTGTTTGAAAGCGCTAATCTCCGAAACTACTGGTTCGAATTGAATAATTCTTTTTGTGTTGGATAGTCCAGTTATCGAGGAAGGCTGTGGGCTATATAACATCACGCTACGACCAATAGGAGCAAAGATATAGTGGTAAATGTGTAAAAAAGGGGAGAAATTATTTCATCTTTGAAGCCTTCCGTTGCGTGCGCCGTGAAAACGGTTCAAGATACACAAAAAATATGTATTAAAGAATAATAGCTCTTTTAATGATCTAAAAAACAGTCCGCGACAGTATATGTCTATCTTTTAAGATTAACTCACAAAAACCGTTTTTATGGTACCTAATTTGGTCGAAATAATTTGTTTAAGTTGTATCAACATAATAATATTAATCTTTATTCAAATAAACAAATAAATATGTTGTTGGTTAAGAGTACTTCATTGTGAATTTTAAAAAAAAGATAGGTTTTATCCTGAAAATTGTACGGGAACTCAACCATTCCGAAAACCCTGCAAGAACGGGAACTATGTGGGAAGAACCAAAAACCTGCCGGAAGTCACTATTCCACGCGGACGAAGTCGCCGCAAAAGCTAGTGTAGTAATAAATGTGGCTAATAATAATGCTGGCTAGCTGGAGATGAACTGAGGGTGTATAAACTGGTACATAATGATACACAAGGGACCAGTTAATGAGTTGTAAACTTACATTGTGTCCACTTTGAAATAAAATTGACGATTTTGAACTTTATATTTTATGATAGTAAAGAAATGAGTTAGTAAAGTTAGTAAGATAGTAAAGATCTTGCAGCTTTTAATATCACTTTTACAGGATTTACATACTGTGTGCTTAACCACTAGTAAATATATATTGCTCAAAAAAAGAATATAATATTGTGATTCATTTAAACCGATTTTAAGGAGCTTTTTGTCAGTTTATTTTCCTCTCCTTTTATTATGTGATATTATTAATATATATATATTTAAAACTAATGTCGATCACTAACCGGCTCTGAGCCTCCTTGATCGTGTCAGGGTCTTCGAAGCTGATCATTTTATTCAACACTAAGCTTCTGAGCAGAGTGTCGAGATGGCTCTCCTTATCTTTGGCGTCCCATCCCAGGCGACGAGTGACGTTAGCAAATAACTTCCTGCCATAGTTCTTTAGCGGCTTGTCGAGCGGGGTGTGTGAAAACAAAGCGCTCAACTTGGCGAGGCAGTTGGAAATAGATGACCAAACAGTGAAATTAGCTTCGTTGTTGAACGCCTCCATCAGTTTTAACGACTGTAACAAATACAATTATAGTTATAAATTGCATGTTTAATTTAATTTGTAATTTTGATTGAATAGTTTATTTTAATTTATAATTTAACCTAATATTTGCGTGCCTTATTGTAGAATGTACCTGGAACTTATATTTAAATCTACTTGTACAGCTACATATATTCTGTACCTACATTCAGAGCAAATAAATATTATTATTATTATTATAGTGATTATATATACGAGGTACAAGCTGAGCCTTGAATTTGAGTGAGTGCACACGAGTAGTGTAGGTGTGATGATAAATTGCAACGTGCTGTTCTAGGTTTGAACCGGTATATACTGCTTTTACTGCGACCCGCACCTTCCGCACTTAGCCCTTTGTACTGGTAGCAGCGTCACGTTATATTATACTTAATATTTAACATTTAGAAAAAGTTGATACTATGTCTATTCAGGAATGGAAAAATGTATGTGACCATGCAAAAAAAAGAACAAAAGTTTTGACGATTTAACGGAACAATTTGTAATTTATACACACAACATATTAGATGTCAATAATGAAGACGAACATTATAATGAAAATGTGGAAAATGCAATGTCAAGTTAAGAAGAATTTGTGTAGTTTTTACGTGTTTATAAATTAATTATATTTTTTTACATAAAATTTATAATATTTACATCTGACCTTTTACATGTTTTGCTTATTTTATTTTTAACCTAGAATAGTTCTAGCACTACGTTATGTATATTTAAACTATAATAAAATTTAATTCTAAAAGTTTTTTTCTATCTTTACTTTTCCTTTCACTCACATAAATGTAAAGCTCAGATCTAGTGTCACGGACTATAAGTTGGATAAAGAAGTTGTAATAAGATTAACTAGATAGCAGCACTAAACTTTTCTTAGTTCGATCTTAAGACTATTTTTTTTTGCTTCTGTATGATTAATTTATTTTACAAAATATAATACATATTTAATTTGCCTTTGTTTGTTTCCAATTGTATTTTATTACGCTTTTGTATTTGACGCCATAAGAATATCTCAGTTGGTTAATGGAAAGACATTCATTTACACCTCAGTGTTAGCGAACGTAAATAATGTTTACAGAGATTTTTACGTTTGTTACTTATTTGTCGTATAAATTCAGTGTAAATGCTTTGAATTTTTGACCATCAAAAATATTATATTGACCTATATTTTTTATTTAAGCTGAACCTCTAATTTATTAAAAAAAATACTTTGACTACTTCACCATTAGCAAACTTATAAACTAACTTCACAATTTCCCAGCTATAGCCAGGGTCTGCTTTACATGTTATGAATAGTTGTTGGCTATTTGTTTTTTACGACCGGCCGCCTGCCTGACATCAACCTTCTTTTGGGAATCAACATTAATCAGTGATGTCTAAATACTCTTAGAAAGTACATATGACTCGGAAAAATCACATTGGTACTTGCCCGGGCCAGGATCGAACCAGCGTCCTCGTGCATGAGAGGCGGGCCTTTTAACCACTAGGCCACCACTGACTGTATATTGCGTTCTGTGTTGTGTACATATTTTATGACCTAAGTACTAATACATATAGGGTGTGTGTCTGTGTGTGTGTGTGTGTGTGTGTGTGTATACCTCGGATGTGTGTGTGTGTGTATACCTCGGATGTGTGTGCGTGTCCAGCCTGAACGAGTGCGAAACAGTCATCCAGTAGGCCGAGCCTGTCGAGCGGCGGCAGACTGCCGTCCCTCACAGCACGCACCAATTGCTCCAACATGGCGGCCGGGTAACGGGTACGGTAATAACCCACCTATATTCAACACAAGGTATTAACTGGAATAATCTTACTACCGGAATTATCTATCCAAGAAATTTAGTATTTAAATAGATATATATTATATTTATTTAGTTTTGTTGACGATAAAATGTATGAGGTAGTTGAAGTTTATAAGCAAGACTATAATACAATGAACAAGCGTAAAAGAGATTTTATATAAATTAATATAGATTATAATATGATAACAATCTCTTACTGTTCCAGGATTGAGCTTGACCCACGAATCTTCAGCAACATTTTCCAAAACTACCTCCTGTGTTCGTTTCTCCAAAACAGTTGATAATGCAACCTGAAAACAGAAACCATTTAAAATTATTATAAATATTATTATTTAAAAAATGTGTCATTCTTTAACATAATACCACTCAAATTACATACAACAGATATTGAAAAAAATCATTAAATTAAACTGTACATGATATTTCTATACATATATATATACCTATCTAATTAATAATAACCTACAAGAAGTAAACTACCAATGTAACATTAAAACAATTTCTTTGATAAGAACATACCTAATTACAAAAATATGATATGCTAATTTATTCATTTAATACATGTACATAATTTTGTATGTTATCAATTGTAATATAAACTTTTACATTGTCAGTCTTATTATTCTTCACAGTGTTTCCGACTTCGACTGTAAAAAGTGACGTGGATTGTTTCCAAGTTTTAATAACGCCGCCCGTACAGTCCGCCAGTTCAGATTGTTCGTCCAACGTCATAAGCAGTGCCGTCTATGTATAACATGTTATACATAAAAGAAAATTTATCAGGCAATTAACACAAAAGAATCTCTAATGCTAACATTTTAAGAGCTAACTAAAACAAATAAGCGCTAGGGATCAGCTATAAATGATATATGTATAAACAAAAATGTATTACAGCAGCCTTGTCAGTAGTTTTTTTTTTTTTTTTACTTTTAAATAATTGAATATAGTTAGCAATAGTCAAAGCCTTTCTTGTGCTGTTTCAGTGTCTATTAAAATACTGGATAGAAAAACCTTTTTCAAACATGACAATTAGAATTCTGGCAGAATATATTTTCGATTAGCATTCAAACCGTCTTATTGAAGCCTTTGCAAAATATTTTAATGTGATTTTTATATTCTTTATCTTATCAAATGTTTTGATTAATTCTTATTTATGTTAGTAAATAATAAATTTTATTTTTAAGTAAATTTCTGTCTCCTATCTCTAAGTATATAATTTGAGCATTTTGTTAAAATAAGCTAATATTTTATTATCTTGGACAAAGAAAGTTTGTACATACTTGGCAGCACAAAAAGCATCTAAACTTATTACATATTTTGTGTATATTAACCAATCCTGACAGTTCTGTAAATTTTAAAGAATTGAATTAGTTAATATTCAATAATGATAACATTTTTTAAAACATCTTCATCATGAATTAAGTTGCAATTGCAAATACGTAAGATACTTATTTTTTATTGTTACGAGCTAGGGTTTGATTAGCAATGTAAACACGGTGTTTAACAGATGACACAAATATTCTCTTTTATATGATCGTAGACAATATCGTTTGTACATCGCTTTTCGAAAAACTGACACAAATCGGATCTATTGGCCCTTATATACACAACATTCTAAACAGTCTCGTTTGAATTTCAACTTGTTTACAAATATTACCGATAGAAATGTTCGCTAGTTAATGATATCCTCCACTCGTCCCGAGATGGCTCTGCCATCTTAATGTTGAGAATAGTCAACAATATTCGCTAAGTCGCTTTTCAAGCCACCGGGATACTTAAGCCCCTCTTAAGAATATACACAAAGTTAATTAACAATTGGTTGGACGACTTATTACCACCAACAGATTGAAGAATATTATATCCACCATCTTAACTAACAACTAATCCGACGACTAATCTAAAAACCAGTCGACTAACAGCTTTTATTCCGAGATTTGGTTTAATATCCTTGTCATCTCAGAAAGCTTGTAGAAGACAGTGGTTACTCCCATAACTTTTTGCCGGACACAAGGTTTACAAAATACAGAAAAAGGCTTTCTCAATATTGTGTCTCCATTTCTATGTAATTTTAAGGATTTATTCATAGTTTAATATTAAAAATTTAATGTCTGGTTTAAAATACATTATTTAGAAGTACATGAAACTTTAAATTCATACATAGTTATAATATACATAACACTATTATACTTTTTATATATTATATTCAAAAAACTAGTATATACTATATAGTACCTACATTTTAAAATCTCAATATGTGGGAAGATAAGACTAGGTTACTTAAATATTTTACATTTTTTTATTAAATAATGTAAACAAACAAAAAAAGTATTACATATTATACTCAATGATAAGTACAATAAATTTTTAATTCAATATAAACTAAATACTATCCAGATAAGAGCACATATATCAATACTTTCAATGCATTACCATAAAATCTAATACAGTCAATCAAATCAATCAGATATAAAACAATAAAAACATTGAACAGTAGTATATAAATGAGATAGCGATAAATCGATAAGGCGAGATCGATATCAGTACGGAAATAAATATATATGTGTGTCAATGTCAATATATGGATAAGATAATCGTGAGACCTCTAATGAATTGCAATCGATATATAATTACCTTCGAAGGTTGTTCCTGAGTGGATATAGTGATGGGCACCATCCATAAAGCGTCGTCGCTCTGACTGCCATCAGCGCAGAACTTCTTCTGTGTTAACTTCAAAACACGATCATTGCCACGCTGCTCGGAACTGACCTATGATTAAACTATTAATAAAACATACTTCTAAATAGAAACAAAAAAAAAAAAACAAATAATCTATGGACTAGATTATATTTCAATGACATGTAAAGCCTTTTTATTTATAGTTGTGTTACCCTACAAGGTTTGCAGGTAATGCTTATATGTAAAATACTTAGTCATTACTTTAAATGTATAACTATTATAATATATAATTAAACATTATACATTTATTGATTTTTAAATTTATAAAACTAAACCCAACTTGTGCATTATAATGCTACTATAATTGTTAATACATGAATATAAGTTTTCACAAACACATACTTGTATTATAAGTAGGATAACAATAAGTGTAAATTGTTCTGCAAACATATGATAATTATTTGATAAAACACAATGAATTATTAATTTTATTGCCACATATGAAAAATTTATATCAACAGCGACAGATATAGTTTACATAATTTAATTAAAATTATATGAATACTTGTTGTCGGTGGCATACTGATATATATATTTTTTTATAAATGTTTTTAATACTCACTTCAACCATCGGGAAACCCATTTGTTTGGTCCAAGTTGACATCACAGCACCTACAGGCTTATTAGAGGCCTCCTCCAAAGCTGCCCAAAGGTCTTCAGTAAATGTATTTTTGTACTAAAAAAAACAGAAAAATTTACTTAAAAAAAAATTCACACACATAGTTTATTGGGTCAATAAATTTATACCTGGTGTCTAGTAAGATATATATTCATGCCTTTACGGAAATCATCATCCCCAATGTATCTATGCAACATGCGAATTACTGATGCACCTTTGTTGTATGAAATGTCATCAAAAATTTCATCTATCTCTGACGGGTGACCAACTGGTACTTCAATGGGATGAGAGTTTTTTAAACAATCTAATTCGAGTGCTCTGAAAATTATTTTCATTAAATAAAATTCGGAAATTATTTTCAATATTATAAATTTCCAAAATTTTATTATTACTCAGCTAAATATAAATTGGTCAAGTCACTTTTTGAGTCAGCAATTTATATTTGGCAAATATCCAATTTCATATTTTTTACACAACAAGCAAATGTTTACATTATTTTCTCAGTAAATAACAATGGTTGTGAATATTATACAAAAACACAATTGATAGTAAATCTAATAAGATTATGAATGATAAAAACATTAATTTACACACATAACATAAAAAAAAAATTATTTACCTTATGTATGTTTCTGTAACAAATTGTGTCCAAATATCATATTCGGGGAACAAATGGTTAACACAAAGAAATTCAACAAATGAAGCGTAGCCTTCGTTCAACCAGAGATGTGTCCACCATTCCATTGTGACTAGGTTGCCAAACCACTGGTGTGCAAGCTCGTGTCCCACTACAAGCGCAATCCATTGTCTACGCACTGCTGATGTGTGTTCCTCATCAACTAGCAAGCATGTCTCCCTATAGGTGACCAGACCCCAGTTCTCCATGGCACCAGCAGAGAAATCAGCTATTGCTATCAAATCTATCTTAGGTAGAGGATAAGCAATATCAAAGTATTCTTTGTAATATGGCAGTACTTTTGCGGCTACCTCTAATGCAAACATGCCTTGCTTGCTCTTGCCAACTGGAGTATACACACGGACTAACACTCCATCGCGAGATGTTTTTTCAACATAATCATACTCCCCCACAACAACGGCTACAAGGTATGTAGACATTATCGGTGTTGTGTCAAATTGCATTACTTTTTTATCACCATTCACCTTTTCAACTTTAACAGGCATATTTGACAAAGCTACGCGATCGGTCGGTACTTCAAGAGTAATATCGAACGTTGCCTTTATAGCGGGTTCGTCCCAGCAGGGGAAACATCGCCGTGCATCAGTCGCTTCAAATTGAGTAACAGCAGCGAAGCGCTCTTCTCCGCTAGGAGTAAGATATTTGCTACGGTACAGGCCCTTCATTTTATCATTTATTTCCCCAATAAACTCACAATATAGAGTTGCTTCACCAACTGGCAGCTGCTTGTCAAAAACTATGATTGCAGTTTCATCAGCCGGTTCCAGTCGTACTTCCACCGGATTAAGTGTTGAAACTGAACCCCCATCATTGATTTGGAGTCTCACACTTTTTAAATCCAAATCTAAACTGTTAAGCACTATTTCTTTGGTAGTATTAACAATCTAAAAAAGGTATACGTTGATTAAAACGTCACATGTAACTAGATGCTTTCAAATAACGACGGCGAATTTTCCACTTACCGATACTTTCACCGTAGTCTTCCCTGTAAATGTAAATTTTTCAAGATTTGGCACCAAATGCAGTTCATAATGTTTGGGCACAACATTTTTTGGTAAACGTTGAAACGGTTTGTGTTCTGGCATTGTCACTCTTTCTTTCAAGATCGTGAATGTGGGACGCACTACTGAGAAATACCGTAATGACCGACTGACAGAGTAAACTCGCTCTACAACCGCACCCGCACCGTTGATACGCACCCCCCTCGCACGTCCGGGTCCCCACTCCGAATAACGGTATCCGCTACGTAATAACTTGTAATGGCGACTTAGATTACGATGACTACTACAATTTTGAAAACGAAATGCAAATAAATTATTCACAGCACGTAGCAATTGCAGCGTCATGGAACGTGATTTAAATAACGCTCCAAAGTGAAAGTTATGACATAAACTATTTAGATGAAATCTATATATAGTTTAATAAGTTTTTTTTATTTAAAGGTTAATTTACATTCACGTACATTAATGTTGGTATGGTATTTTAAGAATTCGATGGGAAAATAGATTTTGATGCAGTGTCTCTGGTAAATCCATAGAAATATAATTTTTCCCATATACCTAAATACTACTAAAATTAAGTAAAATCAAATGAATATTTGTTAATTTGTATTTTTCTATACTATTCAGTATTAATATCGTGCTATTGTTACTTAAAAAGGATTAAAAAATAAATGAATCTTTACTGTACAAAGAAACAAATTTAACATTATATTTATGAAATTGTTTTTAAGCCTCATTACTATATATATATAATTGATTTTTTATGACAAATTAAATATTGTAGAATTGGAAATGTTCTTAAAACTGTAGTTATTGGATATTTTCTTACATATTTTAATAAAGTGAACGTGTTTTATTTTTTAAAAATTGTCAATGTCAAATGTCAGGAATCTAAAGGCGTTTTGGCCACAAAAATCTCGGTGTATGATTTGCATTTACTTACGAAGGGTGTTGACGCCGCATAAAATATATATGTTCTTTTGATAGTCATAGAGACTTTATTAAATTAAAAATAAGTAAAATACTAAAGTGGCCCTTAATCGCATACGCTTTTATTTATTTTTATAGTAGTATATGATAAAGGATAGATAGAAAAATGAACATCTTTTTTGGATTTATTTGTATATTATTCTTGGGTGCGTTAATAAAACAAGATTTTATATTTGTATCTTAATTTTAAAAAATTGTTAACGCTGTCTATATCGACTTTTCACTATATTTCTTTTTTTTAGGTTTTAATAGTGTTTCATCTTCAAGAGTGTTAGAGTTAAGTGATAAGTTTATTGACATCAGCAAGGATGGAGTTTGGTTTGTTAAGTTTTATGCTCCATGGTGTGCTCACTGTCGAAGAATTGAACCGATTTGGGCGCATGTAGCACAGGCTTTATACAATACCCCTATAAAAGTCGCTAAAGTCGACTGCACTCGGTTTAGTGCTGTTGCTACTCACTTTAAAGTGAGAGCCTTTCCAACCATCATGTTGTAAGAGAAAGATTTTATTCTGTTATCTTAAAAATATTTATTTCATTACCTCAAAGTAATTTTATATTAAAAATTTTAGTATAAAGGGACCTTTCTGGCATGAATATTCTGGGGAAAGAGAAAAAGAAGAAATGGTGAATTATGCCATGAGGATGGCGCAGCCAGCCGTTCAAGTTGTATCTCATACTGAAAGCTTTGCTTATTTAAAAGATTCACACAATGTTTTCTTTGGATATATTGGAAAACAGCAAGGACCACTATGGGTAGATATTTAATATATTATTCTTTACAGTATATTTGTTCAGCAAATTATATTCTCATAAATGTCTAGGAAATGTTTATGACCAATGCTGAGAAGTATCAAGCACACAGTTGGTTTTATGCCATGTCTCATGAAGTAGTTAAAAATGATCTGAAGCCACCAAATGATACTGCTGTTTTTGTCCACAAAGACAACGACATAATATATTTTACAGGTAAAAATTTTATATCAAAATTTATACATTATTATAGGAATAATATCAAATAATGTGTATTAAAATCTTATTTATAGCCACACCAGAAATAATTCAAGATAGGGAGACATTGAATGATACTCTCAAAAGATGGGTAAATTCAGAGAGATTTGGCTTTTTCCCAAAGATATCAAGATCTAATATAAATGATTTATTGGATACTAAAAAATATATTGTAATAGCTGTTGTATCAGAAAATAAATTAAATGAAATCACACAAACCGAACGAGACTTCAAGGATATGGTTGAAAGCATTATAAGGTATGGCTTCACCTTAATTTGTTTAAGCAACTGTGTTGACCAAAATAGTCATGAGTCTTCTCTTGTGTATTAGAATTTCTAGCATACTAATTTAGAAAAAAATATGAACTAAGATTATAATTTTCCTTACAAAAAAAAGTTATTTGTATTATTTTAACTTGATAAATGTGAAAACTGAACAAAAAATAAATTTCTTGCATTGCATAACTCATAAGTAGTAATAAAAAAATATTACTAATATGTACATTAAAAAATCTATTTTAGATCAAAGAAACATGAGTTGCATCATCACTTCCAGTTTGGTTGGATGGGAAATCCGGAATTAGCCAATTCAATAGCAATGTCAGAATTGGCGGTTCCATATTTGATAGTACTCAACTCTACAACCAACCACCACCACATTCCTGACGATGACCCGGTCCTAATGACTCCCGAAGCTGTTATTTTGTTTCTCGAACAGATACATGAACAAACTGCACCTGTATGTATATGACCTGAGATTAAATCTATATATATAAAAATGAATTGCTGTTCTTTAGTCTCACTAAAACTTGAGAATGGCTGAACAGATTTATCTTATCTTAGTCTTGAAATGTTTGTGGAGGTTCAGGATTAAGGTTTAAAAGCTGGAAAAAATTGATTCATTTCCGGGAAAACCCTAGAAACAGCCCTTTTCTATTTCCCATACAAACATTTTTTTTACATTAGATTTGACAGCTAACTTACATATATGTAAATCATTCTGTCGCACTTCAAAACACGGAGATTTATGGCTTAAAGGTAAACTCCAAAAATATAAATAAAAAAACGTAACAGATATTTCTTGATTATAGGCGATACGAAGTTCGCCGGGTCTTCTAGTATTATTATAAAAAAGCCATTTAAAAATTAATTCACAATGTTATAGACTTATGGCGGAAATGGTTGGATGGTGCGGTTCTACAGAGGATTCTTTGAAGCCAGAACAACATTGATAAATATGTGGAGAGGGAACCCAGTCCTCACCGCTCTTGTTTTTGGACTACCGCTTGGATTTCTTTCCCTCATTTGTTATTCCATTTGCTGTGCTGATATTTTGGATGCTGATGAAGAGGAAATTACTGGTATGGCCTTACTTACTTTTACTTCCATAAAATTTTATAAAAGTATTGTCATTGTTAATAATTATTATCATTTTATTTTCTAGATACCCATGAAAAGAAAGATTAAAGAAGAACATAATAGATGCAACACTACATTATCTTTTCTTTGTAGTAATGGTGTGAGGCTATTGTTTGAAGTTCGTTATAAATATTTATTAATTTAAGTTTAATTTATACAATTTTGTACACATTATTGTGAGCATATAATTATGTATGACCTCAAAACTAACAATCCACAGTATTTTGTCTGTTCAAATATTTCTACAATCATAGAATACTTTACATTCCCTTCCTTTTTAAAATTACGTCGAAACACTTGAAATTGTAGAATTTATAAAACTTATATATTATAGTTCATATTTATAAATATGACCTATATTTTTTTCAAGAAATCATTTAAATACAATTCATGATCAAAAATACTTAATTACCTTTGTAGTTTTTAAATGTAACTTCGTATTATTAATGTGCTTAGTCGATATTTTTTATATAAGAACTTCATAAAAATTTAAATATGGGTCATAAAGTGGTTTGTGTGTTAACTAGTAGGCTATTAATATGGTTATGTTTTACTTCGATTATTCTTATTAAAGGGACTTGTGGGAAAGCTGTAATGTAGATTTTAGACTTGAATTGTTTCTACTCGTGTTATTATTCCTTTTAATATATAGTATTAAGGCTAGTCATACAAAGATTTTATATAATATAACAATTACCTTTGCTGTAGGTACTAAAGTTTTGAAAATAATAAATTTGTAGGTGATTTGGAAGAACTCCAATGAACTGTTCTCTGGCTTCTTGTTTGGTTATTTTGAATTAAAAAACTTCAGGTTTTGTCCAGTTCTTTGAGAATCTCATCTTTAAGGAAGCATTTATTATTTGAAGACATGGACAATACACGGACGTAAATAATTTATAATAATAATAAGATTTACTATACAGAAGGGTTCTTTTTGATTACCTATTCAATTTCTAGTCTACAAAATAAAATAATTCGAATTTTTAAATATTTTATTTCGATTCCGAATTCATTTGTAAATGCATACTTTTAATCTTTTTAAAACTGTATAATGTTGTTTTGTTCCTTACTGGGATTCGTGTTTTCATTCTTCTTCTACCTTGGGGACCCCGACCCTGGGGGAGATGATTGTTCCATCCAGGATTCCCTTGCCGCCTCGACTTCTATTGACCCGAACCCGATTTCCTCTTCAAGGAAAAGACAAAATGTATCAGATCCAAAATATTCCCACTTGCAGAAAAAGAATACCACTGCCCATTCAGTTGGTTCGATTCAGTCAGTATATACAGTTCCCGAGTATGAATTGTCAAAAAAACGCTATTCAGATCAGGACTCAGCTCCTTTCTTGATCCATGTAAGTTGTGAGTGTGAGCCTTCCTCTGGTACCTCCCGTCGTCCAATAAAGTTTGGCCTGTTCTTACATCAAAACCACATCATGGACAGCTAAGGATGGTGTTAAACGTATTGATGGTAATCGAGATCCTGTGGAATTTAAATCAGCAAATGCGGCTAATACCTTCCTGGATCACTCAGCTCTTGTTACATCTAAATACGAGGGTGGTCTGAAAAGTTACCGACCTCAACGTGAAGATGGCAGCACACATCAATTAAAGTCAGGGAATGTAATTGTGCATCTTTTGACAGCAACACTTCAAAGTTTCAGCCATTTTTGACGCGCGGTTTTTATTTGACAGTCGTTTGAGTGAGTCGATGTGAGTATTTTTGTGAAAATAGAAAAAAATCGAGTATCGAGCTGTCATAAAATATTTGTTTTTGAAAGGGAATACCCCTACGCAAATCAAAGATGAGTTAAATTCAGTGTACGGGGACTCTTTACCATCATTTACCACAGTAAAATTTTGGGCAGCCGAATTTAAATGTGGCCGTAAGAGCTTGGGAGATGATGAACGTTCGGGACGTCCAAAAACTGTAACTACTGACGATAACATCGCTAAAGTTCACCAAATGGTGTTAGACGACCGCCGAATTAAAGTGAGAGAGATAGCAGAGGCAATGAATATGTCCAAAGAACGTGTTTGTCACATATTAAATCAAGATTTATGCATGAGAAAGCTGTCCGCGCGTTGGGTGCCGCGTTTGCTAATGTCAGACCAACGACGTGTTCGAATGAACATTTCTAATGCTCTTTTGGCGAAGTTAAGGCGCAATAAATCGAAATTTTGGCGCCGACTAATTACTGTAGATGAAACTTGGATATACCACTATACGCCGGAAACAAAAATGCAGTCAAAACAGTGGACTGCAAAGGGAGAACCGGCTCCAAAAAAACCAAAATCTGTTTTTTCGGCTGGGAAAGTGATGGCGACTGTTTTTTGGGACAGCCATGGAGTTATCCAAACCGATTATCTTCAAAAAGGGAAAGCCATTACAGAAGCATACTACGCATCGTTACTTGACAAGCTGAAGGCAGAAATTGCGAATAAACGGCCTCATTTGCAGAAAAAGAAAGTTCTGTTTCACCAAGACAACGCCCCGTCTCACACCTCAACGGTTGCCATGGCGAAAATCCATGAATTACGGTTTGAGCTGCTTGACCATCACCAGATCTAGCCCCAAGCGACTTCTTTCTGTTCCCTCAACTAAAAACTGCGCTCGGAGGACAAAGATTTTCGTCAAATGAGGAGATAATCAACTTCGTGAACGATTAATTTGCAGAGAAGAATGCCGAGTACTATTTGGACGGATCAAAGCGATGGGAGCATCGCTGGGAGAAGTGTGTAGAGTTACAAGGAGACTATGTAGAAAAATAAAAATAAATTTGAAGAAAAAAATCTTGTATCTATGTTAGGTCAGAAACTTTTCAGACCACCCTCGTACAATGCCATTATTCCTACATTTAATGTTACCCGTATCGGTATAGAAAGAAATGTGCCTGTGGAGTGGTCTCTGGAGGAAGTTGTCTCATCATTAGTAGTCCCCGAGGGCTTTGGTGAAGGATAAGAGCTCGTTGATTAACCAGAAAAACCACAGACAACAATAATACTGTTTGGACTCCTACCCAAACAGTAGTACTAACATTCAATGGTCAAAAGCTTCCCGATAGGGTTTTTTGTTACAGGCAGTCCTCGTACTTACGGCATGTTAGGTTCTTGAAATACGCGACGTAAATCGAAACGACGTAAGTCGAGACATATTTTTTCATATGTTTACATGTAAAACTCAAGGGTTAGGTTCCACACGGACTCGAAATAATAAAAAAAAACTGCATTTATAACAAAGGACGTACTTTATTATTAAAAGTAAGTTCTTAAAATAATTATATATTATGCACTTATGAAATTGCTAGTTATTTTTGGTATTTGTGTGTTATTAATTTTAATAATAATTATAAAACTTATACATATGTAATGATAAATAATAAATTAAACTTTTGGCTTAAAGAAACTATCAATTCTAGATTGCTTGGCTTCTTTCTTCTTGCTATCATACAGATCTTGGTAACAGTGATAGGCTGCACAAATTTTGTTATTAACTTTAAAACTTCTCTCAAAATTAGGATCATTTTCTTCAAAAATTTTCATGGCATTCTTCAAATTTGCAAAGGCTACGGAAAGATTTTTTAGTGTAAGTTCTTTTTCAGAGTCACTAATAGAAGAAGCTATTTCTTGTGACTCGAGTGCTTCCTTTTGTACCTACTTGTGCCTCCAATTCAATAAGATCTTCTTCAGTCAGTTCTTGCGAATGTGAGATTAACAGATCATCAATATCATCAGTAGTAACTGCAATGTCAGGCAAACGGTTAGCGCCCCTCATGGACATTGACCTTGCGACAAGTGAATTCTCCGATATGCCGGAAATCGAAACAAATGACGTATGCTTGAGGAATAGTGTCAAAACATTGTTCGACGTAACTTGAAACGACGTAAATCGAAACGACGTAAGTCGAGGACCGCCTGTACTTTACATTACTCCCAGTCCAAACGTATATCCTACCTACCATACAGTGCAACAAATGCTGCAGATTTAGGCACATTGCTTCCCAATGTCGGTCCAAAGAGCGCTGCTTCATCTGTGCCCAACCCCATGCGGGTATCAATTGTACCAATCAATCTGCTCCCCCTACCTTTTTATTGTGCTCCGGCAATCACAAAGCCATTGATTCAAATTGTCCTGAGCATTCCAATCAAATTAGTGATGTCTCAAGAGAACATCTCCTATTCAGAAGCATCTGTCAGATGCCCTCAGATTAGGAAATCTTTTGCAGATGTTTCCCGCTCCCAGTTATCTCCCTGTACAATTGCAGTTCAATCCCCTCAAACGTCAGCTCAATCTCCTTCACATGCTCAGTCCTATCCCAATTCTATTTCCTATAGATAGACCCATTTTTTGCAGAAAAGTCCTCCTACTTCTGCATCCAGTCCAGGCTATGACAGAGAGTCCCACAATACAATAATTCGCCCACCTCTTTCCAGTCTTCCTAATGGCAATGCTTATCCCTCAGATAACATGACAGCTAACGATAACCTGTTAAGCCTCCTCCTATCCACAATCCTAAACAATTTCAGGTTTCGATGACTCACAATTACCGAATAATGTCATATCTAAACTTAGTCAGATTTTTAACACTATTCAAAATGCAAAACATCCTTCAATGGAATTGTCACAGCATTCACCATAAGAAAAATTATGTTATTTCTCTTATTAATAATTACAATCCCTTTATTTTTGCTACTCAGGAGACATGGCTCAAGCCTGGCTCCAGCTTTAGAATTTCAGATTATTCATGTCTCCGTGACGACAGGCCAGATGGTTATGCTGGTTCTGCCATTTTGATTTCTAGAAAGATAATCTTTAATTAAATTTCACTTTCTTCCCATAGTTAAGGCATTTCTGCAGTTGCTGTCAGAGCTCTGAATATTTTTTTCCTTTCTATTTATATTCCTGACCCTAACCTCGCCCTATTATCTGAGTTAAAACATATTATTTCAAGTTTTTCTCCTTCTATCCTTATCTTGGGTGACCTTAATATCCATCATACCTCTTGGGGCTGTTACTACTCCGACTCTATTTCTATACCCTTTCTTGATCTCTGTGATGAACTAAATTTATTTATCTTAAATGTTGGTACCCCTACTCAAAGAGTTTTCCGCTACAGAATCCTAATACTGCAGTTGATCTTTCAATATCCTCCCCCTCCTTAGCTCCTAGTTTGTCCTGGTCTGTTCTCCCCACTTCTCATGGTAGCGACCATTTTACTATATTCTTTCTGGTGTTTGATGGGGTAGCCACCCCTATACTCAAAGAATGTTATACATTGCTCTAATACGCAGTTATTTCGGTTACAGTTCCTTTCTTCTTATTCCTTCTATAAAATCTGCTTTGTGTTTACTTGATAAAATCCAAGCTAAATGCTTGAGAATAATTTGTGGGGCTATGAAATCATCTCCAATCAACGCTCTCCAAGTGGAATGTGGTGAATCCCCTCTGCATCTTAGAAGACAACTGTTAAAATAGTCCAAAATTAGATTAACTCACACAAAGCTTTAAAATACTTTTTTTCTTACGAGCCACTGCTTGGGAGATCAAACTAATGTAAGCGCTCTTAAATATTTTTCGCATTTTGAAATCGTGATCCAGTTTAAAGGTATAAACAAGTTTATTTACAACTCGCAATAATAACATTTCATTATTCTTATATTAAATCACAGCTTATTTTACATTTTACAGAGTTCCTCTATATACAATGAAGCTTCTAAATACTTAACCCTGATTTTTAATTGGTTATACCAATGTTCATATGACTGATTGTTGTAAAATTTTTGACTCGATTGGTCTTCTTTACTCCGTTTTTTATTTTTGTACTTATATTTCGAATTGCAGTTTGAATTTATATCTTCGTTATATCGAAAAGGTTCTTCAGATATTCTTGATGGCATTTTCGCTGATTTGTATATATTACCACAGAGATCTGAAGGATTTTCATTGGCTTTCTTTTTCTGGGGGAATTTAACCTTTTTTGGGATCTTTTTTTCCGAATAAATGTTTTTTCCATTAGAGAAAGTTGTTGGTAATTGTAACTTATCAAATTCCATATTCAAAACGCTGTCATTGTTATATGTAGTAGTTGCACGTTCAGGAATATTTAAAGAACTTTTCACGGCATCTTTCTCATCATCCCCCACGTCGTCAGTGTAATTTAAATTAATGTTACAATTAACTTCAGAATTGTTCTTATTATGCGACTGTTCTAATACTAATGGAACGTTGTCACTTTTGCTTTTATCTATTTTGATTTCTTCATTTTCCCTTTTTACATTTCCTACCACATGATTGTCCAATGACTCTCCATTAAAAGCAAAAGATAAATTTAATTTTTGTTGAACTTTTTTTGGTATTGTAATATTTTTATATTTAACATCCAAATCTCCTGAAAGTGGTTTATTATTAAAAGAATCAAGTAAACTACGAAATGATTCAGGTTCATTGTTTGAACATGATTCTACTTTAGTATTTTGTAAGGAATTCAAAAGTTCATCGAAGCTTTCTACTTTTTCTTGTTCCCCGTTTGTAACTTCATCATCTCCACATAAAATATTCCACAACTCCTTATAATTTCCATTATTACATTTAGTGCTCTCTCTAATTATATTTTCCGAGCATTTTAAATTCTCGTTGTTGTCATTTATCACATTATCATCCCAAAAATAGTCTAATTTACCTAATTTCATGGAATCTAATAAATTTAAAAACTTTTTATATTCCATTCCTTCACTCAGTATAGTTACAGCCATTCCATAAGAACCAAATCTTCCAGCTCTGCCAATTCTATGCAAATATGTTTGCCACTCATATGGGGGTTCAAAATTCACTACTAAATCCACATTTGATGCATCTATACCTCTAGCGGCTAGATCAGTTGATATTAAAATCCTACATTTGTATTCCTGTAATGTTTTGATAGCATCAAGCCGATCCATTTGATCCTGGTTACCATACAACTGTTCAGAAGGCCACTTTGCCTTTGTTAATAACTTATGTACTTCACCAACTCTTGCCTGATAGTTACAGAACACTAAACATTGCTTGAATTGTTTTTTAGTTAATATTTTCAAGAGTTGCTGAAATCTAAACTCTGTCTGCCTTATGATATTACTATTATATTTTACAGTTGTAATTTTTTGTTCAACACCTAATAGTACACAGTTGTTATTAGGGCATAAATGTTGAGGATCATGCACAAATTGTCCTATAAATTCTTTTATCTCATCTGGATAGGTGGCGCTACTCAATATAACTTGTTTTTGTTTAGGCAGAACCATGTGAATATACTTTATATCAGGTAAGAAACTTTTCTCCATTAACTTATCAGCTTCGTCCAGAACAAACAGTCTCACTCCTAAGACATTTATATGTTTGTCATGTATAAGGTGCTTTAAGCGACCTGGACTCCCAACTACAACATGAACTTTATTATTTTTAAATTTTTCTATATCATCTTGTACTGGTAGCCCTCCCATTACAACCTCAATGCGTAACCCTGAAAAAATATATTAATGAATGTATAACTTACATGATAAAATGTTTTAATGGTTGTTTTTGAGTCAAAAACCAAAAAAAAAAGTTGATTTCCAATGTAAGAAGTAATCCATAACTTTGAAATTTGTGTTATATAATAAATTCTTGTAATTTAATCTTGTGATAATGGCAAGCTTCACAAATAAATCATCTTTGAAATTATGTGTAATAGTCTAGTTAATTGGTAGATTCATAATTACTTGAGGAACCATTTATTTATAATATAAAATTACCACATTGGTACAAGGATCTTTGTTATGAGAATGAAAGTTCAAGGCCAAATAATTACTTTTATCACATACGACTACACCAATAGTAGTTTAGCATTCTATGTAATAGCCTGGCAAAAGGCTCTTGCTGATATTGCAATATTTTAAAATTTGGTTACTGTTTTCTGTCTAAGCTTGTTTTTGTATTAAAGATGAAAATTAATGTGAAATCCTTATGATCCATACCATTATAGTGACATCCTATTTGCCTTAACACATCACATATTTGTGAAGCTATTTCACGAGTTGGAGCAAGTATTACAACTTGCAAGCCTTTCTTCAAATCTATTTTTTCTAAAGCTATGACAGTGAAGACCGCGGTTTTGCCAGTCCCAGACTTCGCTTCCAGTAACAAATCTGAAGATAAAACGAAGTTACAGCAAACATAGGTATTTAGGTTAATTTTAATATATACAATAACATTTCATTAATCCATGGGTATAGAAATGGACTTACCAAAGCCACATTTTCCTAAAGGAATACCATGTAATTGAATAGGCGATGGTTTAAAAAATCCGGAATCTTTGAGACCTTTTAATGTGTTTGAAGAAAGGAGCATTGTGTCAAATGTAACATCTTGGGTAATGCGTACATCATTGGTTCTTACAATATCGTTAATATTATGACCTAATATCATCTTGTTATTATCTTTTTCACTAAATAAATAAATTAAACAAACCACACTGTTAAATTTTAAAATACATATCTACTATTTAGCATTTGAAAGGTAACTGTCAATTGAAATTCCAGTTGAAGGCATGATAAAAATATAATTAGAGCACTGAAACAGAAAATTTAAATGCTGTACATTTATATAGATTTCATTTCATTATATATGTTATAAATTATAGAATATTTTTATAATGATATAAATATATTTTCTAGAATTCCAATAGTTAAAAATGTAAACTTACGAATTAAAAAATTATTGACTACTATTTTTGTCACTCGTAAATTTTGCATAATTTAAAAATAAAACTATATTTAGTAATCCTCTTTAGCAATGAAAATAATATCCTATTTTTTTGTAATAAGTCTTTTCTATAATTTTATCAAATTATATCATTGATTTAGAATCTTCGTCTTTGAATAAAAATATAGTTGGTTTCTGAACCGATTTATGAGAAATGGCGAAATGGTAGAACTTGATACATCTATTTTGCGTTCGATATTATCAATTTTGTAACTAAAAAAATGCTATGTTGAAAATATTCGTGCAATAGTTGTAGGTGTATAATATAAGAGATATAATTATATTGTATTGATATCAATGAAACACGGTGGCTGGATTGAATTTCAGTTTTGGGATTTCATGAGCTGTTTTAAATTTATAAGTATATACACGTAAGTACAAAACAATTATAGTGGAAATTTGAATTTTAATTGTAAAATATTTCAAAACAATTTAAAGCATTAATAGTACCTGACGTGTTTCATTTAATTTAGAATCGTATAATTCATATTTATTTTCCAATACATATTGTGTTTATGTCGTAGTAATTTTCATATTTATCTTGATTTTATTGTTTGTTTACTTTTAATGTAAGAAAATTATTAACTGTGTCTCTTTTATGTTTATTTAAACTGAATGTTCACTCTAATTCTATGTAACTTCTTGTAAGAATTTTGTTTGTTTTGTAACAGAAAGTCAAAAAAATGAATAATTGCGGGGGAGGTGGAATTGCTACCGGGGGTGGAGCCTATGATACTAAAATAGCGGGACTTTATGACTTGCTGGACACCCTTGGTTCAGGACATTTTGCTGTAGTGAAACTTGCAAGACATGTATTTACTGGTGAAAAGGTTGCTGTGAAAGTTATAGATAAAAGCAAGCTAGATGATGTCTCTAAATCACATTTATTCCAAGAAGTAAGTCAAGATTTCTATTTTAATACATATGTAGTGTGTAGAATTTTTAACTTTTTGTCTGGAATGAGAACTCTAGTGTATTACATATATATTTAATATATTGTTTTCATTTCAGGTCCGATGCATGAAATTAGTTCAACATCCAAATGTAGTAAGGCTCTATGAAGTCATTGATACCCAAACTAAGTTATACCTGATCTTAGAATTAGGTGATGGTGGTGATTTATATGACTATATCATGAGGCATGAATCTGGACTCTCAGAATCTCTAGCTCGTGATTACTTTCGTCAAATAGTCCGTGCTATCTCATATTGTCACAGGTAAATTTTTTTCAATGTTATCAGCTTATTAAATGGATCTGTGTTCTATAAATTTCTTTTTCTTTTTCAGGTTACATGTGGTTCACCGAGATTTGAAACCTGAGAATGTTGTTTTTTTTGAAAAATTAGGAATAGTGAAATTGACTGACTTTGGTTTTAGCAATAAATTTTGTCCTGGACAAAAGTTAGAGACGTCATGTGGTTCTTTAGCTTACTCTGCGCCGGAGATTTTATTGGGTGATTCATATGACGCCCCCGCTGTGGATGTGTGGTCACTCGGAGTTATACTGTACATGTTAGTGTGTGGACAAGCACCCTTCCAAGAGGCCAATGATAGTGAAACACTGACTATGATTATGGATTGTAAATACACCATACCAACACATGTTTCAAATTCCTGTAAAAGGTATGACAGTGTTGCTATTGATTAAAAATATTAATTATACTATATGCATACAAAGGTTTTACTTATAATATTTCAATAGGCTTATAGGTAGAATGCTAATAAGGGAACCAGAAAAGCGTGCGACTTTGTCTGAAATAGCATCCGATCCGTGGGTCACTGCAGGGGAAGGTGTGACCGTACAAGACTTTGATACTCCGCTAGTTGCCAAACAAGACTTGACTGAAGAAGATCGCACTGCCATTTTGCAGAGAATGGTCAATGGTGCTATTGGAACAAAGGAACATATTCTTGAACAATTAGAAAAGAACGAGTATAACCACATAACAGCTACTTATTATTTACTGGCAGAGAGAAAGTTGAGATCCAAAAGGTACTTAGTGTTCAAAGTTTTATGTAACTTTATATGTAATATTTCATAATATGTTATTACTATAAGGCAAGAAGCAAGACAGTCAGCTCGGAGACCAGAAGTGTTGGGTGTGTCAAGGACAAATAAAGGTTTACTGGCGCCTCCACAAATACCTGCTGCACCACGAACACCACAGGATGTACCGCCCGTGAGATATATACAAAAACAATTAATAAATTATAATATACTAGCTTTCCCCTCGCCGCTTCGGCCGCGTGGAGTTCGGTTATATCGCGTTTCCAAGAGAAGCTTTCAAAAGTCTGAGATAAAAACTATCCTACGTTCTTTCTCAAGGTCAACTCTATCTCTGTACCAAATTTCATTAAAATCAGTTGAGTGGTTTAGGCGTGAAAGCGTAACAGACAGACAGAGTTACTTTCGCATTTATAACATTAGTAGGGATGTAATATTGCAATTACTATAATAAAAAACAAGGGTTAGTAACAGAATTCCAAAAGTGAAAGTAAAATTTGTAAAATATTCACACCAAGTCTACATTTGTCTACACAAAATTTTAGCTCTTTAAGTATGGTTTCAAATCTTATTTTGTCTACTGCTCTTTTTGACAATAAATTATGTTTTTAGCGCCCCATTTTTTCACCTATTAAAAAACTATTATAACTTATCCTAAACGGTAATGTATCTTGCAAATATTCCTTGTATCACATTTTAAGTGAATGTAAAATTCTTATGAGAAATAAAGTTCTTTATACATATATTTAACTTAAATGTCACTTTTAACAGCGTTCACGGAAATGCAGCATCGTGCGTGAAGAAGAAGACGATGAAGAAGGAGCTGGTGCCGCTGCTACCCGCTCCGGGGACGCACGGCGAGGCTCGCGCTCCGAGGGGCGTCTACACCTCGCACGACCTGCGCTGTTAGCAGACAACCTCACTAAGGTGTTGTAATACCACTGCGGAATACCTAGCTAGCAAATATTACATTATCTATGGGATATAGTCTAGCCTTATAATACGAAAATAATTCTATTTCATTTAATTTTTTTTTATCAACATCATAATCAATGATATTTAAATTTTTATTCCCAAATTATATATGTTTTGTTTATAATATATTGGGTATATAACCATATTATTTTTCATATTCCAACGGGTTTATATCTGTAACATGCATTGTAGGTGAACCTAGATGAAGGTGGAAGTGAAGCCGCTTGCGGTGTGACTATAGCGGTAGCGGAGGTCGGTCGTCGAGCCCCCGCGCCGCCAGCGCCGGCCCGTCGGCAGAGGATCGACTGTCGTCGGCGTAGAGCCCGCGCCGGGTCGTGCTCCTCTTCAGACCTATCAGATGAAGACTCGGAGAAGAAGAAGCGCGCCGGGGAGCAGGCCTCCGCCCCCGGGGAGCGAGCGAGAAGAGACTCACACGACGACTCCAGCGACAGCCAGGAGCGAGGAGCAGCACGACGAACAGCGCCCGCACCTCATCCCACACCGCCCGCACCTACTACAACGCACGGTCTCGAATTAACTATTTTATTATAAACTCTCAATGTTACAAGGTGTATGCCCAGTTATATTTGATGAAGATATCTTATTCTCTAGCAGACTCAACAATATTTTTACTTTCATAATACAAAATTCTCTGTTATGCATATCTTTGTTTATTGTCTATGATGTAAATGATATGAAAAACTATTTATTTATTAGTTAAAAACGTATGACATCTGTATATTAAAATTACAGTCACTCACTCCTTATACAGGGTGACTGGTGAATTACTATCGATATTTGAGGACGTGATATTTGACGATCATATATGACAAAATAAAAATTAATATAACACAAATATTAATAAACTTCTAAGTAAAGTTAACCAAAAGTTATGTAATTAATTACGCATCGTGTGAACACCCTACAGATTAGGTATACACTGACAATCACACATACGCGTGTCGTGACGTGGTGTTGTATCAGCACGCCGCCGCACGCGTCCACACTTGAACACTTGGAACGTGTCAACACTTTACTTATTTATACGGAAATTTTGTCAAAAATTAAGTGCCTATTTTTTTTACATAATTCGAATGAGAATCATGAACCGAGTATTCTCTTTAAATATTGATAGTAATTCACCAGTCACCCTGTATAAGATGGCAAATCTCTATGTAGACATAGTTTCTCTGGATGTAAAGCTTTGAACCGTATATTAACTCATTTCATTGTATATATAATGTCACAGGAGGTAATTCGTCCGGCGGCAGCAGCGGTGGTGGTGGTGGCGGGGGAGGGGGTGGCGCGGCGGGGGATGCTCGCGGTGCTGCGGGCAGTACCGGGGGTCGACGTAGGAGGGCCGCGCGCAAGGAGAGCAGATTAAGAGAATCGCGTTCACTCAATCGCATTGCTGAAGTAACTACTGTTCAATCTTCATTATTATACCATTAACTAATGATGGTTATAATCTTTATATATATATATAATTCTTCTGTGAGTGTGTATGTCACTGAACTTCTCTCAAACGACTGGAAAGATTTTGATGAAATTTTTTGTGTGTGCTTTAGGGGATCTGGAAATGGTTTAGATTCACAATTTTATCCGCTGGACAATGATTTTTTATTAATTTTTAATTTATTAGTAGTTGTTGATACAAACGTTTTTTTGACATTAGATTTGACAACTAACTAATATGTCAATCATTCTGTCGCACTTCAAACCACGGAGATTTATGGTTTTAATAGGTAAACTCCAAAAATATAAATAAAAAAACGTAACAGATATTTCTTGATTATAGGGCGATACGAAGTTCGCCGCGTCTTCTAGTTAACATATATGTATATATGTGTATTTTCAAAGGTGGAGGAGGCGAGTTCGACGCGGTGGGCCGGCGGTGGTCTAGTGGCTCTGTGCGGTAGACCTCTCCTACGTCTGCTGGCTGCCGCTCGACCACCGCCCTCGGCACGCCGGCTGCATGGTCTATGCTGAGTATCCTATTTCTCTCCCCTAAGACTTTGAAATCAAGTCTCGATATATTTCCCCATCAATAACACTTTCTGTCATTGTTGTTAATTTATTACTTATTTTTTATGATCTGAACGAGTTATGACTGATGATATTGCACATTAAAAGGAATATCCCTCTCGAGTATCAGAACACATTGATCTGGGATGTTTGTTATGAATCTTCTATCACTTAATCATTTCAGTTAGTTGATTATTTGAATTTACACATTTTAGTAAGATATATACAACTATAATATATTTATTTCACATATATACTGACACCCAGACAGGTATAATTTAAATATACGAACAAACTTTAGCTATAAACTCCACTTCTTCTTCAACAGCCTATTTGTTATGAATACATATAAGACCCTGAAACTATATTAATGTATGTACAAGCAATGACATATTTATATATCTCATTGAATATTTCAACATTATATATATTGTCTATAAATGTTCTTAAAATGATTATTAATATAAGTATAATATGGTTGCCCCTTATATCGCCAAATAATTATACTGGTAGTTTTAGATATCTTTTATAGAACCTTATTACTTTCAAACATTTTTAAAAAGAAAAGTAAACTTTGTAACATGCAAGGGGCCATTCTATCTTTGATATGTTTTGATTCAAACAATGTAATGCATTTATAATGTCTATAAATAATATTAGGTCAACAGGGTCAGAATTCAGTTGATGGGTACTCACTTTCAATGACCTAAGAGTTTCAATAGGTTCGGTGAAGTGAATGAGAACTGAATTTTATATAAAAAAAAAACGGGGCTTGAAAATAAATGTACTAAAAATGCCAACAAAAGTTCCAGTACTCCTATTATATATTAAATAGCACTAAATTATTAATTATAATATATGTTACACAGGTTTTGTGGAAAATTGGATGTTAGTTTACAATTTATCATATTATTAATTTACTGTTATTAAGATAGTTATTTACTGTGTATTCGATATGTGGTTTCCTCACTCTTGAACCCCTCTTAGTGCTGATTTCATTAGCAATGTGGTGCCTTAGTATTCTTTGATGCTTTATTATAGATAATTTATCAGTGTTCAATTTAAAGGTACATTTGTAGATTATATGTTTTGTTTTTCTTTCAGAACAAATTAAATACATATGTATATATTTTTAAGTGCCAACGATTACAGTAATAGTAAAATAATAAAAAATATACATTTATTATTTTGAAAAAAAAAAAAGAAATACAAATTATTTGTTCTGTATTTTAATTAATTTTCTTGTAATGTTCATGTACAAGCATCTCTTATAAACAATTTACATGACTGACAATATGAAGCAATAACTAATACCAAATGATTCCAGTACTGTTAAAAATTATTCCGAGGACACTGCAACGGTGACATTAATAAATTGTTGTGCTGCTTTGGTGCTGAAGCATATAGTAGTTTGAGAAATTACTATTTTTTAAGTTAAAACTTCTATTATAGTACATCTAATCACTACTGCAATATTTTATCATGAGTCAGTACTTTTTTTACAACAATCAGTCTATAGAAGTTAACAGTAATAATAAATTTTATTTGCCGATTCAATTAACATAAACAATTGCCACTGTAGCGTAGGTAAGTATTGAAGTATGTATATCATGAACTTGTTTTTAATTATTTGTAGTGATTAATATGCAATTGAAAATTTATTGTTACATGTTGTCTATTAAAAAATATTTATGTACATATTTATTTTAATTGTAAATAATAGTCTATATTACATATTATATGGAAATGTAAGCTGATTTGGACATTAATTTTGTTTTTTATAGGTTTTATTTTAAATATTGACTATAGGCTCTAATGTGTAAACGCTGTTCGTGTACATTGTAACAAACTTTGCGAAATATTTGTACCAAAGAGTAGTAATTCGTTTATTTAGATGTCTCAAGCCAAACGCCGGTATGGCCGATCAGTATTTCAAACATTTCATTCTATCGTGATGATGTAGGCGCTTCTATATCTATTATTGTATAGTCTTTGTGTTATTAAATTTCAGAATTGTATTGTTGATTTTTTTTGATTCAACTTAACATACAGCAACCATAGCCCCAGTTTCTTCTAATTTATTTCTCTTATATTTTTGAAGTTTTCCGTCCCTAAATCTTTTGTGGACTATTGTCATCGAAATTGTTTTCTTTATTTTTTTATTTATAATTATAGAGATCTATTATTATTTCGCACTAAGTCCTAGTGTCCATTTGTAAAGCATAATGCCATTAAGTACAAACTGTAATGGTATGTAAATAACTACTTAAACATGTAAACAATTCCATATATGTTTCTATATATACATATATTATAAGGATCTGTATTCTCAGTTATATATGAAGCGGATATGATGAATTTTATACCAACACATAACTATTCTTATTGTCATTTCACCAACTTTACAAATATATCTCATTCTTCAACAATTATTTAATATGTCATACTTTATAATTTGTATCTTGTAAAATTCTTGATATAAACACTGGATAGATGTTTTCTATAACATAACTAACTTATATTCCATTGGAATACTTTTCATGTATTAATTACATTTAATTGACCTGGAATAATTAAATTCCTACTTATTACCAGATAAGGAATAAATTTATTTGTGTATTTATGTTTAAATAATTCTTTTATTTGCTTATGTATTGTATCTTATTTGTGACGAATCAGTTCTAACATAGTTTTCAGATTCTGTGAATGGTACGTTTGTTGTATTTTTTTTTTAATTTTAACTGATATCATAATAAAACTATGAGAATTTCAGTACTTTGTCCGTTCTTCAGACATTTAAAATGTAGAAATCTGTAGAATATTGATGAATCTATTCGATTCGAGATATTTAAATATGATCAATTAGATGTTTGTGTAGTTGTTACATTTATTTTATTATGCTATTTATGTGTATAGAACTACGATGATAAAATCGACTTTAAGATCAGAGCTTGAAGCTTTGTGAAAACATCTTTATAAATACTCTTCCCTCCGTAAAGTAGGTTAGTACTATACAAGAAAATAAAATTTTTATGAGTTTATTAAACACACCTCATTTAATATTTTTGTATATTTTCTTACTGTGTACAGTTATAATATTATAAGCCATATTGAGTAATAATTAAATAATAAATTGAGTATTTTAATTAATGTTAGGTCCATTTTATATTGTCCTCATTGAATTACCGAAAATATGATTTACATATTAAAAGGCAACCCTGTAATGCCAGTTTTTTTTTGTCTAGCTTTGATTACAATTTGATGTCTATATTTAATAATCAGTATAGTTATCTGATCTTCTAATAAATGTGTACCTGGCCGTATGTATGTTGGCGCGTACTACTAAGCTTCTAGTAGTTGTCAAAATAATGTGAAATTATAGTTGGAATTATCTGCCTGTATTAATATTAAATATTTCAATGAAACTTTCTTTTATTTTCATTAATTACCTTCACACTCGACATATTATACCTATTATTACAAAATAAAAAGCCCATAGACAGTTTTATTTGATTTATTTACCTTTGCTAGTTATACATTGGTAAAAATAATATGCTATGAAACAATTTGACTCGCCGTTTTAGTTTCTATTAACAAAATTACGCAAATTGGATATATTTTAAGGGAAAAAGTAATAGTGTTAATAATGTATAATAGTTTTTTTTTTACCACCATAACTGTCTTTAAACATAGTAATGCCAAGCCTTATTCATGAAATGGAGTACTTTATCTTATGTATCTAAGAAAAAAACCTTAATTATTTTACACTTGACTTTAAAGTAAGAAATATGAAATTAAAATAAATCTGTGTGATTATATTTTTATAGAAATAACTTTAACCCTTAAACTTTAGGTGCCTTGTTTGCTGTAGGTTTGGCCTCACATCTATATTTATAAACTCAAATGATCACTTCAAACGAGTATGTAAGCTATTATGAGTTTAAAATTATAGGCATATCCACCATTTACCTAAAACAAGATATCAGTAATTCTAGGTCTAATTATACAAAAGCAAGTTTGACTTTTTGAAGGCCACAATAATTTAGGTAGTGATAAATATTTGGGTGTTACCCTCTAAGTGGGTGATGAGCCATTTTAGAAGTGAATCTTGTACATTACACATATTACCCAATCCACATGGTCCAAGCATACATTTTGCTTTGCTAGATATAATAGAATACAATAAATGCATAATGTTAACTTAAAAGCATACACGATATTTGGTTATGCCAATATTGCAGAAAACCAAAACATGGCAATGATAGAGGGACTTATGGTTATGTAGCTATAGATTAGCATATTCTGGAGTAGATTGGGTTATTGAGACGTGTTTGAGAACATTAAAAAGTGCTCCCCTCGGGAGGCTGAGAAAGCTTCATGTTTTCCTTAAGAGTCATAAGACGTCTCAATTCTTGAAGCACTGTCTTGATAGTATAGTCACGCTGCCATCTTGCTAGAATAGGGACTTGTCTATTGTCCACCTAGAATTATAATGAGAAACAAAATTAAAAAATAATATCATTTTCAAACAAAGAAAGAAAATTTATGACTCACAAGTCCAGTCTGACTGTTGACACAGTTCATGTTGATTCTAGAAATAAATCTAGCGGTCGGAGGCTCATCTGGGTATCTAGTACCACATTCTATTTTAAGAGAATACATCCTATTTTCATATGGAGTCTGAAACAGAATTTCTTGGTATAAATGAGTTAAATATATTATATATAGATTCAAACACAATATATTGGCAACTTTCAGATGTTAAATGAAGACCAATCAATAACTTATACTTTATCTAATCTAATTTAGGAATGCCACTTATAGTAACAAAACACAACACATCATTAAGCAAATGTTGTAAAAAAATCCGTTTTATAGCCGAGATTTTAATATTTTTATAGAAATTATTTATAAAAATACTGGAATATAATATAAATAATTATATGTATTAAGTTACTCTAGGGGGTCCAATTATCATGCCAGTCCAATGAGTGAGAGTCATATCATCATCGCTTTCGAGACCCCAAGAGATCGTGCCATCGCCCACTCCCTTCTGACCTTGCTCAAGTTCTTCTAGCAGACGAAAATTTCTCGGCACCACTTGTAAAGGAAAACGAAAATTAAATTAGAGCAAACTTAATAGCACAAATTTATGTGCAATTAATAGCAATTTTAATAATCGCTTAAAATGTAACTAAAAATAAAATTAAAATCTTACCAACGCCTGATGACGGATTCGCCATGATCACTATTTCACCGGCGCTCACTATCTACTCAGAAATGCACTAATTTAAAAGTGTAATCTCTATTTTAAATGTATAATAATTACATGAGATCCTCAAATTACTTGTGTGTATTAGAAATGACGCTATATTTAATCTATAAAAATCTTTCACTCATTGCTCAAAGAGCAGGTTAGCACTTTTTAATGCTGACTTTGACAAATGTCACCAAAAGGCAATTTTCGTTTCTATTGTCAATGACTGCCTTGTGGCCATTTATTTATATTTTTAAAATGAAGACTGTTTTTGTTTGAATATGATAACATAAAACTGAATTACTTCAGGTATACGATAAGTAAAATAAGGAAATATAGGTATCTTAAATTAAAATTAATAATATTTGGAAAGTTATCTTTTTTAATGAAGTTTGGTTATAATCCATAAACCACAATGTTATAAATAGATATAGTTTAAGAAAAAGAAGTTTTTAATTGTGTACACATAAATTACATAATACACTTGAATTTTTTACAATTTAATTGGAAAACTATAGAGATTTATATTAAATTGAAAATACGATTAAGGAGAATTTTTTAAAGTTTTTTAATTACTTTATTACAATGGTATTATTTTTAATTATTATATTTAACCTATGTTCCTAATTCAAGATATATATATTCTATATCGTCTATGGATTTTATCTTCGCGTATGGTTGGACTGTGTGCGTTTTCCCTTTTTCGTGCCGTGAACTTGTATTTTGGGTATATACACATGGTTGTACTAATGATAAAATAATATAACAACTTTTTATACATTGTTGCTCAAAAATTTAAGTATTATCATGCATAACTTTGAAAATTGACTATATTCGTGGGGTGATAGTGCAGTTTTGGAGGTAAAATGCCCGCTTCAATTTGTGACCCAGTATCCAGCGCATTGCGTTTGTCTTTAACTGCAGAAGATTCCTCAAACTCTTCTTTATTAGATAGAAGACTTTACTCATCAGCAAAGAGTGTTCTACTGTCTAAAATTGAATTTGAAGAATCTGGTGACTATCAAAGCAATGTTCTCGATGGTTTGAAGTCTAAATACGTGGTTATACGTAAAAAACCTGTGCTTGAAAGTAAATTACTTAAAAAAGATGTTAATTCAGTGAATCAAAATACAGGTAAGAAAAAATATATTGCAAAAGACTTTGGGTTTAATAGTAATAGTATTAATATCGTTTAAGAATTGTATGAGGTTATCTTTACACGATGTCAATATTTACTTCCGTAAAGAATTTTGTTTTATTAATAAACTTTCCATAATAATTATATTCAAGAATATTTTCTTCTACACTATTAATGTTTACAACTTTGTTTTATATTTTTATACGAAATGTAAAATGTATCAATTTGTTTATGATTTATTGTTCCTTAGAATAATAAAGTACTGTAAATTATTATTAATATACATGTCAAATAATTTGTTATTGATTACAATATTTTGAATTAAAGTGGAGTAAAACAGGGGCAACTTGCTTAATATTTTGGTGTTAATAATTACAGAGAACTCAAAAAACGGTGATGAAGGTTTGCCAAAACCTAAGAGGGTTTTCTTCCCTGTTGAAAAAGTACAATTGGGATGGCAAAGTGCCTGGGCAGCGGGCGCTGGTATGCAGAATGTTGGTAACACCTGCTACCTTAATTCAACATTACAAGCCCTTTTTCATGTACCTGCCTTCGCTAATTGGCTTGTATCTGAATGTACACACGCTGAGAAATGTAATCAAGAAGGTAAGGCTTCCACAATATTATTATATTTTACTTATATTTTAAATAAAACTAAGGTTTTTGAATCACAGCAACTGTGATCATGATTAGTGTAATGGAACCAAAACATAGGGATTTTGTAATATAATATAATAAAAATGCCATGTATCCAAAAAGATTATTTTCATTTAATTGTGCACATGCGAAAATCTTAGATATTAATATTTTTGCATGTTTCTTTTACATCAAGCCAAATGTCCCTTGACAAATATTTAAAAAGATCATGTCAATACATTTCAAATAATTTATTATATCATTATATCACATAAATTGTGAATTACAGAGGCTTGTGTTATTTGTGGTATGAGAGCAACACTGATGGCTACTCAGAAGAGTGGTGGAGCAGCAATCAAGCCTTGGCAGGTTTACTCCAAGTTGCGGCTCATATGTAAACATTTAACGCCAGGTCGTCAAGAAGATGCCCATGAATTTCTGAGGTGAGGTATAGATATAATATAAGTGTACAATTATACTTAGTATGTATATCAAATATTTAATATAAATAAAGCAGGCTGCTCATAATAGTTTAGTTTAATTGGCACCATTGACAGATAAATCTAAAAATGTTCTCTAATTTTGATACTACTCTTCTGTCTATAAATATTTTCATAACCACTGTTTGTACTATAATATAAAATACTTTTAACAAATGCTATTTGCTATAAAACAAAAATAATGAATGAATAAGTAGCAGTTCCATATTTAAATTTTTCTATAAATTCATTCATTTATTGTATATTTATTATATAAATAATTGGCAATAATATAATCTTCCTTATTGAAATGATTAGTAACAAAATACTTGTGTTTGTAGATATCTTGTGGAGGCTATGGAAAAGTGTTATCTCTCACGTCTTATAAATGCTGACAAACTGGACCAGTACAGCAAGGAAACCACTCCATTGAATCAGATTCTCGGTGGTTACCTTCGTTCAACTGTCCGTTGTCTTGCGTGCCACCATCTTTCTACCACCTACCAACATTTTCAAGTAATATATATTTTAAAATTCAATAATAATTATATAGCTTTTTAATTGTCACATATTTTATTCTAACATTGATGGTTTGCAGGATTTGCTCTTGGATATAAGAAAACATTCAACATTGGATGAAGCTTTGGATTCATTTTTTTCCAGAGAAAGATTAGAAGATTTAGGTTATAAATGTGAAGCTTGTAATAAGAAGGTAAAAAACTTGCTCTTTTGATTAAATGATTGTTTTTTATTCTATAAATTGTAAATTTTAAAGCTATTTTTATGTTTTAGGTATCAGCAACTAAACAGTTCTTCATAGAGAGGGCGCCGATGGTGCTCTGTATTGCACTCAAACGATTCTCTCTCGCCGGTGGGAAGTTATCAAAGCATGTGCAGTTTAGAAAAAAAATTAATCTTAACAAATATATTTATAATAAAAATAATCCTCATCAGTTGGTAAGTTGAGAGTGAAAGATGTAGATTATATTGATATAGTAGCAAAGTGTGTATGGAAGTTTTAAACTATGTTGTTTATTTCAGTCTTACAAATTGGTGAGTCTTGTAACACATCTTGGACCATCACAGAACTCGGGCCACTACACTGCCATAGGACAGGCTCCTAACAGCAACTACTATCAATTTGATGATAATTATGTCCGACCCATACCTCTGTCTGCAGTCCTGGGAACTAACGCGTACATTATGTTTTTCGAAAAAGATAATACAATTGAAGATTCAGTGGTTCCCACTGCTTCAACTTCGAACGTCGTGTACGGCCCTCAGTTGCCTGATAACATACTCAACAGGGACAAGAGCCCTTTAAAACTAACATTCTACAGGAATGAGGACAGAAAACCCGTCACATTGAATTCGACCGCCGTGGATTCAAAAACAGACCTTAAACCCGTCATACTTAACTCAACACTCAGCAAATCATCAGAGTCTAACAATTCAAATTCAGAACCCTGGGTCGTCAAACAAAACGGTGAAGTAGAAAAAGTCACCCAGGGAACGAGAATATTGAACGGCGCAGACAAGAGTGTACAGAAAACAGACGAGGATATCAAAGTTAGTTTTATAATAAAGAAGCAGAACGGGGAGGAGAGCCAAAGTAAACCTAAAGTATCAAAAAGTGATTCGGATCTTAGATCCACTACTAATGTAGGTAACAAGATATTAGAGAAAAGCGCTTCGGTTAGTAAGTTAGTGAAATTATCAAAGTCGCCGCTAGAGAAACTCGAAGAACAAATGAACAAAAACGATGCAGCCAACGGTGTACACAGAAACGGGAGTATGGGGTCCAAGTTGGTTCCATACGACTCGGAGTCGAGCAGCGACGAGCGGACCGCGGACGACAAGGAACAGAACAAGAAACAGAAACCCAGCAGGTGCGACTCTCCGCAGACACTCATAGTGACCACCCGCGCCGCGCAGCACACGTGGACCGTCTGCAAGGAGAACAGCGGCCCGCTGCTCAGCCCCAGCCTCAACGGAGACACCAACAAGAAGTAACTCACATAACATATGAGTTAAAACATTTATTTATTTGGTCATTACTAAATGTAATTTGAATTTCGAATCAGGGCGAAGGAGGAGAGGCGAGGTGACGAAGAGAGTCCAAACACCAGCGTCAGTAGTATGTCTCCGCTCAGTGACCGCAGCGAGGTGGTGGGCGCGTGTCCGGCCCCCGCGCCCCCTGCCACCCCCGCCGCGCCCATCCTCAACGTGGAGACAGCCCGCCACCTACACGGACTGTCACACCGAGGGTATGGCGCGCCCGTCAACACGTGGAACGGAACACACAGCGCTATGTCGCGACAGGTAATATCGTTACCGTACACTACGTAAACGTTTGATCTATTGATAGTGTAATTACTGTCTTCCAAGGTCACCTCTATGTATTGTTCTGTATGTGTTTTTCGTCCTTGGTAAAGATTAGACGAGAATAGTATTTAAGTCCCGTTTCTCACATATTGCACAAATGTGTCTGTTGTGACAGTTTTTTATGTGTATTTTTAGTGAATGTTTGTCCATAACTGGGATGTCAATCTTTCACAGTATCTATAATTTAGTTTTACTAATAATATTTTGGAAACATCAGGTGTTTGAAGAGAGACGCGAAGAAAGGAAACGCGCTCTCGAAGCGACAGACGATATGGACCGGGGACGGACTAAGAAAGTGAAGAAATTCCACCACTACAACAGATTCAATAATAATAGGAATGGTTATAATCCATTTCAGGTAACTTATGGTTTCCAAATAGATTATTTAATTATTTTATATATTGATATCTAATGTTTTATTAAAATATGTTATTAGGAAAAACAAAACAAACTACACTGGGGCGGTAATTTTAAGTACCGCGGAGACAGGCGACCCACACATCACTTCAACAAACACCACAGTAATAAGTACAAACGATTTAACAGGTGAGGTGACATAATATTACAATCATATATGTATGAGACTATCTATAGTGCATACTAATAAGTTGTTTATATTGCAGGTACAGTAACAATCACCACTACCCGCGTCATCATTGACCCTGGCCGGTCAACCTGTTGTCTGTGTATATACGTGAACGGACTCCCTGAACTATATAGTTAGAACATTTTTTAAGCTAATACTAGTTAAGGTGGTTAATATTGACATATGATAGACGAGAAGGTATTTAAAAAATTACCCGCTAACGCCACTAAGTCCATTAATTGTTACAGTAGAATGTAGTGGGTTAAATTATGTACTGCCAATGTCAGCCTTTGTAACATATAAATTAATAGTGTAATACAAAAATATCCTGTAACATAATTATGTATGTAACTAATGTTGTAATGACTGAGAATGTTTTATTTGGTCTTGTAATTTCTTTTCCAAGAAACACGCTACTTGTGTATTTCTAAAGCATTTTTATAAAAAATATGTACTCTTTTCTATCTAACAGAAAACTGCGCTGTAATTTGACGAATAAAGATATTTAAATTATCTACTTAAATAGTCAAGTGAATGTGATGTAGAAACATACTACGGTGACTTTCTTTTGAAAGCGATTTATTTGTCAGATATTTGTTCTACCTCATCTTTGAAGTCGGATAAAAGTTAGCTCTGACGGCGTGCTTCGAAATCAGATCGATGTATCACAAAAAATGTTTTAAAACAAATGATAAAATAGTTTCTTTTTTTGGAATAGTTATTGATTAAGATAGTGTTATAAGTGATAGCAATAAAGATGAAATGTTATGATAACTATCTGTGAATAGTCAGATGACGGAAATTAGTCAAAAATCACAATAAATTAAAAATATAACGGCGCTACACAGCTATTGGTTGAAAGTTTAATATTTAGTGACAAAACCAGCGTGAGCCGATATAACGCCGATTTTATTTAGCTTAATTCGTATCAGAGTAAAAAAATCAGATTCAACTTCTAAAGCGTTGCCTTTTAAAATATTGACTGTATTTTCAAAATATCTCCACTTAGATTTCGTTGAAATTCTAAAGTATTATGTAGAAACCTATGTTTCTTGAGGAATATTTTTATTTTTATAATAAGCCACAATATGTTGACATTTATCTGATTGATAACTTTTCTTTGTAAATAAAAAACTCAGTCGAATAGCCGATTGTTATAGTAAGTTATATGGGCTTATATTTTTGAAACAAACATTCATATATATGATAGTCATTTTGTTTATGTGTTATGTATCTATGTATTATATAATGTACCACGAGTGTAGTACGTTGTTTAGTTACATTGAGCCGGACAGACATACAAATATTTTATCATTCTAATTAAAATTCGTCACCAAGTGTTCCATACATGTTATGTACGTAGCATTTATATTTATTTCCTGTCCTTCTTTCGACGTCATGTATTTCTAGTTGTTAAGGTGATATAATTATTTACTTAGACCTATCTCTTAGTTATTATTAAAGGTACTGTTAAATATTTTTTTTGTTAATTACCATGAAAATATGTTACATTATGAAAGGGTAAGAATACTCTTCCACACAAATATTTTTCTTAATAATTGATGCAAGCGTTTTGCTGAAATGGATAAAAAAAACATCTTATTATAATGTTCTGTTTTATTTATTACCTTTCTGGGTGACGTAGTCAGAAATTTTGAACGCTAACTTTCTTGCATTGTCATGACCTACCCCAGCCATATAACATGTTAGACCTTAATTTATGATTTGAATTAGATAATATCTAATATATAACAAACAGCGCTCACTCAGTGGAGTCACTTATAATGGACTAGCTTTTGCCGCGACTCCGTCCGCGTGGAATAGTGATTTCCGGCAGATTTTTGGTTCTTCCCACATAGTTCCCGTTCTTGCGGGGTTTTCGGAATGGTCGAGTTCCCGTTGAATTTTCAGGATAAAACCTATTTTTTTTTTATATTCACAATGAAGTACTCTTAACCAACAACATATTTATTTGTTTATTTGAATAAAGATTAATATTATTATGTTGATACAACTTAAACATATTATTTCGACCAAATTAGGTACCATAAAAACGGTTTTTGTCAGTTAATCTTAAAGATAGACATAATATACTGTCACCGACTGTTTTTTAGATCATTAAAAGAGCTATTATTCTTTAATACATATTTTTTGTGTATCTTGAACCGTTTTCACGGCGCACGCAACGGAAGGCTTCAAAGATGAAATAATTTCTCCCGTTTTTTACACATTTACCACTATATCTTTGCTCCTACTGGTCGTAGCGTGATGTTATATAGCCCACAGCCTTCCTCGCTAACTGGACTATCTAACACAAAAAGAATTATTCAATTCGAACCAGTAGTTTCGGAGATTAGCGCTTTCAAACAAACAAACAAACTCTTCAGCTTTATAATATTAGTATAGATGTGAATTTTCAGAAAACACTTTTAATGCTCTTCTAGTAGTATTAGTATTAGTTACTGTGGAATAGGAAATAAAATTTTCTGTTTGTCTAAACTTGATATTAATTAAAGGAAACTATTCATTGAGTTGACTTTAAAATCCTAATTGAATTGAAAAAAAATTGCTAGTTAATTGAGAAGTGAGTTATTGTTTTTTAATACATATATATATTGAAATTTATTTTCATTTTATACTTTATAGAAAAAGTACCTGGAGCCTGTTATTCTTTTGCATATAGCGTTGCCAGGTCGCCAAACCTAATACCCGGACAGACCAGCCAGTTTGGCCGGACATGCAATCAAAAAGCTTAACTATGTCCGGCTTTATCCGGACGCCTGGCAACGCTAATTGCATATTAGAATATGTAGGAAAGCATTTGTTAGTTTTGGATGCAAGTGAAATTCAGATCAAAGTTTAAAAGAAATAAAATATAAAAAATATAGATTTGAGTTAGGTTAGACAGAACTTTTTTTTATTTGCTTAAGAATGTTAAGGTATGATAGAAATTACGTATCAGTCCAACGAGTTTGAAGAACGTCGATCCGGTGTAACTAAAAACAAATGAGGCTAAGGAAACTTAAAAAACAATTAAATAACGATGACATATTGTTTTAAATAATTAACAATCTTTTAAATTAATATTAATAAAAAATAATATTTCAAAACAAAATATTTATTTTATACAAAATTATTTGTACGAGTGAAAACATTAAAGGAATTGATTAGGAACATTAAAGCTTGTTCTGCGCCTCGGATAATTTTACATTGTACATACATTATTCTTCTTCTTTCTGGCAACCTCCCAGCTTTAGCCAGGGTCTGCCTACATTGTAATGCATTATTATTAACGGCTATTTTATTTACACAGTGGATAGTTTTGTATTATTCAACATAATGAAAGCCTCAATTAATTTTCTAAATTAAGGAAACTTGTTAACCATGAAGGAATTCATTTTAAAGTCTCTTTACAATGTTTGGTGATGGCAACTGAATTGTTTGTAATCACTTGCAACACTGACTTATATAAAGACAACAACATAATATTTATATATATTTAGTCAAGTGATGTAAGAGGAATAATAAATGCTCAATATTATTGTCGGTCATGTCTTAATAAATTCTAAACTTAAGCATTAAACAGTCTATGTTATAGACTATTGCATTTATACCGGGTGACTGGTGAATTACTATCGATATTTGAGGACGTGATATTTGACGATCATATATGACAAAATAAAAATTAATATAACATAAATATTAATAAACTTCTAAGTAAAGTTAACCAAAAGTTATGTAATTAATTACGCATCGTATGAACACCCTACAGATTAGGTATACACACACACATACGCGCGCGGCGGCGTGTTGTTATATCAGCACGCCGCCGCGCGCGTTCACACTTGGAACACTTGGAACGTGTACACACTTTATTTATTTATACGGAAATTTGGTCAAAAATTAAGTACCTATTTTTTTTACATAATTCGAATGAGAATCATGTACCGAGTATGCTCCTTAAATATTGATAGTAATTCACCAGTCACCCTGTATATTAAAATAAAAAATGAATTAAACAATTATCTTAAAAACTAATAACGACTGGTAAATATTTATGGCAATAATTATACTTCAAGTATGAAATAATTTTTTTCATAATAAAGAGAGCAATATTATTTTGTAGTATATTTTTTTTATCATTTAGGGATCAAAATTATTATATAGATATTATATATGTACTATATCTGAATAATGTTTATTTTTAGTTTTTATATTAAATTTAAGGATGAGTAAAATTACATGCCATTAAAGAACCTACACATGACTTACAAGAACCATTTAGTTTGTAATATATATTTTACAAATTTTTTCATGGAAAATGTGGAAGAGTGTTTAATAATAGTACAATATTTCGCCGGACACCTTATTCATTTATGTCCATGCTTATTCTTCTTAGATCTTAAGAATTCCAACACTTCCTTCGAGGAAGCCTGTCTGGCGGAGGAGCCGCCGGGTCTACACATGTAGCGAGGGAAGGTCTTGAACAAGTTTTTTTCTTCGGCATCTCTCAATAATGTATGCCATTGTTCGTGTTTCTGTAAAAAGGAATATCAAATTATAAAATAGATATTTGTTTGTGAGTAATGTGAAATGTCCTCCTGGTTGTATCTCTAAGATAACGAAATAAGCAGTTGTAAATAAACTAAGAGGTTGATTGAGATGTTGACACGAATAATCAAAAATAACGATCGTCATTTAAAGTTATTTTGATATTTTTTTTTTGCAATTATATTATTTTCCCAAGCATACCTTACTAAATATTTATCTAAGTAAGAACAATTTTAGGAATAATAAGACATGACCTAAGTGAATTATTCTCAGTATTATTTAAGCGACTGTAGTGTTTCCAGTAGTGCGAGCAAAAGGAAGTGAATTTCAAGGAAAACCTGTAAAATGGACTTTGGGGATATTATTGTTTTGGAGACAGAGGCCGCCAGAAGAGTCCGCGATGAACGAAGAATTCATCGGCGGAATCTCCGAGATCGAAGTAACCCCTTCGATTTAGGAGATGAAGAATTCCGAATTTACTTTAGAATAAATAAGGAAATTGCCTTAATTTTAACTCGCTCTCTTGAGGGCGATATAAGAAGGAGCCGGTCTCATGGACTGCCAGTACATATTGTAGTAAGTAATTCTTCAATCTTCAATTTCAACTATGTAATGAGTTACACTATAGTACGCGAAATAAATTGTTTCAGATTGTGGTTGCAGTGCGTTTTTATGCCGTTGGTAGCTACCAACGGTGTGTTGGCCAAGATTATAATATTGTATTGGCACAACGAACGGTCAGTAAGGTCGTTAAGGAGGTGTCGCATGCCATTGTGCACAGACTCCTCAATGTTTATATTAAATTCCGTAGCACAGCTGAGGAAAGATCTAAAGTTGTGCAAGGTTAGCGAAGAGGACGCGTCCGACAGAGCGAAGTGGAAGAGAAAGACCAGGAAGGCAGACCCCACCATCAGATGGGAATAATAATTGCTACGGAGAGAGAGGAGAGCACAGCTGAGGAAAGGAGGGCTGCGCTAGCGGGTTTCAGGCTGCACATGGCTTGCCAGATTGTTTGGGGTGTATTGACTGCACACACATAGCTATTGTCACACCTCATAACAATGATGCTAATGACCCACCTATAGGGTACAAAAACCGAAAAGGTAATTATTCTATTAACACTCAATTTGTAAGTGTACCTAAGTACTTAATTTTTTTCGCAACATGACTACAAATATTTTTTCTTTACACCTATTTTCCTTATGTAAGGCTTGCTTGCTACCCCACCATAGTGTGATATTAATTTTTATTAATCTTATGTATACCTATCATAACAACATATGGTTAATTAAATTGCTATACTCAAAAACTTAATAAAGGAGAGAGCTGGCAACATCTATGAATGATAAATGAATGAAATATATTATTTAACTGACGTTGCCAATTTTTATATCGTTAAAATAAAGCGCTCGACAAGCCTCGATAAACATATCGAAGCGAGTTCCATGCTACCATGCCTCGTTAAAATTCGATAAGTATATCGATTTATCGTCTCGATATGTTTATCGATCAAAGATCCGTGCTCGCACCACAGGCTTGTGGTCGGAAGTGTATGTGTCGGTAGTGAACTAGTGTCGTACATCTACAGCGTTCTTATAGAGGCACAGTATGAGCATGTGTCTGGCTCGTGTGAGGAGCACGTTCATCCGTCCCGCGTGTGCCAGGAAGCCGACCCCCTGCCTCCTGCCCAGGGACACCACCACCAGGTCCCGCTCCTGACCCTGGAAACTGTCCACCGTGTTCACCTCCACGCCACGACCACACCTGAGGCACAGATATTATACAGTTATTTATGGTATTATTACACTAAATTATAGATAATTAAATTTATATGTATTCACAAAGATTTAGTGACTTTTATAATAAATGAAATGTGTTTATAAGAGTAAAGTACGTTTTAAATTATAAAAATGATAATCTATTACGTTTTTCCGCATTGGACGGCAAGTTAAAATATTAAGGTCAATGGATAGGTACATACATTTTAGAATATTTATACTAGTGAGCTATATAGACCTCCATTACACAGTCGCGGTACTCACTCGTCTAGTTCCAGCAGGTACTTCCTCAGCAAGTCTCTGTGCGCGACGTACGGTGTGATGATGGCCACGGACAGCTGCGGCTGGTGGGCTCGAGCCGCCGAGTACACCGCCAGCGCCACCCGGGCCGCGCCCCACGCCTCGTCTGTATAAATATTTATAGTGTTTACTTTGTTTATAATCTTCTTCTACCTGGCAATTTCCCAGCTTTAGCCAGGGTCTGCCTTACATGTTGTGAATAGTTTTGGCTAATTGTTTTTTTTACAACCGCCCGCCTGCCTGACATCAACCCTCTTAAGAAATGCATTGATCAGTGATGTCTAAATACTCTTAGAAAGTACATATGACTCAGAAAAATCACATTGGTAGGTGCCAGGACCAGGATCGAACCCGCGGTCTCATGGATGAGAGGCGGGCATTTTAACCTCTAGGCCACCACTGACTAAACTGTTTATATTATTTAAAGATAACTAAAGGTTTCGTTTACGTCGAGATGTGAGGGTCGCTGTTAAGACAATAGATATTGTTATCCACCGGGAGCGACGTCTGTAGCCCGTCACTTGAGTCCATGAAAACTATGACTGTTATGACGTGATGCCGCTGTTCACGGAACTGCACGGAATTCACGAATATACTCTAGCCTATATCTTTTCCTGATGTGTGAGCTATATCACTGGAAGGTTTCATTAAAATACATTCAACACTTTTTGCATGAGACAGGAACAAACATCCTGACGAATTTTCGCATTTATAATATCAGGGTGCTATGTAATAAGTAATGTGACCTACCATGTTCACTGCCCGGTATATCCAGTATGCAGTAGGGTGGTAGGTGTAGCGAGGGTGTCGGCGGGGGTTCGGACTGCACCCTCCCCCCATAGAAGGCTCTGTTGGGGTAGTCGGCGATGGCGGGGTGCATCCTGTACTGTCGGTCCAGTAACACTAGCGGCCGTCGTTCCCAACACGCACTGTACTCGGCCAGCCTCGAGAACAGACTCCTGTCCAGACCGTGGGTCTTGGCTCGCTGTTGATAGATCAGATAGAATGAATTATTGGTTACTATTACACTCATAAATACATAACAACTGGTTACAGAGCTTTGCTCGGTATTTAGGAATTATTTGTATTTATTTTGTGTTTTTTTTTTCATTACGTTTAGGCATTTTGATTTTTCGAGCCGATTCCGAGATTCCAATAATATATACATATATATACACAAGACTTGCTCATTTAAAGATACAAGATAAGATAAACAACAGAAAATAGTATTTAGTGAATAAGAGATTGACATTAGTTGCTATTTTATTAAAAAAACTTTGAAGAGGGGGTTAGAGATTAAATGTCTCTTATGTCTACCTTCAGAATTACAGGAGGCCTTGTTTAATGAGGATAAAATGTATCAGAACTACGACGACGTCAGTGTTACAGTATATGAAAGTATTTGCAAAATAGTTTAGGTTTCATAAGCCGGTATTTGTTGTAACGAATGTATATACAGGTAAGTAGACCTATATTCCCGTTTAAACTTGTATGAAATCGATTAGAAGCGTTGCAGAACCTCACTCATACACATACATATATCTTTATATTTATATAATTCTTCTGTGAGTGTGTATGTCACTGAACTTCTCTCAAACGACTGGACCGATTTTGATGAAATTTTTTGTGTGAGTTCAAGGGGATCTGGGAATGGTTTAGATTCACAATCTTGTCCGCTGGACAATGACTTTTTGATTGTTTTTTATTTATTAGTAGTTGTTGATACAAACGTTTTTTGACATTAGATTTGACAACTAACTAATATGTCAATCATTCTGTCGCACTTCAAAACATGGAGATTTATGGCTTTAATAGGTAAACTCCAAAAATATAAATAAAAAAACGTAACAGATATTTCTAGATTATAGGGCTTTACGAAGTTCGCCGGGTCTTCTAGTATAGTATATTATATCTGGTTCACCTCTGAACGGATGTATCCCGGTAGTTGCTGCGGGTCTCCCACGAGCGTCATCTTGTTGACTCCCAGCATCAGAGGCAGCAACGATTCGGGTTCAATGGCCTGACCCGCCTCATCCACTATACAAAGTTCGATAGCTCTCAACCTGGCAACGAGTACTATGTTGAAGTCAGATTGAAATATTTTTAGGTTGAAGGTCAAATGTATCGGTGATATACGGTCTGGAGATATAGTTATGAGAAATGTTCAGTAATTAATAATTATATACTAAAATAGGTGCGAATGATGACTGTCATGACATTGATTAAAACTTGTTATATTATATAGGAAAGATATATATTAAATGTGTTCACCCCCGCATCTTGTGGTTGACTGAGCTGGCGAGGGTTGTGGCCACGATGTCGGCTTCTTCCACCAACCGACGCTCAACATCCATCAAACGGCCGGGACGGACGTCGCCACCGCGCAGCTACACACACACACACACACACACGGTATACACAAAATGCGGTCTAAATGACATGCTATACACAAAAAATTATTAATTTGTATGAAAGTCGGGGATTATATGAGTACAAAAACAAGCAGTATAATAAATCTACCAGTTCTATCTGTCTAGCGAAGTACTTGGCGCGGTCGTGGCAGTAGGCGGCCCTGGCCGGGTCGGTCGCCTTCTCAGCCTTCCATCTATCGATTATGGCTTGATTACGAGCAATCTACGACATAACGAACACACTGTATACAAGATGTCTGCTCTGTGATCAAATTATACATCGTGTTATTTGTTAAATATTCTGCATATTAAATATATAACCCCCACGTATTAACTGTGCACCTCGTTCTGTGACGTCATTAGAACGTTACCGCTTGCAAAAAAATCTGAGAATTATATAAAAAAAATATAAATTATATTTTTTTTATGTTGATAAAGGGTCGTTTTTATTATAAGGAGTCATAATACTAGGTCATTTTACTCACGAAGTTTTCCAATTAAATCGATACATATGGACCGATATGATAATACAGCTTAACAATAAAAAAACGGCAAGTGGAAGCTAGATTTTTTATTGCGGTGATATTTTTCATAGTCTTAGATCATTTTTCTATTTAATAATAAGTAAATGTGACTATAATAACAACAAGAGAGTTAAACTGTATTTATACTATTAAAACGAGGCACGCTCAACGGTAACAAATATGCTATCGCTACTGAGCGCTTACGGCGAATGCGGGGCGCCACGTGGGGTATCGGGAGAGGGGTCGCATTCCAGAGAAGTGCACAGTTAATTCGTAGGGGTTATACTATCAGTGTGTTCCAGTCAGCCAAGAAAAGGCTGATGGTTTTTCTTTTCATTCATGCATAAAACATATTAAACTCTAATTAATGTTCGCCTATGTTTGTTATTTTCTTGTGTAAGGTCAGAAAGCGTATTTTTGTGTGTGTTCACCTCCTTAGTGACGTCACTATCATCTTCTCTCCGCGCGTGTTTGTGAGCCAGCGTCTGTGTGCTGACGTCTCTGACGTCACGGTGCATGGACTCCAGACGTCCAACACGGACTAGACGGAAACGTTCTTCTACAAATAAACATCTTTATACATATTCTTTTATTTACTGTTTTTTCAATAGTGACTGAATATTCGCCTGAATGACCGATAGTAAACCTTTTCGGAGGTGGAATGAGTATTGGTGATGAACACACTCTTTCACAAACTTATTCACTCCTACCCTTTAAGACATCCAATTTGTAAAATTGGGAGGAACTGTGCTTCATATGGAACTATTCCTATCTTTTGCTGACTTATGGTTTTATAGACAAAGCAGCTGTCCGGTATGAAACATTGACGTACTTTATCGAGAATCAAAATTGAGGTTTGGGAATATCTTAATGCCTTATAACTGAAGGCAGAGTTTGTGTTTTCCAAGGATACGTTTCGAAAAGTTTAGTTTGAAAAGTTTATGGCCGTGAAAAGACTAATTTCTAGGTGCACCTTGAGCGATGAGCATTGCAATGGCTGCTAAGATTTATTTTATTTACTGTCATATTTGAAGGAAGCAACTTTATAGCCAAAAACAACTCACAGCGGCGAGTAGAAGTTACATCTGTTTCTATATGTATTCTTACCTTCCACTAGTGTATTTCTCAAGTTTAATAACCTGATAACCAGCTCGTCGACAGCCGCGTTGCTTGTCGCACAAATCAATATCTTGCCCCTTTTACTTTGCTTTTTCATTGAATTTCCATAGAAGTACGCCATCACGATAGAGCATATCACTTTAGACTTTCCTTAAAAAAAAAGATAAATATGAAACATGAATAACAGACCAAAAACGCTGAGCGTTTTGCAAAAATTTTGTAACGCTGGGTGCGGTCTTATTTTAGATGAGTGACCGAAGGCAGGAAATAAAAAAATAGACTTGAAATATTTAACACGTCAGACATTTGCTCAAAATTGTAACAAAATACCTTTTAAATCATACATTTCGAAGCAGACGCACTGAATAGTCAAGTTATGTCTTATGACCGGTAAAGTCGTATTTAATTAGGTAAAGAAACAAATGCCTTAACAACGAAACTATCCAAGATAGAGTTTATTACCGGTCCCCGGCGGTCCTTGGATCATTCTCAACACTGGCTGGGAATCAAGAGCGGCGCTAACAGACTCCGCTACGGCACGCTTCTGGCTGTCGTTCAACGACGCCGTCCACTGAAATGACAAACATAATAAAACACTAACGAAAGGAAAATTAATTAAAATCTTTATAGATAATATATGAATAATACGGAACACTTGAGAAATCAATTTATTATAGTACGATGTGAAAATTATTGATAAGAATGCGATAAGAAGTTTGAATCGTGTTTGATATACTGTGATGAATAGTTGGTGTCATATCTTGATGGCTTTTTATCGGCTTAGGTAGAGAGAGGAGTTTTAACGATGGAAATAAGCGTTCAGCACGAATTCCATAAGTACCCTTAAACCTACACCTGATTCGCAAGTCCCAGGCACTGTTAAGGCTTTAATTGCTTTAACGACACAACAGCAGATGGCGTTGTTAAGTAACAGGAAGTCAATGAGTGTTTGTTTTGAGTTTAGACTAAGAAATAAATTGTTTAGTTATAAGATTAGTGAGCTAATTACTTAATATACCTGTGATTCTGTGAATTTGAACTTATTTCTATCAATATCAGTATACTGCGAGGGTTCAGGTTTCAATATAACATCTCTTAAAGGTGATTTCTCCAATAGTTCCATAGCTTCAAACATTGCTAATTTTTTATGTATATAAGTTATGTTATCTCCAGTCAATTCATCGCCAGGTTGTAAGCTCTCAAACAGATCAGAGTAAGTAACGTAGCATGATAGAACAATTGTTTTTCTATCTGAAAATTGTAAAACTTTTATATATAATAATTTAATTTATATCACAACGTGTATATCATATAAAACTTACTGTATGAGGATATATGATCGATTTTATGTATAAAGCAAAATTTTAGTTTGTATGAATTTTCCTTATCACATTTCCTGCATTTTAATATCATTATGTCACCATGCCGGGGCACCAGTTTCATGTTGATAGTGGACATTAACACTGAAAGGATTATATTTAAATTTACTGCCTCATTATATATGATAACAGATTAAGTAATATTGGTGTACAATAAGGACTTCACTGATAACACCTCTTTAGAATGTTACATTGATATAAAACATACATATATAAGTATATATGAATAGTGTGTTCAATTAATATGATATACTTACTTTTAACAGTTATGGTAAATAACGCACAAGACTTCTCCTGAGGTGGCTTGGGGGGTAAAGTTTCAATTTGAAGATTTATATATTTCCTTTCCTTCAGATACTCCTGTGTGAGACATTCCCATATTTCTATGAGTAATAAATTTTCCATTTGTCTACAAATAAAGTGAAAGTTATAAAAAAAAACACTCGAGACGGATAAAAATATGAATGATATTAATTTTGCTATAACATTTATTGTTTCTATTTTTACCGACTTCTAAAAAGGAGGTTGTCAATTTGAGTGTATATTTATTTATATTTGTTATTCTATGTCAATTCAGACTTTGACATTGTTATAATTTAAAACCATTTTTATATCTACTTAGCGTTAGAGGAATGTTAATATATATAAATTAATGTAAAAATTTGATACATTTTAAAGGGCTTTATTATTCATACCTCACATAGCGCTTATAGTTGTCGAATGATAAAAATAATGTCAGAGGTGCATTTTCATCACTTAATATAGGAGGCGGTATTGTTGTTTGTTTTTGTTCCTCAAGCCAACTAGGGTTCCATGTGAGGATCTTCATAAGAACTTTCTTTTTTAGTGACAAACACACTCGTGGATTATCTAGTACTGGCCTTTGATTTTGCTTGGCAATGCTAATGTTGTCGACATCCTTATTATGCACCACTGCGGAAGTCTTATGGCTGTTTCTCATATTTATATCTGATGTATCTTTGGGTTCAATATTTTGTATAACTTTATTATGAGCTATTCTCTTTTTGGCACTTTGCATTACGTGGGGTTCGATAATTTGAATGGGATTTTTTGATTTTGAAAAAAGGTTTTATTTTATTATACTTCTTGTTATTTACTTGTTCAATCTCCGGTAGTGTAGGAATATCTTTAGAGTTCTGTGTTTTGTCTGTACTTATACTATTTGTACTATTTTCATGTATTTTTGAATTAACGATAGACTCTATTATCACAGGACGAATTTCTTTTTCACATATTTCTTTAAGTTTCTGTCTCCTTTTCTTTTTTTGAGAATCTGTTAGAGTGGGTTTCTTCAGAGAATTAGATTTCTTTTTCTTAGATTTTGTTTTTTTTACTTCATCCTTTGATTTTTCTGAAAAACAAAATCAAATTAAATTGAAAAAAAGAAATTTATTAATAGTATAATGAGATTCAGTAACTTACTTGTAGCTTGTTCAATCTCCGGTAGTGTAGGAATATCTTTAGAGTTCTGTGTTTTGTCTGTACTTATACTATGTGTACTATTTTCATGTATTTTTGAATTAACGATAGACTCTATTATCACTGGACGAATTTCTTTTTCACATATTTCTTTAAGTTTCTGTCTCCTTTTCTTTTTTTGAGAATCTGTTAGAGTGGGTTTCTTCAGAGAATTAGATTTCTTTTTCTTAGATTTTGATTTTTTTACTTCATCCTTTGATTTTTCTGAAAAACAAAATCAAATTAAATTGAAAAAAAGAAATTTATTAATAGTATAATGAGATTCAGTAACTTACTTGTAGCTATGGTCTTACTTAGTATTGAAGCAGATACTTTAGAAGTAGGAATTATTTTTGATGATTTTTCTTCAATTCTTTTTTCTTCTGAACTTGTTTCTGCTATACTTTTTGGTTCATGAGATTCTTTGTTGTCTCCACAATATATATTAATTTCTTGTATTTGTGATTTTGTCACTGTATTTGAATTATTATCAATTTGTTCGAATGCTTGAAGATTAATATTTTTAGATGGTCTGTTGTAAATAACAATGTCATCGTGATCACTGTTTTTTATTTCATCAAAAACAATACATTGTTTGTTTGTATCATCCTTTGGTAATTCTTTATATGGTGTTTTTTCTAGTTGTTCAGGTTCATTTATTTCTTCAACTTCATCTGAGTCTACTTCAATAGCATCATCTGGTTGACTGTAGCTAAAATTTTCATTGGAGCTATCTTCTTTTTCCATTTTTATTGGAGGATTTTGTAAACTTTCTGATATTCTCACGTATCTATGCTCGTCTTCGTAATCACTGTCACTAAGTATAATTTCAGGTTCCTCATTAATAATATAAAAATCTTGTTTATTTTTAATTAAACCTTGTTGCAAATTATCGTTTTGATCATCAGTTAGGTTGATGAAATTTGGTTCAAGTTTTGATTTTCTGGCTTCAAGACTAGTAATAGCTGTTCTGTTTATCATTTCACCAGCATTGCTAGCATTTGAACTGTTTTCGCTATTTTGACCATATTCTACAATGCTTACACTGGGAATATTTTCTATTGTATCTAATTTACGTTTTAAATTCGTTTTAGGTGGAACATTTTTGATTAGTTTGTAAACATGCTTCTCATGGTCCTTTATATTTCCTTTTGGAGCTACGGTTGCCCAACCAAAGCCTATAATGTCATTATTATTTAGAATATACGGGGTTCCTGGTGGTATTTTCTTTTTCCCCACATACACACCATTGGAGCTCTAGAAAATGAAAAACAGAAATTATAACTTCTGCACCATAATATTTATTTGGTGAGACCAAAATATTTATTTGGTGAGACCGAGTTCCAGTAACAATTCATAAAAAAAATTGTCATTAATTTTAAAGATAATAAATAAAAAGTGATGATAGAGGGAAATATTTAATGTGAGTTATTTTTATTGATTTGTTTTGTATTCTGAATCCAAGTTAAAAACATGTTGCAACTTTGTAATCTGGTAAAGCTAAGTAAGAAATTAACAAAGAGTAAGCAAAAATATCTTAAAAGAAACTCAAAATGACAAGATTTAAATATCTTGTGTATAATAATTAATTTTTCAATATATGTAATGTCGGAAAGAAGTATAAAAAATGTATTTGTTTGTGAAATAAATGTTCTTCATTGATTACCACTAAAATGTTTAGAAAGTCAAAGAGAAGTAATTAAGTCCTTCATTAAAAAATATATATTTTCTTTGCTAACACAAATAAAAACAATTGTTTTCAGGTGAGATTACAAAGATAAATAAAATAAATGAAGAAAATAATAATGCTGAAATAATCAGATTATTTTTAATTTATAATAGTAAATATTATATATATAACGGCTTACCTTCAAATCGGTGATAACCACTTCATCCTGGTTGACAGAAATTAAGCAATGGTTTTTGGATACAATTATACTTCTAAATTTTATCGTATTATTTACACCCCTGCCAATTGTTACTTCACCGTCTTTTAATTCAAATTCATCATTTCCAAAAGTTTGGCGGCACAACTTCCACTTAGACATTTTAAATAATAACTAAACGACCATATCTCAGTTCATATACTAATAAGGCACTATAAATGGCAATCCATAATTAGTCGCTCTATTATTTCGATAAGTATTTCCGCTTTAAATTAAAAAAATGTCACATTTATCAAAACATTTAATATAATTATCCTCTTACCAAACATTTGCGTCAGACCACTAACTGTCATGTTTATAGTAATACATTGAATATATTAAACTAGCTTTTGACCGCGACTTCGTCCGCATGGAATAGTGACTTCCGGCAGATTTTTGGTTCCTCCCACATAGTTCCTGTTCTTGCGGGGTTTTCGGAATGGTCGAATTCCCGTAGAATTTTCAGGATAAAATCTATGTTTTTTTTATTCACCATGAAGTACTCTTTACCAACAACATATTTATTTGTTTATTTGAATAAAGATTAATATTATTATGTTGATACAACTTAAACAAATTATTTCGACCAAATTAGGTACCATTAAAACGGTTTTTGTGAGTTAATCTTAAAAGATAGACATATACTGTCCCGGACTGTTTTTTAGATCATTAAAAGAGCTATTATTCTTTTATGCATATTTTTTGTGTATCTTGAACCGTTTTCACGGCGCACGCAACGGAAGGCTTCAAAGATGAAATAATTTCTCCCGTTTTTTACACATTTACCAGTATATCTTTGCTTCTATTGGTCGTAGCGTGATGTTATATAGCTCAAAGCCTTCCTCGACAACTGGACTATCCAACACAAAAAGAATTATTCAATTCGAACCAGTTGTTTCGGAGATTAGCGCTTTCAAACAAACAAACAAACAAACAAACAAACTCTTCAGCTTTATAATATTAGTATAGATAAATGCAGGTTTTTACCCACCCTTCGCACTTAGAAAATTATACTTAATTCTTAAATTTTTTAGCAATTTTTTTAAATAATCATTTTTAAAGCCAAAATTGTTACTAGCTTTAACAGTTCTACATCTATTGAACGACTTTTTTGTTCGATGTTGAGATTTTTGTATTTTTTATACTTTTATTAACTTTTTAAAAATTTAATTGAGTATTTAAATACATTTTTATTATTTTATACTAACATACTGCCAGTGATCAGGGCTCCTGTAAAGGAACCGAAACGTTTTGTTTATCTTATAGATAAAATTCTCGTATCGCGGTGTTAGACAGAGAACTCCTCCGGAACGGCTCGACCGATTTTGATGATTTTGTGAGCATATTCAGTAGCTCTGAGAATTTGCTAACATCTATTTTTCACACCCTTAAGTCATAAGGGTTGTTCACCCCTAATTTTTTTAATATTCTGGACGAAATTTTATGTTATTATTTTTTTATAATGTAGCATTAAAAATACATCCAACCCAATTTTTTTTCTTAATTATCACCAAACCATATTTTTTTATATCGCAAAAAAACGTTTGCCGGGCCAGCTGGTATATCTTCTTCTTCTACCTGGCAATTTCCCAGCTATAGCCAGGGTCTGCCTTGCATGTTGTGAATAGTTTTGGCTATTTGTTTTTACGACCGGCCGCCTGCCTGACATCAACCCTCTTTGGGAATCAACATTAATCAGTGATGTCTAAATACTATTAGAAAAATCACATTGGTACTTGCCCGGGCCAGGATCGAACCCGCGCCCTCGAGCTTGAGAGGCGGGCCTCTTAACCACTAGGCCACCACTGACTGTCACCCTGGTATATACATATATAAAATAATACAAATCGCGTAATAACAAAAAAACCTAGTTTAGTTTAAATGTATACTGGCGCAAATCTTAGATATCATCAACTTTTTTATTCCTATTTTGTTCGTTTCACTATGACTATTCATATTATCAGGATTTTTAATAAAAATGTTGCATAGCGGCTGCAGGGGCTTATCGAAAGATTTTTACTTTAACGTCCGCCCATCTTTTTACACTGTATATAAAACTTAAACGTCAACTACACCGTGAAGGCACATTAAAAACCTTCCGGGAATTATTCTTGATGTATTTCTAGGATAGTAGAGATTAGAGAGGAAGTCTTTTGATGATCTATATTGAGTGATCATCTTGTCTGCCCGTGATCATGGTGGCTGAAAAGTAACTGAAACCTCGGAAGTATGTAGTTTTAACACGAATAAAATTCGCGAAATATATATTTTATCCGAAAAATATATATATTTTTCATACGATATAAATAATAGGGACTAACTATTTTAAACTAGTAAAACTATTAGCGTTAACGATATTTAGAAAAAAAGAGATATTTTACATATGTAACTAGTGAAAATTTCAAATGTACTTACAGAGTTTTTTACATAAAATATTTAATTAGTGTAGAAAAACGAAATAATGTAAATTGTAATTGTATTAAGTAAGACTAGTAAATTAGTAAGTACACATAATTTGTATCTTAATGATAAATAATAATTCGAAGTGATTAACATAATTTATCACGTTTATTTATGTCGAACCGTTTATTTAACACAATAAAAATAGACACACAGTTACATAAAAGGGAAAATAAGGCAAATACAAACAGATGCGACTCAATCTTACTCCATGAGCGCGCGAATGGAGTCTACAAGACGCACGACCGTTCCCTTTCGTGTCCTATTTCGCACTGAGAAAGGGGTTTTACCGCGGGGCGGGGAACGTTCAGGCGTCTTGTACGTATCTAGCGGGAACACGACGCTCGCGCAATGGCCTTGAATATTGTTGAGGCGCTACAAACTTCTACTTGTCTTGATTTAATGTTAGTCTTGCCATATCATAAAATTTCCAGTCGAAACCTTGTCTCTCTCCACTCTTGGGGTAAACAGCTAGGTCACTATGCTTATTCTACGCTTTTCTCATTTCTTATTTAATAATACGCGTTTTATACGCGCAAAACCATGGGTTGCAATACAATAGTAAAAATTCAGAGATTATGGTATTTGAGACTAGGGGTAAGAAAATGGAAAGCATGCCTCGGGTAAAAATAAACGGAGTACCATTAAAGCGAGTCTCAACTCTCAACTTTCAAATATCTCGGTCATGTCCTAACTCCTAGTCTCAGTGACGACTCTGATATTGAACGCTAGAGGAGGGCGTTGTCGATAAGGGCAAATATGTTGGTTCGCAAGTTTGCGCTGTGCTCAATGAACGTGAAAATCGCTCTCTTGCAAGCCTATGGCACCAACTTTTACACGTGCCGCTTGTGGGCCAAATATACGCAAAAGTCGTACAACGCTCTTAGGGTTCAATACAACGCGTTCCGGGCGCTGGTGGGGCTGCCTCGTTACTGCAGCGCATCAGGGATGTTCGCAGACACTAAAGTCAATTGTTTCTTTACGACTATGCGAAAGAGATGCTCGTCTTTGGTGTGCAGGGTGCGGAGTAGCCCCAATAGCATTTTAAGAATGATTGCTGATCGGTTGGACTGTATATATGTACGTGTAACGTGAATCGCTGCGGGGCCATATCTCACGGGATGGTACAGTGGTGATTCGCGTATGTGGGGCTCAGCCGATCAGCTAATTTACAAATGAATTAATTGATTATTATATTTTAAGAATTTATGTATTATTATTTTTATTAACAATTTATGTACTATTTTTTAAATGAGTCATTGTTACTTGATTATAGAAATAAATAAATAAATAAAATAAATACTGTTATGTTTGAAGTTTTATGAATGAAAAACTATTGATGCTTGCCAGATGTTGCCAGATTTCAAATCCGCATTTTTATTTATAGTGGTGCCTAATATATTAATTTAATTTGCTTATTGTAAGTACCATTTATTATTAAACTGTTTCAGGTTATAACTGTTTCATTAATATAATATTATAAAACCATTAAAAATTGTAAAGCTTAGTCGTAGCGGTCTCCGTCGCCCTGTTGGCTGTAATACAGTCCTTTAAACGTTGAATATAGTTATTATAAGTATATAGACTTTCTATGGGAATATTAGAAAGGCAAGCGTACCTACAGATTGATTTTGGGGTTCCTAACTATTATGTTAAATCAAACTCAACAGTAAAACTAATCATACATGATAGTGTAGTGTATTGAGTTCCGGTCTTAATGACCATTCCACAAATCTGAACATTTGTGTCCAAACAAGATGAATTTATTCGAGATTTATGCTTTTTACGAGTCTTATTGAAAGGACCATTTTTGGTTATTGAGTTGGGTCACTGCCTTTTCAAGATTTTCAAGATTTTGTGCCGATGTTTTGATAGTTTGATAGCTCTTACAAAAACTGCTGAGTCACTTCTTATAACGCACACCTCACTCAAATACTCTGTTGATTTATAGATTCTGGAAGCTGCTTTAAAGTTTGCAGAATATATATATATATATATATAGAAACTTGGCCCTTATCATGATTATTTCCTTGTTTTATAATGGCGTAGGTTGACGGGCAATAGGAAAACAATTGACATTTGACGTATAGGTTACCGACGTTATAATTCAAACTATTATTTATATTAGCACATACTACAATTAACTACACTCAATAACCATGGATCAATTACAACGTTCGTATTCAGTATTAATCGAAATCACACGACGTTCCGCGGACAACGTGGTGTCTGCCTCATACAGCGGATCAATCCGCAGATCTTAGTACCATACATCCTGTTCCCCGAGTTACGTCAAGCGGGCCGTCACTTCTTTTCGTTAGTGACGTTCGCTTTTACTAAATAGGTCCTATTATCTATCGTAAATATAATCAATTTAATTTCTAAAATCACAAATGCGCCGTCATATATATATATATATATCTATATATATAATATTGTTCAATTGTAAAAATTATGCGATGCTTAAAAGAATACCTCGTTTGCGTATCGATTTTAAACAGTTGTTTTGAATCAATCAAACTATACTTTTTAAATTATCAATTAAGAAACTACTAGAGCGTCTGTAAAGACTGCGAGTCACTTATAAAATAGACATAATTCTAAGTACTTCATCTTCCGTGATAAAATATTTTGATTTCTGACAAGATTTTATAATATCTTCCCGCCAAAATAAAAAAATAAAAATAGACACACTACAGACAATCGTATATAAAATAAATGATTCCAAATTCAAAATTAATTTGAATTGTAACAGTTTATGCAATATTAAGTAGTTGACATACGATAATAAGCACAAAATCTCTCAGAAATAAATAATATAATAAAAACTTAAGTACATAATAAGTAATAACTGTTGAATTTCTTATTGATGGCTGATTCATCCATCATGATGGCACAAACCCATGAACGGTTCTAAGTAATTTAACACCATGAATGTCATTTATTAACTTTGAATAACATTTTTATGTTCTGTTGTAGATTACAAATCAAATTAACATAATTTTCATGGGTTACAAGTTATTGCATATGCTAATAATATTATTACAGTCTAAATCTTATGTGTATGTTTGATTTCAAAGCTCATATTTCTACGTAAAGTGAGATTGCCTTTTAAATTTATAAAAATGTTTTACAACGGTCATAAAAACTCAATGAATGTGAATTTTGTTCTATCTCCAAACGTTAAACAGTAAAATTTATGGCTTGAATTTGGTCTTTGTTTTATTTTTTAGATAGGAATCCAGTAACATCATTATTTAATTTTTTTTTCTTGTATACCTAATATTTTTTTTGTCATGAATTACATACATCTTTATATATATAATTCTTCTGTGAATGTGTATGTCACCGAACTTCTCTTAAACGACTGGACCGATTTTGATGAAATTTATTTTGTTCTACCTCAATTGAAATTTATTTTGTTCTACCTCAGATATTTGTTCTACCTCATCTTTGAAGTCGGATAAAAGTTAGCTCTGACGGCGTGCTTCGAAATCAGATCGATGTATCACAAAAAATGTTTTAAAACAAATGATAAAATAGTTTCTTTTTTTGGAATAGTTATTGATTAAGATAGTGTTATAAGTGATAGCAATAAAGATGAAATGTTATGATAACTATCTGTGAATAGTGAGATGACGGAAATTAGTCAAAAATCACAATAAATTAAAAATATAACGGCGCTACACAGCTATTGGTTCAACGTTTAATATTTAGTGACAAAACCAGCGTGAGCCGATATAACGCCGATTTTATTTAGCTTAATTCGTATCAGAGTATAAAAAAATCAGATTCAAGTAATAAAGCATTGCCTTTTAAAATATTGACTGTGTTTTCAAAATATCTCCACTTAGATTTCGTTGAAATTCTAAAGTATTATGTAGAAAACTATGTTTCTTGAGGAATGTTATTATTTTTATAATAAGACACAATAATATGTTGACATTTATCTGATTGATAACTTTTCTTTGTAAATAAAAAAACTCAGTCGAAAATCCGATTGTTATAGTAAGTTATATGGGCTTATATTTTTGTAACAAACATTCATACATATGATAGTCATTTTGTTTATGTGTTATGTATCTATGTATTATATGATGTACCACGAGTGTAGTACGTTGTTTAGTTACATTGAGCCGGACAGACATACAAATATTTTATTATTCTGATTAAAATTCGTCACCAAGTGTTCCATACATGTTATGCACGTAGCATTTATATTTATTTCCTGTTCTTCTTTCGACGTCATGTATTTCTAGTTGTTAAGGTGATATAATTATTTACTTAGACCTATCTCTTAGTTATTATTAAAGGTACTGTTAAATATTTTTTTTGTTAATTACCATGAAAATATGTTACATTATGAAAGGGTAAGAATACTCTCCCACACAAATATTTTTCTTAATAATTGATGCAAGCGTTTTGCTGAAATGGATAAAAAAACATCTTATTATAATGTTCTGTTTTATTTATTACCTTTCTGGGTGACGTAGTCAGAAATGTTGAACGCTAACTTTCCTGCATTGTCATGACCTACCCCAGTCATATAACATGTTAGACGTTAATTTATGATTTGAATTAGATAATATCTAATATAAAAAGAAACAGCGCTCACTCACTTATAATGGATGTGAATTTTCAGAAAACGGTTTAAGAACGGTTTTTAATGCTCTTCTAGTAGTATTGTTATAAGTTACTGTGGAATTTATATATATATAAAAATGAATTGCTGTTCTTTGGTCTCACTAAAACTCGAGAACGACTGAACGGATTTATCTTACCATAGTCTTGAAATGTTCGTGGAGGTTCAGGGAAGGTTTAAAAGCTGAATTTTTTTTATTAATTTCCGGGAAAACCCTAAAAACAGCGCTTTTTTATTTCCCATACAAACGGTTTTTTGACATTAGATTTGACAACTAACAAATAGGTTAATCATTTTGTCGCACTTCAGAACACGGAGATTTATGGCTTAAAGGTAAACTCCAAAAATATAAATAAAAATTATTTATTTATTGATCGAGGCAGTACGAAGTCTGCCGAGTCAGCTAGTAGGAAATAAATTTATTTGTTTGTCTAAACTTGATATTAATTAAAGGGAATTCATTGAGTTGACTTTAAAATCCTAATTGAATAGAAAAAAAATGCTAGTTAATTGAGAAGTGAGTTATTGTTTTTTAATACATATATATAGAAATTTATTTCCATATTATACTTTATAGAAAAAGTACCTGGAGCCTGTTATTCTGTTGCATATAAGAATATGTAGGAAAGCATTTGTTAGTTTTGGATGCAAGTGAAAATCAGATCAAAGTTTAAAAGAAATAAAATATAAAAATATAGATTTGAGTTAGGTTAGACAGAACTTTTTTTTTATTTGCTTAAGAATGCTTAACATTCGTATGATAGAAATTACGTATCTGTCCAACGAGTTTGAAGAACATCGATCCGGTGTAACTAAAAACAAATGAGGCTAAGGAAACTTAAAAAACAATTAAATAACGATGACATACTGTTTTAAATATTTAACAATCTTCTAAATTAATATTAATAAAAAATAACATTTCAAAACAAAATATTTATTTTATACAAAATTATTTGTACGAGTGAAAACATTAAAGGAATTGATTAGGAACATTAAAGCTTGTTCTGCGCCTCGGATAATTTTACATTGTAATACATTATTCTTCTTCTTTCTGGCAACCTCCCAGCTTTAGCCAGGGTCTGCCTACATTGTAATACATTATTATTAACGGCTATTTTATTTACACAGTGGATAGTTTTGTATTATTCAACATAATGAAAGCCTCAATTAATTTTCTAAATTAAGGAAACTTGTTAAACATGAAGGAATTCATTTTAAAGTCTCTTTACAATGTTTGGTGATGGCAACTGAATTGTTTGTAATCACTTGCAACACTGACTTATATAAAGACAACAACATAATATTTATATATATTTAGTCAAGTGATGTAAGAGGAATAATAAATGCTCAATATTATTATCGGTCATGTCTTAATAAATTCTAAACTTAAGCATTAAACAGTCTATGTTATAGACTATTGCGTTTATATATTAAAATAAAAAATGAATTAAACAATTATCTTACAAACTAATAACGACTGGTATATATTTATGGCAATAATTATACTTCAAGTATGAAATAATTTTTCTCATAAAAAAGAGAGCGATTTTATTATTTTAAAGTACATTTTTTATCATTTAGGGATTAAAATTATTATATAGTCATTATATAATAACCTATATAAAAAATAAAGGTATACATATATATGTACTATGTCTGAATAATGTTTATTTTTAGTTTTTATATTAAATTTAAGGATGAGTAAAATTACATGAGATTAAAGAACCTACACATGACTTACAAGAACCATTTAGTTTGTAATATATATTTTACAAATTTTTTCATGGAAAATGTGGAAAAGTGTTTAATAATAGTACAATATTTCGCCGGACAGCTTATTCATTTATGTCCATGCTTATTCTTCTTAGATCTTAAGAATTCCAACACTTCCTTCGAGGAAGCCTGTCTGGCGGAGGAGCCGCCGGGTCTACACATGTAGCTGGGGAGGGTCTTGAACAAGTTTTTTTCTTCGGCATCTCTCAATAATGTACGCCATTGTTCGTGTTTCTGTAAAAAGGAATATCAAATTATAAAATAGATATTTGTTTGTGAGTAATGTGAAATGTCCCCCTGGTTGCATCTCTAAGATAACGAAATAAGCAGTTGTCAATAAACTAAGAGGTTGACTGAGATGTTGACCGAATAATCAAAAATTACGATCGTCATTTAAAGTTATTTTGATGTTTTTTTTTGCAATTATATTATGTTCCCAAGCATACCTTACTAAATATTTATCTAAGTAAGAAAAATTTTAGGAATAATAAGACATGACCTAAGTGAATTATTCTCAGTATTATTTAAGCTACTGTAGTGTTTCCAGTAGTGCGAGCACGGTTCTATATGTCGACTCTTATCGAGGCATTTATCGACGTTTTTGACATTAGATGTAGATAAAAAGACATTGGTAGCATGGATCTCAATTTTGTCGAGTTATGTCTACACCTTTATAAGATCGACATAGTTTACCGAATTCTGTCAATTTTAAATTACAATGTCGGCATGGTTCTTAGTTTTGACAGTTGTCATTGATATATTTTCGTTAAACTTGTCTACACTTTAAAGTTGGTCGATAAAAAAAATCGATATAAAAAGGAAGTGAATTTCAAGGAAAACCTGTAAAATGGACTTTGGGGATATTATTGTTTTGGAGACAGAGACCGCCAGAAGAGTCCGCGATGAACGAAGAATTCATCGGCGGAATCTCCGAGATCGAAGTAACCCCTTCGATTTAGGAGATGAAGAATTCCGAATTTACTTTAGAATAAATAAGGAAATCGCCCTAATTTTAACTCGCTCTCTTGAGGGCGATATAAAGGAGCCGGTCTCATGGACTGCCAGTACACATTGTAGTAAGTAATTCTTCAATCTTCAATTTCAACTATGTAATGAGTTACACTATAGTACGCAAAATAAATTGTTTCAGATTGTGGCTGCAGTGCGTTTTTATGCCGTTGGTGGCTACCAACGGAGTGTTGGCCAAGATTATAATATTGTTGTATTGGCACAACGAACGGTCAGTAAGGTCGTTAAGGAGGTGTCGCATGCCATTGTGCACAGACTCCTCAATGTTTATATTAAATTCCGTAGCACAGCTGAGAAAGATCTAAAGTTGTGCAAGGTTACCGAAGAGGACGCGTGCGACAGAGCGAAGTGGAAGAGAAAGACCAGGAAGGCAGACCCCACCATCAGATGGGAATAATAATTGCTACGGAGAGAGAGGAGAGCACAGCTGAGGAAAGGAGGGCTGCGCTAGCGGGTTTCAGGCTGCACATGGCTTGCCAGATTGTTTGGGGTGTATTAACTGCACACACATAGCTATTGTCAATGATGCTAATGACCCACCTATAGGGTACAAAAACCGAAAAGGTAATTATTCTATTAACACTCAATTTGTAAGTGTACCTAAGTACTTAATTTTTTTCGCAACATGACTACAAATATTTTTCTTTACACCTATTTTCCTAATGTAAGGCTTGCTTGCTACCCCACCATAGTGTGATATTAATTTTTATTAATCTTATGTATACCTATCATAACAACATATGGTTAATTAAATTGCTATACACAAAAACTTAATAAAGAAGAGAGCTGGCAACATCTATGAATGATAAATGAATGAAATATATTATTTAACTGATGTTGCCAATTTTTATATCGATAAAATAAAGCGCTCGACAAGCCTCGATAAACATATCGAAGCGAGTTCCATGCTACCATGCCTCGTTAAAATTCGATAAGTATATCGATTTATCGTCTCGATATGTTTATCGATCAAAGATCCGTGCTCGCACCACAGGCTTGTGGTCGGAAGTGTATGTGTCGGTAGTGAACTAGTGTCGTACATCTACAGCGTTCTTATAGAGGCACAGTATGAGCATGTGTCTGGCTCGTGTGAGGAGCACGTTCATCCGTCCCGCGTGTGCCAGGAAGCCGACCCCCTGCCTCCTGCCCAGGGACACCACCACCAGGTCCCGCTCCTGACCCTGGAAACTGTCCACCGTGTTCACCTCCACGCCACGACCACACCTGAGGCACAGATATCATACAGTTATTTATGGTATTATTGCACTAAATTATAGATAATTAAATTTATATGTATTCACAAAGATTTAGTGACTTTTATAATAAATGAAATGTGTTTATAAGAGTAAAGTACGTTTTAAATTATAAAAATGATAATCTATTACGTTTTTCCGCATTGGACGGCAAGTTAAAATATTAAAGTCAATGGATAGGTACACACATTTTAGAATATTTATACTAGTGAGCTATATAGACCTCCATTACACAGTCGCGGTACTCACTCGTCTAATTCCAGCAGGTACTTCCTCAGCAAATCTCTGTGTGCGACGTACGGTGTGATGATGGCCACGGACAGCTGCGGCTGGTGGGCTCGAGCCGCCGAGTACACCGCCAGCGCCACCCGGGCCGCGCCCCACGCCTCGTCTGTATAAATATTTATAGTATTTACTTTGTTTATATTCTTCTTCTACCTGGTAATTTCCCAGCTTTAGCCAGGGTTTGGCTTACATGTTGTGAATAGTTTTGGCTAATTGTTTTTTTTACGACCGTCCGCCTGCCTGACATCAACCCTCTTTAGAAATGCATTAATCAGTGATGTCTAAATACTCTTAGAAAGTACATATGACTCGGAAAAATCACATTGGTAGGTGCCAGGACCAGGATCGAACCCGCGGCCTCATGGATGAGAGGCGGGCATTTTAACCTCTAGGCCACCACTGACTAAACTGTTTATATTATTTAAAGATAACTAAAGGTTTCGATTACGTCGAGATGTGAGGGTCGCTGTTAAGACAATAGATATTGTTATCAACCTGGAGCGACGTCTGTAGCCCGTCACTTGAGTCCATGAAAACTATGACTGTTATGACGTGATGCCGCTGTAACTGCACGGAATTCAAGAATAAACTCTAGCCTATATCTTTTCCTGATGTGTGAGCTGTATTACTGGAGAGTTTCATTAAAATACATTCAATACTTTTTGCGTGAGACAGGAACAAACATCCTCACAAAGTTTCGCATTTATAATATTACTTGGGTGCTTTGTAACGAGTAATATCGCCTACCATGTTCACTGCCCGGTATATCCAGTATGCAGTAGGGTGGTAGGTGTAGCGAGAGTGTCGGCGGGGGTTCGGACTGCACCCTCCCCCCATAGAAGGCTCTGTTGGGGTAGTCGGCGATGGCGGGGTGCATCCTGTACTGTCGGTCCAGTAACACTAGCGGCCGTCGTTCCCAACACGCACTGTACTCGGCCAGCCTCGAGAACAGACTCCTGTCCAGACCGTGGGTCTTGGCTCGCTGTTGATAGATCAGATAATATGAAATACTAGCTGCGCCCCGCGGTGTTACCCGCGGATTTCCGGGATATAAAGTAGCCTATGTGTTATTCCTGGACGTCAGCTTCCTGTATACAAAATTTTATCAAAATCGGTTCAGCCGTTTGAGCGTGAAGAAGTAACAAACATACACTCACAAACTTTCGCAATTTTAATATTAGTAGGATTGGTTACTATGACACACATAAATATATATAAACAACATAAAAATAGTATTTAGTGAAAAAGAGATTGAAATTAGTTGCTGTTTTATTATAACACTTTCCAGTAATGGGGGTAAGAGATTAAATGTCTCTTATGTCTACCTTCAGAATTACAGGAGGCCTTGTTTAATGAGGACTACAATTATGAGACCTGCGACGACGTCAGTGTTACGGTATATTCACGAATTGTCCAATAGTTTAGGTTTCATAAGAGGGTATTTGTTGTAATTAATGTATATACAGGTAAGTAGACCTATATTCCCCTTTAAACTTGTATGAAATCTATTAGAAGCGTTGCAGAACCTCATACATATACATATATATTGTATATTATATCTGGTTCACCTCTGAACAGATGTACCCCGGTAGTTGCTGCGGGTCTCCCACGAGCGTCATCTTGTTGACTCCCAGCATCAGAGGCAGCAACGTTTCGGGTTCAATGGCCTGACCCGCCTCGTCGTCCACTATACAAAGTTCGACACCTCTCAACCTGGCAACAAGTATAATATTGAAGTCAGATTGAAATATTTTTAGGTTGAAGGTCAAATGTATCGGTGATATACGGCCTGGAGATATAGTTATGAGAAATGTTCAGTAATTAATAATTATATACTAAAATAGGTGCGAATGATGACTGCCATGACATTGATTAAAACTTGTTATATTATATAGGAAAGATATATATTAAATGTGTTCACCCCCGCATCTTGTGGTTGACTGAGCTGGCGAGGGTTGTGGCCACGATGTCGGCTTCTTCCACCAACCGACGCTCAACATCCATCAAACGGCCGGGACGGACGTCGCCACCGCGGAGCTACACACACACGGTATACACATATCATAAATAATATCCCAGACACGATAGCTTAGTTAGAAAAGTAACTGAAACGCATAGTTCTCGAGCTAGCAGGTTCAAATCCTGACCGTGTCGATCAATGAAATAAATTTTTTAATGAAGTTTAAACTAAAACTTGTTTCAAATTTCAATGTTAATAAATGCGGTCTAAATGACATGCTATACAAAAAAAAATATTAATTTGTATGACAGTCGAGGATTATATGAGTACAAAAACAAGCAGTATAATAAATCTACCAGTTCTATCTGTCTAGCGAAGTACTTGGCGCGGTCGTGGCAGTAGGCGGCCCTGGCCGGGTCGGTCGCCTTCTCAGCCTTCCATCTATCGATTATGGCTTGATTACGAGCAATCTACGACATAACGAACACACTGTATACAAGATGTCTGCTCTGTGATCAAATTATACATCGTGTTATTTGTTAAATATTCTGCGTGTTAAATATACTATCAGAATGTTCCAGTCAGCCACGAAAAAGCTGATGGTTTTTCTTTTCATTCATAAAACATATTAAACTCTAATTAATGTTCGCCTATGTTTGTTATTTTCTTGTGTAAGGTCAGAAAGCGTATTTGTGTGTGTGTGTGTGTGTTCACCTCCTTAGTGACGTCACTATCATCTTCTCTCCGCGCGTGTTTGTGAGCCAGCGTCTGTGTGCTGACGTCTCTGACGTCACGGTGCATGGACTCCAGACGTCCAACACGGACTAGACGGAAACGTTCTTCTACAAATAAACATCTTTATACATATTCTTTTATTTACTGTTTTTTCAATAGTGACTGAATATTCGCCTGAATGACCGATAGTAAACCTTTTCGGAGGTGGAATGAGTATTGGTGATGAACACACTCTTTCACAAACTTATTCACTCCTACCCTTTAAGACATCCAATTTGTAAAATTGGGAGGAACTGTGCTTCATATGGAACTATTCCTATCTTTTGCTGACTTATGGTTTTATAGACAAAGCAGCTGTCCGGTATGAAACATTGACGTACTTTATCGAGAATCAAAATTGAGGTTTGGGAATATCTTAATGCCTTATAACTGAAGGCAGAGTTTGTGTTTTCCAAGGATACGTTTCGAAAAGTTTAGTTTGAAAAGTTTATGGCCGTGAAAAGACTAATTTCTAGGTGCACCTTGAGCGATGAGCATTGCAATGGCTGCTAAGATTTATTTTATTTACTGTCATATTTGAAGGAAGCAACTTTATAGCCAAAAACAACTCACAGCGGCGAGTAGAAGTTACATCTGTTTCTATATGTATTCTTACCTTCCACTAGTGTATTTCTCAAGTTTAATAACCTGATAACCAGCTCGTCGACAGCCGCGTTGCTTGTCGCACAAATCAATATCTTGCCCCTTTTACTTTGCTTTTTCATTGAATTTCCATAGAAGTACGCCATCACGATAGAGCATATCACTTTAGACTTTCCTTAAAAAAAAAAAGATAAATATGAAACATGAATAACAGACCAAAAACGCTGAGCGTTTTGCAAAAATTTTGTAACGCTGGGTGCGGTCTTATTTTAGATGAGTGACCGAAGGCAGGAAATAAAAAAATAGACTTGAAATATTTAACACGTCAGACATTTGCTCAAAATTGTAACAAAATACCTTTTAAATCATACATTTCGAAGCAGACGCACTGAATAGTCAAGTTATGTCTTATGACCGGTAAAGTCGTATTTAATTAGGTAAAGAAACAAATGCCTTAACAACGAAACTATCCAAGATAGAGTTTATTACCGGTCCCCGGCGGTCCTTGGATCATTCTCAACACTGGCTGGGAATCAAGAGCGGCGCTAACAGACTCCGCTACGGCACGCTTCTGGCTGTCGTTCAACGACGCCGTCCACTGAAATGACAAACATAATAAAACACTAACGAAAGGAAAATTAATTAAAATCTTTATAGATAATACATGAATAATACGGAACACTTGAGAAATCAATTTATTATAGTACGATGTGAAAATTATTGATAAGAATGCGATAAGAAGTTTGAATCGTGTTTGATATACTGTGATGAATAGTTGGTGTCATATCTTGATGGCTTTTTATCGGCTTAGGTAGAGAGAGGAGTTTTAACGATGGAAATAAGCGTTCAGCACGAATTCCATAAGTACCCTTAAACCTACACCTGATTCGCAAGTCCCAGGCACTGTTAAGGCTTTAATTGCTTTAACGACACAACAGCAGATGGCGTTGTTAAGTAACAGGAAGTCAATGAGTGTTTGTTTTGAGTTCAGACTAAGAAATAAATTGTTTAGTTATAAGGTTAGAGAGCTAATTACTTAATATACCTGTGATTCTGTGAATTTGAACTTATTTTTATCAATATCAGTATACTGCGAGGGTTCAGGTTTCAATATAACATCTCTTAAAGGTGATTTCTCCAATAGTTCCATAGCTTCAAACATTGCTAATTCTTTATGTATATAAGTTATGTTATCTCCAGTCAATTCATCGCCAGGTTGTAAGCTCTCAAACAGATCGGAGTAAGTAACATAGCATGATAGAACAATTGTTTTTCTATCTGAAAATTGTAAAACTTTTATATATAATAATTTAATTTATATCACAACGTGTATATCATATAAAACTTACTGTATGAGGATATATGATCGATTTTATGTATAAAGCAAAATTTTAATTTGTATGAATTTTCCTTGTCACATTTCCTGAATTTTAATATCATTATGTCACCATGCCGGGGCACCAGTTTCATGTTGATTGTGGACATTAACACTGAAAGGATTAATTATATTTATATTTACTACCTTATTATACATGATAGTACATTCTGATAGTACAATAAGGACTTCACTGATAACACCTCTTTAGAATGTTACATTGATATAAAACATACATATATGTATATACAGGGTGACTGGTGAATTACTATCAATATTTAAGGAGAATACTCGGTACATGATTCTCATTCGAATTATGTTAAAAAAATAGGTACTTAATTTTTGAACAAATTTCCCTATAAATAAATAAAGTGTAGACACGTTCCAAGTGTTCGAAGTGTGGACGCGTGCGGCGGCGTGCTGATACAACACTACGCCGAAGCGCGCGAGTGTGTGTGTGTGTATACCTAATCTGTAGGGTGTTCACAGGATGCGTAATTAATTACATAACTTTTGGTTAACTTTACTCAGAAGTTTATTAATATTTATGTTATATTAATTTTTATTTTGTCATATATGATCGTCAAATATCACATCCTCAAATATCGATAGTAATTCACCAGTCACCCTGTATATATGAATAGTGTGTTCAATTAATATGATATACTTACTTCTAACAGTTATGGTAAATAACTTACAAGACCTCTCCTGAGGTGGCTTGAGGGGTAAAGTTTCAATTTGAAGATTTATATATTTCCTTTCCTTCAGATAATTAAACTCCTGCGTGAGACATTCCCATATTTCTATGAGTAATAAATTTTCCATTTGTCTACAAATAAAGTGAAAGTTATAAAATAAAACACTCGAGCCGGATAAAAATATGAATGATATTAATTTTGCTATAACATTTATTGTTTCTATTTTTACCGACTTCTAAAAAGGAGGATGTCAATTTGAGTGTATATTTATTTATATTTGTTATTCTATGTTGATTCAGACTTTAACATTGTTATAATTTCGACAATTGCATGTCCATGAATACTCTTTAAAACCATTTTTATATCCACTTAGTGTTAAGGGAATGTTAATAAATACAAATTAATATAAAAATTTGATACATTTTAAAGGGCTTATTATTCATACCTCACATAGCGCTTATAGTTGTCGAATGATAAAAATAATGTCAGAAGTGCTTTTTTATCATTTAATATAGGAGGCGGTTTTGTTTGTTGTTTTTGTTCCTCAAGCCAACTAGGGTTCCATGTGAGGATCTTCATAAGAACTTTCTTTTTTAGTGACAAACACACTCGTGGATTATCTAGTACTGGCCTTTGATTTTGCTTGGCAATTATAATGTTGTCAACATCCTTATTATGCACCACTGCGGAAGTCTTATGGCTGTTTCTCATATTTATATCTGATGTATCTTTGGGTTCAATATTTTGTATAACTTTATTATGAGCTATTCTCTTTTTGCTAGTTTGCATTACATGGGGTTCGATAATTTGAATGGGATTTTTTGGTTTTGAAAAAGGTTTTATTTTATTATATTTCTTGTTATTTACTTCTTCAATCTCCAGCAGTTTAGGAATATCTTTGGAGTTCTGTGTTTTGTTTGTACTTATACTATTTGTGCTATTTTCATGTATTTTTGAATTAGCAATAGACTCTGTTGTCACTATATGAATTTCTTTTTCACATATTTCTTTAAGTTTCTGTCTCCTTTTCTTTTTTTGAGAATCTGTTAGAGTGGGTTTCTTCAGTGAATTGGATTTCTTTTTCTTAGATATTGATTGTTTTACTTCATCCTTTGATTTTTCTGAAACCAGAATCAAATTAAATAGATAAAAGGAAATTTATTAATAGTATAACGAGATTCAGTAACTTACCTATGGTCTTACTTAGTATTGAAGCAGATACTTTAGAAGTAGGAATTAGTTTTGATGATTTTTCTTCAATTCTTTTTTCTTCTGAACTTGTTTCTGCTATACTTTTTGGTTCATGAGATTCTTTGTTGTCTCCACAATATATATTAATTTCTTGTATTTGTGATTTTGTCACTGTATTTGAATTATTATCAATTTGTTCGAATGCTTGAAGATTAATATTTTTAGATGGTCTGTTGTAAATAACAATGTCATCGTGATCACTATCTTTTATTTCATCAAAAACAATACATTGTTTGTTTGTATCATCCTTTGGTAATTCTTTATATGGTGTTTTTTCTAATTGTTCAGGTTCATTTACTTCTTCAACTTCATCTGAGTCTACTTCAATAGCATCATCTTGTTGACTGTAGATAGAATTTTCATTGGCGGTATCTTTTTTTTCCATTTTTATTGGAGGATTTTGTAAACTTTCTGATATTCTCACATATCTATGCTCTGCTTCATAATCACTGTCACTAAGTATAATTTCAGGTTCTTCATTAATAATATAATAATCTTGTTTATTTTTAATTAAACCATGTTGTAAATCGTCATTTTGATCTTCAGTTAGGTCTATGAAATTTGGTTCAAGTTTTGGTTTTTTGGCTTCAAGACTAGTAATAGCTGTTCTGTTTATCATTTCACCAGCATTGCTATCATTTGAACTGTTTTCGCTATTTTGACCATATTCTACAATGCTTACACTGGGAATATTTTCTATTGTATCTAATTTACGTTTTAATTTCTTTTCAGGTGGAACATTTTTGATTAGTTTGTAAACATGCTTCTCATCATCCTTTATGTTTCCTTGTGGAGCTACGGTTGCCCAACCAAAGCCTATAATGTCATTATTACTTAGAATATATGGGGTTCCTGGTGGTATTTTTTTTTCTCCCACATACACACCATTGGAGCTCTAAAAAATGAAAAACAGAAATTATATATTCTGAACCATGCAAATATTTATTTGGTGAGACCTAGTTCCAGAAAGAATTCATAAAAAAAATTGTCATTAATTTTAAAGATAATAAATAAAAAGCAATGATAGTGGGAAATATTTAATGTGAGTTATTTTTATTGATTTGTTTTGTATTCTGAATCCAAGTTAAAAACATGTTGCAACTTTGTAATCTGGTAAAGCTAAGTAAGAAATTAACAAAGAGTAAGCAAAGATATCTTAAAATATTGTCATTTGTCAGTTATGTTCTCACTGTGAGAAACTCAAAATGACAAGATTTAAATAGCTGTGTATAATAATTTGACAAAATATGTTATGTTGGAAAGAAGTTTTAAAAATGTATTTGTTTTATCAAATAAATGTTCTTCATTGATTACCACTAAAATGTTTAGAAAGTCAAAAAGATCGAAGTCCTTAGTTAAAAAATATATAATTTCTTACACAAATAAATACAATTGTTTTCAGGTTAGATTACGAAGATAAATAAAACAAATGAAGAAAATAATAATGCTGAAATAATCAGATTATTTATATTATTATAATAAAAAATATTTTGTATATCTATATATAACGACTTACCTTCAAATCGGTGATAACCACTTCATCCTGGTTGACAGAAATTAGGCAATGGTTTCTGGATACAAATATACTTGTAAATTTTATTGTATTATTTACACCCCTGCCAATTGTTACTTCACCGTCTTTTAATTCAAATTCATCATTTCCAAAAGTTTGGCGGCACAACTTCCACTTAGACATTTTAAATAATAACTAAACGACCATATCTCAGTTCATATACTAATAAGGCACTATAAGTGGCAATCCATATTTAATCGCTTTATTATTTCAATAAGTATTTACGCTTTAAATTAGAAAAATGTCACATTTATCAAAACATTAAATATGATTATCCTCTTACCAGACATTTGCGTCAGACCACTAAATGTCATGTTTATAGTAATAATTGTTTGAATACATAGAATATATTAAATAAATGCAGGTTTTTACCCACCCTTTGCACTTAGAAAATTATACTACATCTTAAATAGCAGAAATGCGAAAAACTTTAAATAAAAACTAATATAAAACATAAAATTCTTACATTTGAAATATTTTATATAAATAAATAAAATATGTTAAGTATAAAATAGTCTTGTTAAATTTTTTAGCCTTTTTTTTTTAATAATCCTTTTTAAAGCCAAAATTGTTACTAGCTTTAAAAGTTCTACATCTATTGAACGACTTTTTTGTTCGGTGTTGAAATTTTTGTATTTTTTATACTTATACTAGAAGACCTGGCGAACTTCGTATCGCCCTATAATCAAGAAATATCTATTACGTTTTTCCTTTATATTTTTAGAGTTTACCTGTAAGCCATAAATCTCCCTGTTTTGAAGTGCGACAGAATGATTGACATTTTAGTTAGTTGTCAAATCTAATGTCAAAAAAAGCGTTTGTATGGGAAATAGAAAAGGGCTGTTTTTATGGTTTTCCCAGTAATGAATCAATTTTTTTCAGCTTTTATACCTTCCCTGAACCTCCTCGAACATATCAAGACTAAGATAAGATAAATCCGTTCAGCTGTTCTCGAGTTTTAGCAAGACTAAGGAACAGCAATCCATTTTTATATACAGGGTGACTGGTGAATTACTATCAATATTTAAGGAGAATACTCGGTACATGATTCTCATTCCAATTATGTAAAAAAAATAGGTACTTAATTTTTGACTAAATTTCCGTATAAATAAATAAAGTGTGGACACGTTCCAAGTGTTCCTAGTGTGAACGCATGCGGCGGCGTGGTGTTGTATCAGCGTGTGTGTGTGTGTGTGTGTGTATACCTAATCTGTAGGGTGTTCACACGATGCGTAATTAATTACATAACTTTTGGTTAACTTTACTTAGAAGTTTATTAATATTTATGTTATATTAATTTTTATTTTGTCATATATGATCGTCAAATATCACGTCCCCAAGTATCGATAGTAATTCACCAGTCACCCTGTATACATATTTTATCCGAAAAATATAAAAAACGAAATAATGTAAATTGTAATTGTATAGTAAGACTAGTATATTAGTAAGTACACATAATTTGTATCTTAATGATAAATAATAATTCGAAGTGATTAACACAACTTCTATTTGTTGTGATTTAATGTTAGTCTTGCCATATCATAAAATTTCCAGTCGAAACCTTGTCTCTCTCCACTCTCGGGGTAAACAGCTAGGTCACTATGCTTATTCTACGCTTTTCCTATTTCTTATTTAATAATACTGTAATGTTTGAAGATTTATGAATGAATTTTTGTGGTGGTAGAGCCTAGCTGTGGTCAGTTACTACAGCTCGAACATGGACTGGCTCGACCGGGGAAGTACCACCCTCTCACAGAAGATCGGCGTGAAGTAGCCTTTAATGGCTGCGTTTCGTCCGATGAGTTGCCCTTTCCTTATTCCCACCCTTTCCTACCTTTTCCTTTTTCCCACCCCTCCCTATCTCTAAAAAAACAAGGTTGGCAATGCATCCGCAACAAAGATGATGCGGATGTCCATGGGCGACGGTACTACCTTCCATCAAGTGGGCCGTCTGCTCTTATGCCACCATTAATATAAAAAAAAAAATGAAAAACTATTGACGCTTGCCAGATGTTATCAGATTTCAAAACCGCATTTTTATTTATAGTGGTGCCTAATATATTAATTTAATTTGCTTATTGTAAGTAACATTTATAATTAAACCGTTTCAGTTTATAATTGTTTCATTAATACAATATTATAAAATCATTAAATATGTAAAGCTTAGTCGTAGCGGTCTCCGTCGCCCTGTTGGCTGTAATACAGTCCTTTAAACGTTGAATATAGTTATTATAAGCATATTGACTTTCTATGGGAATATTAGAAAGGCAAGCGTACCTACAGATTGATTTTTGGGGTTCTTAACTATTATTATGTTAAATCAAACTCGACAGTAAAACTAATCATACATGATATTGTAGTGTATTGAGTTCCGGTCTTGATGACCATTCCACAAATCTGAACATTTGTGTCCAAACAAGATGAGTTTATTCGACATTTACGCTTTTTACGAGTCTTATTGAAAGGACCATTTTTGGTTATTGAGTTGGGTCACTGCCTTTTCAAGATTTTGGTAAGCTTGTGCCGATGTTTTGATAGCTCTTACAAAAACTGCTGAGTTACTTCTTCATAGCTCACACCTCACTCAAATACTCTGTTCATTTATAGATTCTGGAAGCTGCTTTAGAGTTTGCAGAATAAATAAATAAATATATATACATATATGTTAATATTGTTCAATTGTAAAAATTATGTGATGCTTAAAAGAATACCTCGTTTGCGTATCGATTTTAAACAGTTGTTTTGAATCAATCAAACTACACTTTTTAAATTATCAATTGAGAAACTACTAGAGCGTCTGTAAAGACTGCAAGTCACTTATAAAATAGACATAATTCTAAGTACTTCATCTTCCGTGATAAAATACATATTTTGATTTCTGACAAGATTTTATAATAAATGATTCCAAATTCAAAATTAATTTGAATTGTAACAGTTTATGCAAAACTAGCTTTTGCCGCGACTCCGTCCGCGTGGAATAGTGACTTATGGCAGATTTTTGGTTCTTCCCACATAGTTCCCGTTCTTGCGGGGTTTTCGGAATGGTCGAGTTCCCGTAGAATTTTCAGGATATAACCTACGTTTTTTTTTAATTCACAATGAAGTACTCTTAACCAACAACATATTTATTTGTTTATTTGAATAAATATTAATATTATTATATTGATACAACTTAAACAAATTATTTCGACCAAATTAGGTACCATAAAAACGATTTTTGTGAGTTAATCTTAAAAGATAGACATATACTGTCTTGGACTGTTTTTTAGATCATTAAAAGAGCTATTATTCTTTAATACATATTTTTTGTGTATCTTGAACCGTTTTGACGACGCAACGGAAGGCTTCAAAGATGAAATAATTTCTCCCGTTTTTTACACATTTACCTCTATATCTTTGCTCCTATTGGTCGTAGCGCGATGTTATATAGCCTACAGCCTTCCTCGATAACTGGACTATCCAACACAAAAAGAATTATTCAATTCGACTTAGCAGTTTTTGAGATTAGCGCTTTCAAACAAACAAATAAACAAACAAACTCTTCAGCTTTATAATATTAGTATAGATTAAGTAGTTGACATACGATAATAAGCACAAAATCTCTCAGAAATAAATGATATAATAAAAACTTAAGTACATAATAAGTAATAACTGTTGAATTTCTTATTAATGGCTGATTCATCCATCATGATGGCACAAACCCATGAACGGTTCTAAGTAATTTAACACCATGAATGTCATTTATTAACTTTGTCATTTTTATGTTCTGTTGTAGATTACAAATCAAGTCGATGTTAATTTTCACGGGTTACAGGTTATTGCATATGCTAATAATATTATTACAGTCTAAATCTTATATGTATGTTTGATTTCAAAGCTCATATTTCTACGTAAAGTGAGATTGCCTTTTAAATTTATAAAAATGTTTTACTACGGTCATAAAAACTCAATGAATGTGAATTTTGTTCTATCTCCAAAAGTTAAACAGTAAAATTTATGGCTTGCGTTTGGTCTTTTTTTTTATTTTTTTAGATAGGAATCCAGTAACATCATTTTTTTTTTCTTGTAAACCTAATATTTTTTGTCATGAATTACATACATACATAATATAAAATGTGAATTTTTCCCAAAGAGGGTTGATGTCCGGCTGGCGGCCGGTCGTAAAAACAATTAGCCAAAACTATTTACAACATGTAAGGCAGACCCTGGCTAAAGCTGGGAAATTGCCAGGAAGAAGAAGAAGAAGATGATAATATTACATATAACATATAACTTTCTATGTTACAGTTGCTAGATTTTCTGATAATAGTATGTTAGATGTCCGTTACGTTACGTTACGTTAAGTGATTCTTAAAAAGGCGAGGATGGAAAAGTATTGACAGTGGTTTTAAAAAGTATAAATACTATAGGTAAACTCATGGAAAACCATAAGCGAGGATCTTTTGCTAAGGCAATATATGATATTGAAATAAAAAAGTCCCATGAGTACATTTAGTTTCACTAGTCAAACATCAAATATGACATTTTTGAACGTTTTTACAAATTATATTGTATGAATAACAATAATGATAAACAAACAATGAGAAATAGTTCTTGAAAAGATCTCCATATTTCCTTAATATTAACATCAAAGCAACTTTTTATCAATATAACTGTGAAAGCATTGCATACCTACGTTAAATTATTAGATAATCTTCAGTGCTTACGTTAATATGAAAGTAAAACAAATAGGCTATCCTCGTCTGCTCGGTTAACAAACTACATCCAACTCTTTACCTCAAACTACAAGTAAAACGTAATCCATTATTATTCAACTAAAACATTAATGTAAAGTTTAACTTCATGTGGTGGCTATGAAACAAAACTCTTCAGTGGTTTTAATTAAGCTGCAAACTTTAGTAAAAAAGGTAATAGTGTTAATTTTTAAAATAGCTTTACAAAACATCTTTAAGTACTTTCTAGCTTACATCGTACGTGAAGTAAATGAAAAAAAAATTATCCAAACTTTTAAAAGGGCCCTCAATGTGAAAATTAGGAATTATTCATCACGTATTAAACGTGATGGACAACTACGGTTAAATATATTGCATTAACACGGACCTGGAAGGGGCATTTGACAGTTA